CTTACTCGTGCATGCACGTCTCTATATATTGGAAATAATCTTGGAAGCGACGTTAATTCACCTCACAAACTTACCTCACCTCACCTCACCTCACCTCACCTCACCTCACCTCACCTCACCTCACCTCACCTCACCTCACCTCGACTCAGCTCTCGTTTTAGTGGCCCGTTCGTGTATAAGGCGCCAGTGTTGCGTCCCCTTGGTGTCCAATATCGCGTCCTCCAACTTTAAAATGATTATGTGATCACCCACATTACACGCGGGTGCGGGAGGCGACTCAATTCGCCCTGACGGTGGGTTTCAGGCATCCAAGACCAGTATCACTTTCCTCCTACATCAAGCTGACATCACTTGATAAAACTGGAATCATGTTAAAAAACCTCACTCACCAGCTAATACATGATGTGGCTAGGAAGGTGTATCCTTCAATGTTGTATCCATGTGGGGAATCTAACCTGGGATATGGCTTAGAGTAGGGGATAAAGGAAAGTGTGACTGTGACCAGAGACCATATATCTGTTATATGGTCTCTGCTGTGACGTAGAATATCATCAACAACACCTGCAGTGGAGTAGGGGATACAGGAATGTGTGACTGTGACCAGAGACCATATATCTGTTATATGGTCTCTGCTGTGACGTAGAATATCATCATCAACACCTGCCGTGGAGTAGGGGATACAGGAATGTGTGACTGTGACCAGAGACCATATATCTGTTATATTGTCTCTACTGTGACGTAGAATATCATCATCAACACCTGCCGTGGAGTAGGGGATATAGGAATGTGTGACTGTGACGTAGAATATCATTACCAACACCTGCCATGGAGGAGGGGATATAGGAATGTGTGAGTGTGACGTAGAATATCATTATCAACACCTGCTATTGAGTAGGGGAGATAGGAATGTGTGACTGTGACGTAAAATATCCTTATCAACACTTTCTATTGAGGAGGGGATATAGGAATGTGTGAGTGTGACGTAGAATATCATTATCAACACTTGCTATTGAGTAGGGGAGATAGGAATGTGTGACTGTGACGTAAAATATCCTTATCAACACTTTCTATTGAGTAGGGGAGATAGGATGTGTGAGTGTGACGTAGAATATCATTACCAACACCTGCCATGGAGGAGGGGAGATAGGAATGTGTGAGTGTGACGTAGAATATCATTACCATCACCTGCCATGGAGTAGGGGGTATAGGAATGTTTGAGTGTGACGTAGAATATCATTACCAACACCTGCCATGGAGGAGGGGATATAGGAATGTGTTAGTGTGACGTAGAATATCATTTTCAACACCTGCTATTGAGTAGGGGATATAGGAATGTGTGAGTGTGACGTAGAATATCATTATCAACACTTGCCATGGAGGAGGGGATATAGGAATGTGTGAGTGTGACGTAGAATATCATTATCAACACCTGCTATTGAGTAGGGGAGATAGGATGTGTGAGTGTGACGTAGAATATCATTATCAACACCTGCTATTGCGTAGGGGATATAGGAATGTGTGAGTGTGACGTAGAATATCATTATCAACACCTGCTTTTGCGTAGGGGATATAGGAATGTGTGAGTGTGACGTAGAATATCATTATCAACACCTGCCGTGGAGTAGGGGATATAGGAATGTGTGAGTTTGACGTAGAATATCATTACCAACACCTGCCATTGAGTAGGGAATATAAGAATGTGTGAGTGTGACGTAGAATATCATTATCAACACCTGCTATTGAGGAGGGGATATAGGAATGTGTGAGTGTGACGTAGAATATCATTATCAACACTTGCTATTGAATAGGGGATATAGAAATGTGTGAGTGTGACGTAGAATATCATTATCAACACCTGCTATTGAGTAGGGGATATAGGAATGCGTAACTGTGACTTAGAATACCATTATCCACACTTGCTATTGAGGAGGGGATATAGGAATGTGTGAGTGTGACGTAGAATATCACCATCAACACCTGCTATTGAGGATGGGATATAGCAATGTGTGAGTGTGACGTAGAATATCACCATCAACACTTGCTATTGAGGAGGGGATATAGGAATGTGTGAGTGTGACGTAGAATATCACCATCAACACTTGTTATTGAGGAGGGGATATAGGAATGTGTGAGTGTGACGTAGAATATCATTATCAACACTTGCTATTGAGGAGGGGATATAGGAATGTGTGAGTGTGACGTAGAATATCATTATCAACACTTGCTATGGAGGAGGGGATATAGGAATGTGTGAGTGTGACGTAGAATATCACCATCAACACCTGCTATTGAGGAGGGGATATAGGAATGTGTGAGTGTGACGTAGAATATCATTATCAACACTTGCTATTGAGGAGGGGATATAGGAATGTGTGAGTGTGACGTAGAATATCATTATCAACACTTGCTATTGAGGAGGGGATATAGGAATGTGTGAGTGTGACGTAGAATATCACCATCAACACTTGCTATTGAGAAGGGGATATAGGAATGTGTGAGTGTGACCTAGAATATCATTATCAACACTTGCTATTGAGGAGGGGATATAGGAATGTGTGAGTGTGACGTAGAATATCACCATCAACACTTGCTATTGAGGAGGGGATATAGGAATGTGTGAGTGTGACGTAGAATATCATTATCAACATTTGCTATTGAGGAGGGATATAGGAATGTGTGAGTGTGACGTAGAATATCATTATCAACACTTGCTATTGAGTAGGGGATATAGGAATGTGTGAGTGTGACGTAGAATATCACCATCAACACTTGCTATTGAGGAGGGAATATAGGAATGTGTGAGTGTGACGTAGAATATCATTATCAACACTTGCTATTGAGGAGGGGATATAGGAATGTGTGAGTGTGACGTAGAATATCATTATCAACACTTGCTATTGAGGAGGGGAAATAGGAATGTGTGAGTGTGACGTAGAATATCATTATCCACACTTGCTATTGAGGAGGGGATATAGGAATGTGTGAGTGTGACGTAGAATATCATTATCAACACTTGCTATTGAGGAGGGGATATAGGAATGTGTGAGTGTGACGTAGAATATCACCATCAACACTTGCTATTGAGGAGGGGGATATAGGAATGTGTGAGTGTGACGTAGAATATCATTATCAACACTTGCTATTGAGGAGGGGATATAGGAATGTGTGAGTGTGACGTAGAATATCACCATCAACACTTGCTATTGAGGAGGGGATATAGGAATGTGTGAGTGTGACGTAGAATATCATTATCAACACTTGCTATTGAGGAGGGGATATAGGAATGTGTGAGTGTGACGTAGAATATCACCATCAGCACTTGCTATTTAGGAGGGGATATAGGAATGTGTGAGTGTGACGTAGAATATCACCATCAACACTTGCTATTGAGGAGGGGATATAGGAATGTGTGAGTGTGACGTAGAATATCACCATCAACACTTGCTATTGAGGAGGGGATATAGGAATGTGTGAGTGTGACGTAGAATATCATTATCAACACTTGCTATTGAGGAGGGGATATAGGAATGTGTGAGTGTGACGTAGAATATCACCATCAACACTTGCTATTGAGGAGGGGATATAGGAATGTGTGAGTGTGACGTAGAATATCACCATCAACACTTGCTATTGAGGAGGGGATATAGGAATGTGTGAGTGTGACGTAGAATATCATTATCAACACTTGCTATTGAGGAGGGGATATAGGAATGTGTGAGTGTGACGTAGAATATCATTATCAACACTTGCTATTGAGTAGGGGATATAGGAATGTGTGACTGTGACGTAGAATACCATTATCCACACTTGCTATTGAGGAGGGGATGTAGGAATGTGTGAGTGTGACGTAGAATATCACCATCAACACTTGCTATTGAGGAGGGGATATAGGAATGTGTGAGTGTGACGTAGAATATCACCATCAACACTTCCTATTGAGGAGGGGATATAGGAATGTGTGAGTGTGACGTCGAATATTATTATCAACACTTGCTGTTGAGGAGGGGATATAGGAATGTGTGAGTGTGACGTAGAATATCACCATCAACACTTGCTATTGAGGAGGGGATATAGGAATGTGTGAGTGTGACGTAGAATATCACCATCGACACTTGCTATTGAGGAGGGGATATAGGAATGTGTGAGTGTGACGTAGAATATCACCATCAACACCTGCTATTGAGGGAGGGGATATAGGAATGTGTGAGTGTGACGTAGAATATTATTATCAACACTTGCTATTGAGGAGGGGATGTAGGAATGTGTGAGTGTGACGTAGAATATCACCATCAACACCTGCTATTGAGGAGGGATATAGGAATGCGTGACTGTGACGTAGAATATCACCATCAACACCTGCTATTGAGGAGGGATATAGGAATGCGTGACTGTGACGTAGAATATCACCATCAACACCTGCTATTGAGGAGGGATATAGGAATGCGTGACTGTGACGTAGAATATCACCATCAACACCTGCTATTGAGGAGGGATGTAGGAATGCGTGACTGTGACGTAGAATATCACCATCAACACCTGCTATTGAGGAGGGATATAGGAATGCGTGACTGTGACGTAGAATATCACCATCAACACCTGCTATTGAGGAGGGATGTAGGAATGCGTGACTGTGACGTAGAATATCACCATCAACACCTGCTATTGAGGAGGGATGTAGGAATGCGTGACTGTGACGTAGAATATCACCATCAACACCTGCTATTGAGGAGGGATATAGGAATGCGTGACTGTGACGTAGAATATAAATGTACAATTAAGAGCATCTCTCGGACTTTGGAATTCTCGAACTAATCAACAGTGGAATACAAATATGTTCGTCGGGGTTCCATAAGGATACATTAATGATGTCTGTGAATCTATAACATTTCCACCATACGGGACACATACTGGTGCAGTATTACTGACGCCTGCGTATCCTACTCACTCGGAAAGACAGCAATGTCAATACCATTAACTATGAAAGTCAACACAACGCTATCTGGATTCACATCCTGTTTATTACATATACTACATATGTGTTACATCTACAAATATAATTTTTTTTATTGAAAGATATTTACTTTTTCACTTTTTTATATTTTGACTGGACAACCATAGCACAGGATAATCACTATTGTTCACAATGTCACGTGCCACATACACGTGTCTACATTGTCTGTGTTAACCAATCACCGAGTGCAACGTCATCACTTGCTACCAGACCCGCCGTAGCCTGACTGGTGCCCATGATACTCAGAGTTGTTGCGGTTGCGTGATTGTCCTCGTCTTTTTGAGCGTCACTGTCAGCCATTTTGCTGCAAAACAAAACACATTTACATTCCCTGGTTATCTTTTAGATACACTGGATGCATCACCTTGGACATCACTCAGTCTATCTCTTTGGATATCACTGGATACATCACATGGGATATCACTGCATACATCACATGGGATATCACTGCATACATCACATCGGATATCACTGCATACATCACAAGGGATATCACTGCATACATCACATGGGATATCACTGCATACATCACATGGGATATCTCTGGATACATCACATTGGATATCAGTGGATAGATTACATGGGATATCACTGCATACATCACATGGGATATCACTTCATACATCACAAGGGATATCACTGCATACATCACATGGGATATCACTGCATACATCACAAGGGATATCACTGGACACACACACGTACACACATCACACACATACACACACACACACACGTACACACACCACGCGTACAAATACACACCACACGCACACACACACCACACGTACACACACATACCACACGTACACACAACCCACACACATACCACACGTACAAACACATACCACACGTACACACACACACCACACGTATACACACATACCACACGTACACACATACCACACACACACACATCACACGTACACACATACCACACGTACACACACATACCACACGTACACACACACCACACGTACACACACATCACACGTACACACACATACACACACATACCACACGTACACACACATACCACACGTACACACACATACCACACGTACACACACATCACACGTACACACACATCACACGTACACACACATACCACACGTACACACACATACCACACGTACACACACATCACGCATACACACACATACCACACGTACACACACACACCACACGTACACACACACAAGGGACACTTTACAAACCTTCACTTGTCAGCACAACAAATATATTGTTTGACAAGACATTTACAAGCATGACCTTGAATGTGAGCAAGACCTTCGATATTCACAAAGGTAGTCTAGTCGAGAGCCCAAGGATATTATATATCATATATATTTAAAAGAATGTCGAAAGCTGAGTCTGGCATCAATTCATTGAAGCTTGAAAGTACCAATAACAACCAGTTTATTAAACACGGGTCTGAGAAAAATGCAATATGTTATGTAAAAAATGATTACATATTTCCAGCGACGTGTTTTCAGGCGCCGAGGGATTTTTCATGTTACACGTGACGGTGAGCCTTAATTTTGTTTCAAATTAAATATCGAAAAAAAACAGTCTACAAAAGAGGTTGTCAGTACAAATATACAATGATATTTACAGTCGAACTTCCGTACTGGATTAGTGACCAGACACACACCATCGAATGTATTCTTTGACTTTCTGAACCTACATTGCCTGTCAAATTTGAAATCCCGTGCACGTACGGTTTCGGTTTCATGTAGTCCATGTTGTCCCAAAGGTTAAACACTAACTCCATGGAAGTCCTTACATCTTCACATCATAGTGAACATTCATTGATCGCTTAACTGATGGTGCCAAAATGAAGACGTTGTTATGACAACAGAAGTACTCACCTGTTTGCAGTATTCTTGTATTTCCCCATTCTCTAGTGTTCTTGAATGTGTAGAGTTGGTGTAGAGTTGATGTCTTGTCCGGTATAACACTGATCGCCTCTGTGACACATTATATAGCAACAACCAATCCGTTTCTGAGAACCCCCTTTCCACGTGACTCAAATCCTCGCTGATGATTGGTAGTATATATTTCCATATATGGACAACATTTTTGTCCTTCCTGGTATTCCCTGTATTTCTTAATATATCGACAGCGCAGGAATATTGGAGTACCAAGTCCAATCAAGTATCTATGTCCCGGCGCGATACACGCATGCGCGCACCATCCACAGGAGTCCGTATCTAAAAATAGACGCCCTCATGCATATTCATGACCATCTCCACACGCGAGCTAACGGGCTCGCGTGTGGAGATGGTCATGAATATGCATGAGGGCGTCTATTTTTAGATACGGACTCCTGTGCACCATCGTACAGACATTTGCAGGTGGTATATACTCCAATAGCGCGAATGTGTCTCTACCTGCAGAGGTCTACATAGTCCTGCACTGCACTTCTGTGCACTGCACTTCCATGACTGTGGAATTTATATTTTTAGATGTGGTTTTTTTTCTCCTAAAAGCTTAGGCAAGTCTTCATCAAACTAACAAAGTCTAGTTTGCTTGATTCAACAGCAGAAGAGGAAAGGTTCTGGCGAAGAATTTTTAAAAATATATTTTAAAGACATGTTATCATTGACTAAGTGTTATAGTGCACGAGTAACTACTAGTTCTACTACTGTTACATGAAAGCTGCTAGTAATACAACTATTTGTAGATAATATTATGTAGAGTAAAAGCATAGCTACTACATATACTACTGTTAGAGACTTGTAGATAACTTAAATAAGTATAAGGATAGATACTTGTTCTACTACAGTTACATATCAGCTACTGTTAGTCATACACTTTCTTGTAGAAAACTATACCTAAAGTACAAGGATTACTAGTAGTTCTGCTACTGTTGTATGACAGATGCTACTGGTAATACAACTATTTGTAGAGAACTTAGTATAAAGTATAGCTACGTGTTCTACTACAGTTACATGACAGATGCTACGAGTAATACAACTAAATGTAGAAAACTTTATACACAGTACAATGATGACTACTATTTCTGCTACTGTTGCATAACAGATGCTACTAGTAAGACAACTACTTGTAAAGAACTATATGTTTTTGTTTGTTTATTTATTTGTTGTTTAACGCCACACTCAGCAATTTTCCAGCTATATGACGGCGATACGATGACATGCATCAACCAAGTCAGCGAGCCTAACCACCCGATCCCGTTAGTCGCCTCTTACGATCATGGGTTGCTGAAAACTGACATGGCTGTTTCTGGGGTATCCTGGTTTCTCATTGTAGGTATGCTTGACACTTTATAACTGGGCATGAGAGGAGAGAACGTGTGACTGTACGATAGTAAATCAAATATCTTGACTGTCAAACCTGACTTGTGGGTTTCAATCAATACATTATCTCAGACGTGTTGATATTGTTACTTATGGCGACGAGAGGCTTTTTTACCTGGACCCGTGTATAACATAAGCCGATCTGTAGACAAATCAGTTAACATGTACCTGAACACGGGTAGCGCGACATGTGTTTGAATATCTCAATGACCTTATTGCATATAATCATTTCGTTTGCTTCACAGAAGGTGAGGTGAGGTGAAATGAGGTTTAACGTCGCGTCCAAGATTATTGCACATATATAGCGACGTGCATGTACGTGTGTGTGTTTGTGTGGCTGCTTGTACTAGTCCGGACTGATGCCGATTCATAGTGCTAGCTCACTGAGATACCATGCCGCAGTTTAACATGAATACCCCACTCAGACACAGTATACTGACTCCGAGCCGACCAGTCCTTGTTTTAGCCCCTTAATGCCGAGCGCCAGACAGGGTAACAACAAGTACCATCTTTTAACGTCTTTTGGTATGACGCGGCCGGGGATCGAACCCCGGACCCTCCGCTCTCCGGGCGGACGCTCTACCACTACACCACGGGGGCGGTTTGCTTCACAGAAACACACCTGGATGCAACAATTGACCTATCACGCCAGCGGATCGAACCTCAACCCCATGGACGAACTAGTCAGCAACAAGTATTTTAAAATCTGTATACTTCTAATAACGAATCGTGTTACCTTTCCGGAGATACGGATATTGTTGTGACGTTGTCGAACAGGTGTTTAGAACATCTGCCACTTTGATAAAAGTCGGACAGGTTTAAAGTTATCGAACAAATGGCGGACGCTTCTGACTTTCAGACTGGTCAGTCATGTTGGTTGACTGACAAGTGGCGAGTGCTTCATTGGGAAAGACTTCCGCCCGTATCCCCCCTCCAAAAGTTATATATGTATGCATTGCCGCTCAATCCTTTTAATCATATATATTTTTTGAGGAGGGGTAGTCTTACGGTCATTATTGTGGGACAGTTTTCACGAGAGGACAGACATTCATTTGGAGGTGGTGTAATGATTTATAGTAGAGATGGCCTATTTATTAAAAGAAGATTCGAGTTTGAAAATAGTTAGGATGAAAACAACTGTGGGCAGCCAAAACATCTGAATGTAATAATGTGGACTTATGGGGTCGTTTAGTCACGTGTAACATGCTCTGGGTGTTACATCTAAAGTAGCTATTGTAACTAGTATTCCATCGTCTCGCACTCTTATTGATATTATCATTGGTATTTATCATGGTGAAGTTTCAGAAAATAGTGTCGTTGATTTTAGTCAAACCATGAGAGATCATCAAGATACATATTATATCATTAATATCAATGTTTAAACCTGCCTTATACTAGAGATGTATGTTGCTACGGTAAAGGATATTATATACAGTTGAATATGCTTATAAGTACTACCGATTGAAATACCATTTTACGACATCCCGAAACTACCGATGAAGCGTGATGTATGTTTTATCTTTTATTAGAACAATATGCAAAGAAGTGTATACCTACAAAGAAAGTAACAATACGTCCCAATGATACGATATGGACAATTCTAACTTAGAAGAGACTCGAGAAAAAGGGGACACTTGAGGAAAAAGGCACTACGGACTCATAGGGATGAATATAAGTAGGCATATCGAAAGTAGAGGTATATAGTGAATAATGGTATTATGCTAAAAAATCATTTTATTCAAAATAAGATAACCTTTTAGAGATAAATATCAGAAAAATAATTCTTCTTACTTATTATATTTTTTATATCTATTTTAAGCGCTATGGGGGAAATATTTACATCTATTGTTGAAAAATTCTTAAGAATATGAACTGAATAAATTGAGAATCATAAGCAGGCTTTAGATAAGATCACTCAACAGCAGACACTATATCTGTGCTACATTCCCTCTGTCATAAATACTTACGAAAGAAACTCTTCTTTAATCTGTTACAAATTTAAATTTTAAAAATGTGTAAAAATGTTCGTGCAAATGTGAAAATAGAATATTTCAGAACATATTTTTACAATTTACATTGGCGTTCGACAGAGGAGGGTGTTAAACCCTTAGTCCGGGCTGTTAGTCCGCCTTATACATCAATTAAACAGAGGTTAAATAGAGGTTGTAGGCTACCCTATCAAGAAAGGCATGTTTACCTATCGTCAAGTTAAAAAACCCTTATCCGAATATATCTTTGGAAATGGATGATACTATGTTTGATTTGAGAAAATTGCACCGATTTGGTATTACGGTCAGAGTGTATTGAAAAGGTTCAAAGAATATTTTTTTTAAAAGATTTCTTCATATCAGCAAATAGTGTTCCACAAATGCCGTTCTGGGAGAAGTGGGCAGGCATTATTTATGTTAGAAAGACAGCAGACTGATGGCATCTACCTATCGTCCAATATCGCTAATTATATTATTTTCTTGAAAATAATCTATTGTCAAAATATCAGTCAAGTACATCCATTAATTGAACTCTACCCTTTTTTGCGATGCTGCGCGAGAGGATTAGGGACCGATCGTTTGATATTCCATGGCTGGGATTTTATCGAAAAAAATTAATTGTCCCCGAAAATTCTTGAAAAGATATTTATGCTTCAGACTTTTGAAAAAAAAGAAGAAATTGCCTGCCACAAAATTTACATTGTTGCAAGATGATTTTCTTAATTCAGGCTAATAGTTTTGAATAAAAAAACATCTGGTTTTGTAGCTGTAGCTAAGGTCCGAACACCTGGCATCATCACTATGATAGTGATCCATGAACACAGCATCACGATATACTCGGAATCGTACAATCGAGATATTATTTTTTTGAATATGGAAAGGCTTGTCTCGCTTTTCTCAACTACTGTTACATGACAGATGCTACTAGAAACACAACTACGTGTATGGAACTATAAATAAAGTACAGGTGGTCATGATACCAGGTGTTCCAGAACAGGAGAGCGTATCCTGTCCCAGCGGTGGCACCCGTTACAAACACATACAAAGGCAAGTCAATAGTTCACCTAAAAAAAACCACGGGTACAAGTCAAAATGGGGAACTGCATCGGATATAATCTTTGTAACGGGGCGGTCGGGTAGCCTAGTGGTTAAAGCGTTCGCTCGTCACGCCGAAGACCAGGGTTCGATTCCCGACATGGGTACAATGTGTGAAGCCCATTTCTGGTGTCCCCCGCCGTGATATTGCTGGAATATTGCTAAAAGCGGCGAATAACCAAACTCACTCACTTACTCACTCCTCTTTGTAACTGATGCGTCAAATTTGGAAATCTCCTCCACATGTCTACCAAAAACGTTTTGAAAGCTTTACTGAGGCCTTGAAAGTTGTAACCTTGATCTCACAACTTCTAAGCAAGAGTCGTATGGCGTTCTTTGAAATCTCGGTAGTGAGAAAGAGCATGCTCGATTGTACCTCAAAAGCTGTGAACATGAAAAGGCTGGAGCTACAGGAATATTGCTGGACATAAAGGGAAAGTTGACTTCCTCCTTCGTCCTGTGGAGGGTGTTTTGTCACTCTGAATCTGTATGCATAGATCTAAATATGAAAAAGATGAGACGGTCTCACTGGTGTCTTTTATTCCTAGTTCAGGTGAGTAAATCAGTGGGAGGAATTGGCTATTTGATGGTTATTGAACGAATTTCAGATCATCGATATACCTGAAGCTTTAGTTAACCTTCTTGGCCAAATTACCCTACTTCTTGCCTAAATGACTCTGCCAAATTTTACATAGATGTTATCAATGAGGAAGTCCAACATTACACAGAAGACATTTGCTTTCACACTTTTTACCAATTCTCCTGCATCTCTGAAGAAAGATATACAACTGTGTCTATGGTCGTTTTCTAACAAGAGCCCCATGGATCAAGGAATGGCGTTATTAATTCCGCTTGTCTCAAATACTTTCTGTGAATATAAATTAAGTCTTGCCTTGATTGTATTAAGGATTATGGTTAATCTTTGATACATGGATTTTGTTGGACCCAGCAATATATCTCTCTTTGTACGGATGTTTATGGAGCTTTGGAATCCAGTACAAAAGAGGAATGGACATGTCAAACCAAAAGTTAATGGACTTATGCATGGTCTGGGCAGATGTTTTCCTCAATGCGCATGCTGCCTTTATATTAAGAGGTTATTATAAGACAGTTTTCATAGTTTTCATCCGATATCAGCCCGAGATCCCTATATCAGCCCGAGATCCCTATATCAGCCCGGGATCCCTATATCAGCCCGAGATCCCTATATCAGCCCGAGATCCCTATATCAGCCCGAGATCCCTATATCAGCCCGAGATCCCTATATCAGCCCGAGGGTGGAAGGCCTCCCACCCCAGTCTTTGAAAACTAAATGTAGTATGTTGTAGGCAGCAGAAGTATTAGAGTTTTATGTGGAGTTTGCTATTTTGGGCCCCGTCCTTTAAAGAAATGCTTGATCCGCCCTTGGTAAGGTTGTAGGCAATTAGGTGGAAGAGCATGTCAATTAGCCCTGTTCGGGGCTTTTCAATTTACGTGAAATGTCATTACAGATTTGAATTTAAACCCAGTACCAATAAAACACAAGGTTAGTCTTAAATTCGGCATCTTAGAAAAGTAAGTGAGTTTGCCCCACCCCCATGTGTAGTGTAATAAAGTAGAGTTTTTCCTTGAACTATTATAACGCCAATACTGTACCAGTTCAGGACAAAGCTATACACATAAGGGTAGAGCAAATCATATCGCTTAAACCTACTCCTTCCATCTTTCCGAGGCAAGTGAGTTAACTGACTTTAAAAGTCCAGTTTCCACTCTTGCCGAACTAGGCTGGTATTATGGAGTTATATTTTGGCTGGACTAACGAGTCAATGCATAGTCCAATCAAAATTGCGTAACGAAATCGAAATCCGGTTTGTAAACTGTCGTGCAGATTTCGATCGATTGCAGGATTTGCAAAGGATGTGCACCGCCAACTCGTTGTCAACAGATATTTTCCAAATCTTTTCATTTTTTAATCAAGGTGCTCACATGATTTGATGCACTTTGCGATGTAAGACCTGTTTTATCACAATATAGATCATGATTATTGATCAGATCGTCTTGACTGGGCGCCGCCATTTTGAAGCAAATGCAAGTGATACAAGAGGTGGAATCTGATTGGTCAACAGGAGAGGCATAGAGGGGGCGCAACTCGTAATAACCACTGGTGGCGCTACGATCGAGCCCAGAAATTCCAGTCTAGTTGGGCAAGGGTGGAAACTGGACCTTTATAGTCAGTTAACTCCCTTGCCTCAGGAAGATGACGCATTCAGAAAGACCAGCAATGTGGTTGTCTTATGTCTATACAATTTACTAGGGGGCACGGGTGGCCCAGTCGTCTAAAGCGCCACAATTCGCTGTGCAGAGTGGCGTCCCTTGGGCACGCCAGAAACCTTTGATTTTAGGTTCGAATCCCGGTTCGCCCCGATTATGTTTCTCGGTTTGTCAACACCATACCCGTGCTCGTGGGTTTCACCGAAGTGGTAAACGTCTAAGACCTGCATCACTTCGGGATTTCCTCCAAACTGAAGCTGACACGCCTTGATATAACTGGAATACTGTTAAAAACGGCGTTAAACACAACTCACTCACTCACTCACTCACTCACTACAATTTACTATTTAAGTCAACACAACGCTGTCTGGATTCACATCCTGTTTATTACATATACTACATATGTATTACATCTACAAATATATCTTTTTCTTGGAAGATATTTACTTTTTCACTTTTTTATATTTTGACTGGACAACCATAGCACAGGATAATCAACATTGTTCATATTGCACGAGCCACATACACGTGTCTACATTGTCTGTGCTAACCAATCACGGGCTGCAACGTCATCACTTGCCACCAGACCCGCCGTAGCCTGATTGGTGCCCCTGATACTCCGAGTTGTTTGGGTTGCACTGGTTGGAGTGGTTATCCAAATCGGCCTTGTCGCCGGTCCCGGAATAATCCGAAGTGTGGCCGCTGTATTCCGAGTTGTTCGGATTGCACTGGTTGGCATGGTTGTCCAAGTCTTGTTGAGTTCCACTGTCAGACATTGCTGCAAGATAAAACACATTTACTTGTTATCAGAATACACATATATCCCTGACTACCATTTGGATACATTACTCGGTACACCGGATAAATATATCACACTGGATAATGCTGGATATATCACCCTATCTCATTTATATATCACTATATATTAATGTGTAATTAGGCACCTTTGATATTCGGGGGTTGGGGGCATATGATTTTATCCAAAAAATATATTATCTCGGGTTTTCGCTGGGGAAATAATTATGCTTCAGACTGCGGGAAAATAATTGTCTGCCATTTAAAAATACATTGTTGCAAGACTATTATTTTTACTCCTCCAGTATTAAGGCTCATAGTTTTAATTTTAAAAATTATATAGCTTTTGGTAAAAAAAATATTCCAGTCTCGGTACTTAACAAGCATCTGAGTATATGTTAGACGTTAGTTCACTGTGAAAGATGCATTGATGTATTGAGCTTGAAAGTAGTTCCTGAAAGGCGACCTCACTTGTATAGCTAGCTGATCGTGATACAAGGTTTATCGGGTTGGCTTATCGGATCATTATATCGGATACCATTATGATAAAATATTTTATCGACAATTCCTATTCCTTAACTGTGTACACTTTTTCATTAAATTAAAATATCGTGCTTTCTTATTCCATCCAATGTCGGTGCCCCCAGGACGAGAAGCAGGTCACAGCAGGAGATGTACCCTATACAAGGTGAGGCAATACACTTAACAGACACTTAAGGGATACTTCTTCAAAACTTCACCTGTCTCCACATTAAATTTATTGTTTAACAAGACATTTACACATATGATTTTGCAGGTGAGCATGACCCTCAATATTCACAAAGGTAATCCACTTGGAAGGCGAATGTTTACATTTCATAACTTGTGAGTTACAATCGAGCATGCCCTTTCTACCAAGATTTCAAAGAGCGCCAAACGTTGTTTGATCGAGGTGTGTGACGGGTGCCACCGGTGGGGCAGGATACGCTCACCTTTTCGAGAACACCTTGTATCGTGACTATTTTATAGTAATTCATGGACACATGCTCCTGATACAGTCAAAAACTCTATGGAAGATACAGTGTATTAACAAGGTTTCAGACTTACTCTATGGAAGATAATAACAATGGTATACACTTACTCTATGGAAGATATTAACAATGTTATACGTTAACTCTATGGATGATATTAACAATGTTATACACTAACTCTATGGAAGTTACACACTATCTCTATGGAAGATATTAACAATGTTGTACACTTATATTATCAGGTTGTAAAAATAATTTCCGCATAATATTAATAAATGAAGACATTGTAGTAACAACAGAAGTACTCACCTGTTTGCAGTATTTTTGTTTCTGGTTTCAGATTTTTGTAAGCACTGGGATGAGCAGTCTGTAAACGTGGAATGATTCCTGAGCGCCTCGTTAACACTTTATATAACAACAGCCAATAGATTTCTGAGAACCTCCTGTGCCACGGGACTAAAATCCTGGGCTGCTCATTGGTCGTGTCTGTTTCCACATATGGACAGTGCTTTGTTTTCCTGGTATTCCCCGTAATTCTTAAAATAACGACAGCGCAGGTACTTGGAAATACCAAGTCTAATCACGTGTCGCTGTCGTGTCCTGGACTTCAGCAGCAGTGAAATGAAAAGTATCAGCTTGAAAACATAGATTTATTTTTAGAATGTATATTTCACTTCATGGTTGTTTGTTGCACCTTCGTGCAGACAGTAGAGGTCGGTACAACTCTAGCGCTTATGGGGCAATACGCGTAGTAAAGGCAAATGAGGCCAAACCATATGTAAAATACAAGGATAGCTCCTGCGGCTACTACTGCTACGTGACAGATGCTACTAGTAATACAACTGCTTGTAGAGAACCAAATATAAGATACAAGGATAGCTCCTGCGTCTACTACTGCTACATGACAGATGCTACTAGTAATACAACTGCTTGTAGAGAACTAGATATAAGATACAAGGATAGCTCCTGCGTCTACTACTGCTACATGACAGATGCTACTAGTAATACAACTGCTTGTAGAGAACTAGATATAAGATACAAGGATAGCTCCTGCGTCTACTACTGCTACATGACAGATGCTACTAGTAATACAACTACTTGTAGAGAACTATATATAAGATACAAGGATAGCTCCTGCGTCTACTACAGTTACATGACAGATGCTACTAGTAATACAACTACTAATAGAGAAAAGTGTATAAGATACAAGGATAGCTACTGGTTCTACTACAGTTACATGTCAGCTGCTACTAGTAATACATCAACTTGTAGAGAACTATATGTAAAGTACAGGGATGGCTACTCGTTCTACTACAGTAACATGTCAGCTGCTACTAGTAATACAACTACTTGTAGCGAATAATATGTAAAGTACAAGGATAGCTACCTTTGCTACTACAGTTACATGTCAGCTGCTACTAGTAATACAACTACTTGTAGAGAACTATATGTAAAGTACAGGGATGGCTACTAGTTCTACTACAGTTACATGTCAGCTGCTACTAGTAATACAACTACTTGTAGAGAACTATGTATGAAGTACAGGGCTTTCTAAATCACTATTACCTCTTTCCCGCTTCTTAAGCTTTTAAAGAACGATCGTTATGATGAAAACGTCTTATAAATATTTTATTCAGTAAAGGATAATGCTTTACTAATTCAGGTGTGGGTACATTGTCTTAGTTATACACACAGAAAAAGGACACCATATCGTGTATTCATTTCCAAGTAGCATCCCTCTAAGTCTACTCGTGAAATGTTATGTTACTATCTTTCTAGTAGCACGTCCTGACGTGTCAGACGATGCTTTGTTCGTTAGATAATGTAGGTGGGGATATTTGTGCCATGGTTGCCTGTCAGGATTTAAAAAATAAATATCTTTCAAAAAAAGTACTTTACATGGCTGTTTCTGATCGAGTCATCGTGGTTTCTCATTGTAGGAATGAATCACAGGTAATATTTGTTTGTTTGTTTGTTGTTTAACGCCGCACTCAGCACTATTCCACCTATAAGACGGCGGTCTGTAAATAATCGAGTCTGGGCCAGATTATCCGGTGGTTGACATCATGAGCATCGATCCACGCAATTGGGATACGGTGCATCAACCAAGTCAGTGTATCTGACCACCCGATCCCGTTAGTCGCCTCTTACGACAAGCACGCGTAATAACGGAGACTTGTGACTGCGTGATAATAAATAAAATATCTAGGTAAGACTGTTACTGGCAGTTGATCATTTGCTGACGAGTTACAGTGACTCATGTAATCAATACACTGTTTCAGATAAGAGGAGATCTCGGAAAGGGCCTACATTCACTTTCACTTCCGCAAGTTCAAGGACGAGCTGCAACCAGGCTTCCTGGAACAGCGCGGCAAACAAGGCAGTATGACGTCACCGAACAGTATCGGAAGGCTCTACTCGTGGCGTTTTGAGGTTGACATTTTTTAGGCACACATGTACATTGAACACAGCGCAGATAGGTTTTTATGACTTAACTTTCCATGAAGATTGTCACATATAGGGTTGACAATACCTGGCAGGCAGGTTATGACATGGGTTCAGTGTTTACAGTTCGTGTGTGAAGCCTGCAGCAATAGTGTCAATGCCAGTGTAGGAGGATCAGGCCACTCCACAGGATCAAATCACTGTAGACTGATTACATCCTGGGGTCAAATCATTACATTTATATGATGAACATGGAATTGCCCAATTTACATTATTGATTAAAACTTCCCTTGAAACAATGTGACTCTTTTCCTCTGTATTTTGTATTGAGACCAGATATTTTGTTTCAGTTACAAATGCAAAACCAGATATATTTTGTTTAATCAAATCTTTGAGGCATTTTTGTCTTCTAAAAACACATTGCAACAATGTTATTTTTTGGCAGACTATATCATATTTCCCCAACAATATGAAGCATAATGACATTTTCAAGAAGTTTCGGGCACACACACTTACACGCACGCACACACACCAATAGAGATTATCAAATGGTCGGCCTCTAATGAAAACCTGCACACACACGGGAGACTGTGTGGTCGGGATACCTCTGGAGACAGGACAAGTACCTTTTCAAATGTTATGTTCTCCTTCAATAGATATTGCTGCATATAACGAATGCACATAATATCTGACAATATCTGTTTAAATAAGGTAACACATTATCATATTCTAACACAACTAAAGACTAGATACGACTGTGACACATCATTGTTCAGTTATTACCTATTGTTTGTAAGCTCAATTATTATGTTTAATGTAAACTGATGTTGGCGAGAATGGATGAGTCGGGTATTTTGTTTCTACTTTCTACTTTAACGAACTATTATAGATCTGACATCAGCGTACTTTGAAAGAGACGATAATAGTGACACGTCTGAATATATCTATAACTCGGTTCACCTTTCAGTTTCGCTTTCTTTAATAACAAATAAGGTCACTGGAAGCTTGTTCCTATTTGCTCCTTGTAATTTGTTCTCAATTATGTCTCAGAATATACGTCATAGATTATTTTCATGTATGTTGAGAGAGAGAGAGAGAGAAAGAGAGAGAGAGAGAGAGAGAGAGAGAGAGAGAGAGAGAGAGTTCCCGATATTGGACACAGCTTTTTAATCTCTAATCTGCTCCGTCAAATATGACATCTGTCTCCTTACAGATACTCATATACAGATCATGCTTCAGAAATCAAACACACCGTTCTAATCGTTCTAACTATCTCTTCGCGTCACTATCTCTCGCTATGACATCTTTAGCTATAGCCGCTTTCATTTTGAATTGACAACCAATGACTACTTTATGTTAGGTAATAAGGTTGATGATATTTGACAAGAGGTCGATTTCATGGAATGTGTCATGTGAAAGGCTATCAGTGATTTACTATGACGCGTGCATGTGCAAGCATGTGTGCATGTGTACGTGCATGTTGTTACGTGTCGATTCCCAAATTGAAACAATATGTTAACCCAGAAATGTGTACGTAAAAGAACTTAGTGTGAAACCAACAAAGAACCAACAAATGGTAAACAATCAAAAATGTATTCACCAACTTTACAAATCAATACAAATTACTGCACAGCAATTATAATGGCAGTGCACAACAGATTTGTAGTACAATATTCAATGGTGATAAATAATATATAATAATACACCTTTCAGTTTCGCTTTCTTTAATAACAAATAAGGTCACTGGAAGCTTGTTCCTATTTGCTCCTTGTAATTTGTTCTCAATTATGTCTCAGAATAAACGTCATAGATTATTTTCATGTATGTTGAGTGAATTAAGTGAATTTGTAACATCTCTCAGAGAGAGAGAGAGAGAGAGAGAGAGAGAGAGAGAGAGAGAGAGAGAGAAAGAAAGAAAGAAAGAAAGAAAGAAAGAAAGAGAGAGAGAGAGAGAGAGAGAGAGAGAGAGAGTTCCCGATATTGGACACAGCTTTTTTTTATCTCTAATCTGCTAAGAACTTAGTGTGAAACCAACAAACAACCAACAAGTGGTAAACAATCAACAAATGTATTACAAAATTCACCAACTTTACAAATCCATACAAATTACTGCACAGCAATTACAATGGCAGTGCACAGCAGATTTGTAGTACAATATTCAATGGTAATAATTAATAGGATGGCTGTGGTCAGTATCAAATACAAAAATACAGTGGTGATAGCAAAAGTCAGTGTTTTTCATCATATATTTTCACCCGGTGACAGTGGTCAAGCTTTTGAGATGGGCTAGGCAGGGAACCAGAAAGAGGAGGGATCTGTACAAAATGTTAATACTTCTCCAGAGCACCAGATAACTTACGTATTTGCGTAAAATACGCAAACTACATGTTTAAATCCGCATAACCCATTTGAGATGTTTGCTTACAAATAAGCACGAAGAAATTAGATAACCCAGCAGTATAACAACACTGTGCGTAACTATCCAATGTAGCGTTTCAGCTTACGTACACAAATGTTTTGCGGATGTTTTCTTACTGACTGAATGGGGGCATCGTGTACATAAGGACTCAGAAGTCTACTGCAGTGAATAATGCACAAATGTGCAACATCTCACTTATTGTAACTTTTATCACTGTAATTAAGTTACGCAAACATTCAAATTAGAAGTTGAAACCTAAAACAGCATAGAAGTACATTTCTCTTACAAACCTCGTCAAGCCAGATATAAACAACAAACACACAATGTGGCTTCCCCTGTGGCACTCGCCGAGGCTATACTTTACAAACCCAGTAGCGTCAATAGCCTTGATCCATATCATTTCAGAACCACGTCAGTCACCGGCACTGTAACATCTTACTGTAAGATACATGCATGTACCAGGTACCGTTTATGCTTTGTGGTTCAGAACCATACTCGTCACTGTGACGACATTTGTCTTGCAGCAAGATTGCCAACACCTGACAACAGAAAATGTTCATAACCACAGTGCACAGGACATAAACATAAAATAAACAGCGCGCACTGTAACGGCGAAACCACAGGAGGGATAGAACTACCCGGGCTTAACAATTCCTATATATACCCCTTACGGGTGCGCCCTCTACCTTGAATAACCTCCCTTTATATCTGGCTTTATCTTCAAGAGAAATCAATTTCAGTCTAATTCATTCTGTTAAACCGAATGAAATTTCAATTATTTTCAGAAAGTTCAACTCATTCTTTCAATAACCTAATAGATTCGAAGAACGAGTGAGTGAGTATGGTTTTTCGCCGCTTTTAGCAATATTCCAGCAATATCACGCCGGGGGACATCGGAAAATGGGCTTCCAACATTGTACCCATGCACGTGGGTAATCGAATCCAAGTCTTCGACGTGACGAGCCACTGTGACGCTTTAACCACTTGGCTACCCCACCGCCCGAGATTGGAAGAGAGTAATAATACTCTGAATACTCCCAACAAACTCAATACCAAATGTGAATGATATAGTGTTTGGTACATACATTCCAAAATGATCATTCTTTCTATATATTTAGGTTGTGGGTCATGTTCATTTAAATCGTTCTTCCATGGCGGCCATAATGGATTTGGCGGCCACATTGGATTTGTTAGGGCGGCCCCATATCTGAAAATATTTGGAATGTCAGTACCTACAACTGTGCCAAATTTCATGCTTTTCTCACAAAGTGCACAACTGACCCTATATCTCTCACGAAATGGCTCCAAACTATGGTGTAACATCCGGCTTTTGGTCCTGTGCATTGAAGTGAGAGAAAGACGCTGATGTTGACGGATTCAGTTTTACAGTCCGTAACTGTCGTTACTTTTCACCTGTTAACCTTTTCGAGGTTGCATGATTAGGATACACTTTGCGGCTGTCACTTTCCTGGTAAGCGACGTTCTGATTGATCGGATGAAAGGTCGTTCTGACGCGACATTAATAGGGGTGTCCTCAGATCTTTGTGTAGCGGTTGCGAGATCTAAGGATATAAATGAGATTGTATATACAGTTTACCTTTTTCACTAACACCCCACGAGAATCATGTTTAGTTTCTCTGGCCTCTTTGACATTTCTTCATCAATTCAGTTAGCTATTCACGTTTCGTTCCCGTAGTTTTATTTGAATTGTCTCATCGATTTAGTATTAAAGATATTCACATCTAGTTCCCACAAGGCACATACCAGAATAAGGGAGTTTCTTATGTAGTTAATTGCATATATTACACAGCGCAGCATCCATCCCCTATGGGATAAAAGTAGACTTTCAGTGGAGAGTGTCAGGGCAGATATAACATAATCCATCCTGAAAAGCTATACTCAAAGACATAAGAAATGTGAATACCATACATGTTCCTTAATGTATGAAGAAATATCTCATATTCAAGAGATATTAGACTGATTGGATGCACAAACGAACATAATGGCATGGTGTGTGAACCGATGCTCATGAACGCATCACATGTGACAACATAGATCCATGACTGGACATGCACCTGTTCTCTTTCAGGATTAGCGTGTAAAGTTTGGAAATCACGTGCAACATATCGTGATAAGAATAAAGACACTGTAGTAACACTTTACTGATTGTTACTTTGGTCGGTAAGGTGTACACATTGGAAACATATCTTCTTTACGTACATACTTCTGTGTTTATGGTTCGCGTTTCTTTTGGCGGTGATTATATTAGCCTCTTTGTGTTTGCTGACTTCTTTGTACAATGTACAAAGTTGTTTGTATTTAAAATTTGGAACAAGACCAAACTGTTGTGTATGTTAATTATGATTTTAAGCATGCAATGATTCTGTCAACGTGCATGTTTAAATTTCCCATATGATGTGGGTTTGGTCAGGTAAAGTGTTTGGAAAGTATGCATATAGTCACTGTAAATATTAGCCTTAAGAATAATTTCCCTCTGATATCAAGTATATATGTTTCGACTAGAAACCTTTTTTTTCAATCCATTCTATTTATCAGTTTAAATATCGTGGTCTAGTGGATAGAGCGTCTGTCCGGAGAGCAGAACGTCGGTGGTTCGATCCCGACCGCGTCATACCAAAAGAAGTTAGAAGATGACACTAGTTATCACCCTGCTTCGCACTCTGCATTTAGGGGATAAAAGGACGAGACGACTTGAATAAGTACACCGTATGTGTACCTTCTTACAACGTGATCCATAGCAACACATAAGGAGGAGTCAACCACAGGTTGATTTCGCCTGGGAATACGGGTACAAAGCGATTGAAGCGTCCAGCATATCAGCCCACCGCTCCTCATGTAGATATTGCATACATGTACTGTCATAGATTGAAAAGATTGGTTTTGGTTTGTTGTTTTACCCCTACTCAGCAATATTCCAGCTATATGTGGGCGGTCTGTAAATAATCGAGTCTGGACCAGACAATCCAGTGATTGACATCATGAGCATCAGTTCACGCAAATGGGATCGATGACATGCATCAACCAAGTCAACGAGCCTCACCACCCGATCCCGTTAGTCGCCTTTTACAAGCATAGTCGCATTTTACGGCAAGCAGGGGTTGCTGAAGACCTATTCTACCCTGTATCTTCACTGGTCGTCAGCCATGTGTTGGTTGGTTGGGTTATTGTTTAACGCCGCACTCAGCAATATTCCAGCTATATGACAGCGGTCTGTAAATAATCGAGTCTGGACCAGACAATCCAGTGATTGATATCATGAGCATCGATCCACGCAATTGGGATCGATGACATACATCAACCAAGTCAGCGAGCCTGACCACCCGATCCCGTTAGTAGCCTCTTACCACAAGTACAGTCACCTTTTACGGCAAGCATGGGTTGCTGAAGACCTATTCTACCCCGGATCTTCACGTCAGCCATGTGTAAAGGTGTGGGATATTCCTGGCGCTGATTATTTGAGACTCCTACGCTTCAACACATTGTTCATCTATGGTGGTCAGTAATGGTCACCCCCGTGAATGCTCGGTTAGATTTGTTCACAACTCAACTTGTAGTCAACTGAATCTTCATCATTTCTCAATATACTGTCAATCCACCTGGAAAAACCTGGGTTAGAATTGGTCTTCTGCCACCCATGCTTTTCATTAGAGGGGGTCAGGCTCACTGACTTGGTTGATGCATGTAAGCGCATCCCAACTGCATAGTTTGGGTTTGGTTTGTTGTTTTACGCCGCACTCCGCAATATTCAAGCTATATGACGGCGGTCTGTAAATAACAGTCTGGACCAGACAATCCAGTGATTTACATCATGAACCTCGATCCACGCAATTGGGATCGATGACATGTATCAACCAAGTCAGTGAGCCTGACCACCCAATCCCGTTAGTCGCCTTTTACGACAAGCACAGTCGCCTTTTACGGCAAGCATGGGTTACGGCAAGCATGGGTTGCTGAAGACCAATTCTTCCCCGGATCTTCACGGGTCCCAATTGCAGTCACTAGATTGTCTGATAGTGCTGGAATATTACGGAGTGCGGAGTTTTTTATATTGTTGTTTATTCACAAAAAGTGTTAGGCCGTAGGCCTATTACACAGAACTATTTACAGAGAGAGGGAGAAAAAAGAATTACCACTATTTTACATATATATCCATATCCATACGCATTCATACACATACACATGCATATATACAAATAAATATTTAGACTGTATGCAATGAACGAAGTCAATAAAGCTTTGTAAACGTAGACTGCTAGTTTTCGTATGATTTTAAAGTTAGTGGATGACATAGGAGCATTAAATTTATTTTTAGAAGGGGTTGTAAAATATTTAGGAGGAGTATATTCAGCTCTTAAATCACTGTAAGCATTGCATATAAGCACAAAATGATATTCGTCCTCAATAAAATTCTGGTTACAAATCAAACAGTCTCTGTTCTCTAATTTCCTTAATATATCGACCGGTCTCAATTCGCAGCCGTGCGGAGTTAAACAACAAACAGTAATGTTCAAAGTAGAGTGTTCACAATATTTCTTGTTATCTTCTGGATCTTCTGGGCGTTCTTCTATAAGCACTTCTTGGTTTTGTTAGAAATAAAACTCTTGAAAAGTAATAAATAGAGTTTAATAACATTTTGCTTGAGACACAAACAATGGACGGATGTGTACGAGCAGTACAAGATTCAAGTTAACATCACATTAGGCCAAAACACAAGTGTTGCTGGACTTCAAGATAAGTTTGGATTAGAAGATAACCATGGAAAATACCTGCTAAAGGTAAAATCAGGACATTCACATCCAAGTACATGTGGCACCCAGAAACCAGTATATACTGATTGGCTATAATCAGTGACACTAACAGAAGAGTTTGTGAGGTGTGCTATACCCTGCTTCCAACAGTATTTCAGATACCTGTCAGGTTGATGTAGGGGGAAACAACAAAGAATGCGGGTCTAAGACATTTACTTCTTTGGTGATATGCACGAGCATGGGTATCGTGCTGATAAACCAAGAAACATAGCCAGGGATTCAAATCCACGATCTTAGGTTTCTGGCATGCCTAAGGGAGGCAACTCTGTCTATGACCACTGGTAGGGTAGAGAAACATGCAACATTGAGTCTTCTCACACGGAGGTTAAACTGTGATCCTCCAGTCCTGATCTGCTACAGGGGAATGTTCATCAATAGTTCAATATGTAATGATGAGGATGTCTTGTGACCAGTCATATGGTTCTTTAGTGAGGACACAAGGCTAGATAGGACAGCAAAGCCCAGCCTTTCGACACTGCAGTGACAGACATGATGAGCTCACTTCTAACTGGTGGTTTTGGTGACAAAACTTGATGGAGTAGACAACTTATCCTTCCGGATCTGTACTGGTGGCCTTGTCTAACGCTGCACTGGTGAACGCTTTGGATGATCAATTTTAGAACAAGGTACAACAAAAGATCCTTGTTTTCTGTTCTTGCATTTTGAAATATGTAACCATCCACACACCCCATCAAACAGCTCACCTCATCAAACAGCTCACCTCATAAAACAGCCCACCCCACCAAACAGCCCACCCCACCAAACCACCAATCCCATTAAACCACCCACCCCATCAAACCGCCCACCCCTTTACACCACCAATCCCATCCAACCACCCACCCCTCTTCGTGCTTATGCTATGGACTGGAACAGCTGTACTCTCTCCTCGTACAGTTTGTGGTACTCCGCAGCCAGGTAGAAGAAGGGCGTGTCCACATTCTGAATCTCCTTCTGTAAACAGCAACACAAACACGACTCATGGCTTTACCATATCGGAATATTTAAACCAACACAGACTAGAATGTGTTTTTACTGAAATAAATATGTCTCCCCCTCCCTTTTTTGGATACATCAGTTCAAGTTGTTACTGTAAATGTGTTTGCAAGTAAAAAAAACAATACTGATAGATAATGGTTTAATGCAGGAATATTCGTTAACTGCAGAGTTTTGGCGTAAAAAAAAAGCTACTTGTTTGAGACTTAGTCCATATTGTTTCCACGGAAACACAACAAATAAAAAAAATATGAAAATATGAAAAGGCAATAGTTGAGCATATGGTCATTGCACATGAATAGTTTCATGCAAAGATATTTATTAGTTTTGGATGTTTGGCCCGGAAACAAAGCTTAGAGTTGTTAGAGACTAAGCCCTATTAGTTTTCATGGAAACATAGCAAAATAACATTTTGAAAAATTTTAAATTAGCAAAAGGCACCAGTAAAGCTGATGAGCAATGCATATACCAAGTTTCTTTGAAATACCGTATTCGATGTAATAAGCGTCCAGGGTGCTCTTAAAATTAGAAATAGAGGGCTCTCACTTTTGGTGAGAAAAAAACCCAGAGTTGAACGATTGTAAATTTCGTGGTTTATGTTGACAGCCTTAGATGATACAAAAGAAAAGTTGGTGCATATTATACACGACATATATTTTTCAGAATATAATTGCCCATAATTAAGGGTGCATAGTGCGTATCATACTCGAATAAATAAGTCTTGTGTACACTGATCAATCGGCAAGGGTGATAATTGGGATTGTTCACTTGCCAATATATTAGCAGGTGATCGCCTTGGGCGCTTATCAGAGCGGGGCGCTTATTACGTCGAATACGTTATGTTGAATGTTTTTGGAATATGGTGGAGACATAATTATAGAAGGGCAAGACAACACAACCATGTTAGTCTGATCAAGGTCAGTGAGAACCATGAAGGAGACCAGTTTCCACTGTGTCAGTGCACGGAGTGAGGTTATTGTCAGCCCTTACATGTAGCAGTGTTGCAATGTAGGGTGAGCTACTCACAGATGAACATTCGAAGTACTCCAGCTGATGGGATGTGGCCAGGTCTTTCCCTGCCTTGGGGCTGACCACTCGCCTCTGGTCAAGGTCCACTTTGTTGGCAATCAGCACACCTGCCACAGGAAGCTTGTTAGTGGTGGAACAATGCCATACATTTTTGTACAATACATTATTACACAGTGGTTGTCATAAGTTATTAGTAAAATCTAAATATTTTTTACATTTGTATACTTATCCTGCATTACTCCTTAATGCATTCACTGCTTACCTTGCGACAAAGAAAAAGGGACACTGCCTGTCACCCGAGCTTAAGAAAAACATACTTTTGTGGTTTCTGAAGCCAAAGTGGGGAGGCAAGTCTGTGATGGGTGGGCCTTTAGCGTAGTAATGCAGGATAAGTATACAAATGTTAATAATTTTTAGATTTAACTAAATTTTTTTATTTATCCTGCGTTACTCCTTCATGCATCTGTATCGGACGGTTTGGAGGTGGGAAACCCTCAGAATACAAAAACCTCAATAATTCACACCCTGAAGGTACGACACCAATTGGTCGATAAACCTTGAAGCGGAAAAGTTCAGAAAAACGCCATAACGGTCAGGTTATTTCAATGTGAAAAACAATTGAACATAGGAATTAAAGAGTAGTTCATCAAATCTTTACTTACTACAATATAGAGCCTTGTGGACAATTGATTGTCTAATATTCTTCAACTGGCGAAATCTGATCGACTGCACTGGAAATGGAATGGCTAGGGCGAGTTCATTATTTGCGTTGAGGGTTGGTAACCAACTGAGCTACAACCAACAGCCCAAAATGACTGGCGAAAACTGTGTTGGACACCAAAAACATCCTTCCATGATTGTTTTAATAGTACAATTGCTGTGTAAATTGGTGATCGAATAAGCCTGAAGGTTGACTGTGCGTAACCTTGAGTGCCGTCTCATCCCTAGTGTAACTGGAAACTTTGGCATGCGTGTCCGTAATCTGTTCATTGAACAGAGACGTGGAAAACCAAGGTAGACGCAACAACCTGCACTTTAACTTCAAGTCCCAAGTAGATAGAGCCTCCGTGTGACAGTTATTTCTGCCAACGCGGCTTTGAGGTGATTTTTCATATGGTCAATCTGATGCTGTTGAAAATCAACTATAGTTTGGGGTCGATCTAGTCAGTTAGTGTTATCCTCTGACAGATTCTGCTCTACCGCACGTGTTGATGATGCTAGTGCTGATAAAGGTTTTAATACCCTTCGAATTTCCGTTTCAATAAACGCAACTCTGGTATCCTGAACCTTAAGAGTAGTAGGCCTTGACGAGCCTGCCATCCTCTGTATATCCTCATCCAAACTATGTGCCTGGTCTGCTGCCTCAAAGCCATGAATAGGAAATTCATCCTTCCTAAACCTGGGAGACTTGAATGACAGCGTAAGCGTCAGCCTGGAAAAGTCCTCATCCAAAGATCTAATCACATCTGACATCATAGGGTCGACCGGAATCAACGTAGGATGTGCCCATATAGTATCTTTTTTTTATCCACCCTGTTACCCGGGTAAGGTACTGAAATGAGTCAGTCAGCTCCCTAATCAGGTACTTGTGCCAGGCCAAGGTGAGTATTCCATTCTGTCGAGGAATCTCCCTCTTCACCTTTAGAATATTCTGACGAATCGGACGTGTGCGTCTAGATGGTGAACGACTTCTACTCCAATGTGTAGTACTACCTTTGACCAAGGACTTAGATGAACTGCCTGGTGAATAGGAGTCATGAGTCAAGGCCCTTCAAGGCAAAAAAAATTGCATCCAATTAGTGTTCTGTAATGGCATTGACGCCTGAGCTTGCATCTGCTGCACTGGATAAGTTGGTACAGCACTAAGCTGATCATGCACTGCCTGCGTAATATTGTACGCTGATCGCCCTGGGGCTGGCGTCATTGTAGATCCGCTTGGGTAGTAGGCAGTGGCTGCACTCGGCACAGGCATATGAGACACAATGCAAAATGGTGTAGGCTTGTACTTGGCTTGGGTTTGCACTACCCCTGTCAAGGCATACTGAGACGCTAGCGCACTGTTTACAGAACTAGGAGATGTAGATTTCTCAGGCGACTGAAAATTAGGATCAATTATAATATTCACAAGATCCTCCGGTTTTCGGCCAGACGTGCACTTCAGCAGTGACAGTATTACCCGTCGAAGATAATGGTTGCGTCATAATGACCGAACCATATCCCTCGCTAATCAGCGATTGTGACATCTTCCTAGTCTCACGACAGGATTGCTGCAAAATATGTTTGTGAGTGACCTGCCTATACCTCGTAAAACTCGTTGGAGAGAGATTTACGCAAAAAAGACATTCAGAATTTGGTGCACATATTTACGTGCATGCCAAACAACATGGATGAGGGTCTTTAGCACATTTATTTCCACAACAATTAGTACAACGCGCAAGCATAAGTTACGCAAATTAGAGACTTTTGATGAAGCGGGACTGGAAATCTGCTGAAAAATCTAGTTAATCTATCGGCAAATTTTGTAACGAGTTGAAAGTGTATTCAATGATTTGTATATTCGCAACTCAATGAAACGCCAAAGCTAGTAGTATTTGAAAACACATAAATATGTTATACATACATAGCTGAGAATTGTAAACAAATTGACTACCCTGGCAGGCAAACAATTGTAACACAATTCTAAACGGCGGTGAACAGATAGCACACGGTGGGAAAAAAGTCTTTTTCAATAAATCATATACAAGTTCACAACATGTTGAGAGTAATATAAAAAGAATACATCACCAGTTGCAGATGAATTTTAGAATTGTGGACGAAAACTGAAGGTCTAAATAAATCCAAAACGAGACTTCCGCTGGTACACGTCCGTGCTGCGCGACAGGCAGTGATGTGAAGAGGTGACATAAGGTCACGAAAGGTCACGAGAGGTCACAGGACAGCGACGGCTGGGTATGAAAAATGGGACTCATGAACAGTTTATTTCTTCACCCAGGACCATCACCGGTACGTGCCCTGTTTTCTTTGTAGCAAGGTAAGCAGTGAATGCATTAAGGAGTAATGTAGGATAAGTCAAAAATTATTATTATACACAGTGAGTGAGTGAGATGGGCTAAAGGCGCTTTTAACAGTGTTCCAGTTATATCACGGCGCGTCAGCTTAGTGTGGGAGGAAAGCCCAGGTGATGCAGGTCTCAGACGTTTACCACTTCGGTGAAACCAACGAGCATGAGTACGGTGCTGACAAAACTAGAAACATAATCGGGGCGAACCGGGATTCAAACCCAGAATCATAGGTTTCTGGCGTGTCCAAGAGACGCAACTCTGTACAGCGAATCATGGCGCCTTAGACGACTGGGCCTGCCGTGCCCCCCTTATTATACATAGTGATTAAAGGGGTTGTCATATGATCATTATTACCTGTCATCAGGAAACAGATGTATACAATATTATAATACATAACTCTGATAAACAGGTCTAAGACAGGGTTTGCCATCACCAACATTATAATCCAACTTTCACCAATGAGGAATAAAAAAAATTACTCAACGAGAGACTTTTTTCTTTTTATCAAGCGTGTTAATGACAGTAATTCGAAACACCAAAGTAGACTTACATGAAAAGGGAAGTAACTCTTTACTGGTTATTCAAAGCATAATTTCAAGCCACACATTTCTTTCACATTATCTTTCACACCAGACTATCAACTGATTAAAATATCAGAATATTATGAGATTAACATCAAAACTTTTTTGTGCAGAATGAGGCCAAACATCTTTCAAAACTTGAGGTCCATGAGTGTAAAAGAAGAGTTGCTGGTGCAAGTGTACCTGGTAGTTCCACATCTGGAAACTGGGAGCGAACCCTCTGTAACCACTTTTCACAGCTGGAGAAGGAGGTCTCGCTGGTCACGTCATACACAACCATCACCATGGACGGGTTCTGCCACTGCAGGGACACAGGAGATGAGGAGTACAAGGATTAAACTCATTGTTATCCGACATGTTGCTGATGCCCAGAATTAAGATTAAGTAAGACAATTTAGAGTGTTTCGTTTAGTGTAACATGACAACTTCATTAAAGAACCCAAAGATCAATCACAGAAATTGTAACTAGCACCTATCAACTTTGTGTAAAGCAGACTAATGTTTGTCACCTTCCCAGGATACAAGTTCTGATGGTAGAATTAAATACACAGTGTTCCCATTGGGTTTTGAAACTGACGGTCCTGGTAGACTGGCAACTCTAAAAATTACCAGTCCCTTTAATTTTTGTAAGTCCCAACTTTCAACAAATAAATGCAATGACGTCATCTCTGAAGCAACTTAGTTAGATCTACATGTCATTCACACCAAGTTTAGTCACAATTTTCTGTTTTTTTTAGTATATTGAGACTAAGTCGCTACAAATATATATTTAACCTCAAAGCAAAGAGAAATGTTCTTTCCTTGCAAAAAAAATAGACAACAGGAAATCCCTGATAGTAAAAGACAAGCTGACTTTGTTCGAAAATTATACTTATCTGAATATCACCAATGTTTTGTTCAACAACAAAGATTTATAAGGTACTTTATTTGCCGGTCCACAGGGACTGGCAGTCTCATGCATTACCAGTCCAAGCCTAATTTTACCGGTAAAAAAACGGTAAATGCCGGTAAACGGGGACACTGATACAACTGAACATTCCACAAGTACATCAACATGATCAAGAAGTACTCATTAGAGGGAAAAGTAGAACAGAACTATGTTTGAAAGGGTTAACTTACAAATTTCTTGACTGCTTCTGAGAATATTTCTTTACCAGCTGAATCAAACATGAATATTTCCTGCAATCACAAAGTCATTGATCAATTACAAATACACATATATGCTTCACGTTTAACACTCGTACAAGAGTAACAATTAATACTTCTATATTGCAAGGCATATGATACACAAGCACACATCTGTTCAATGGACGTCAAACATCTACAGAATAATCAGTAACTAATAATGACAGGTTTAAGCACGAAATCTCTCAGTGATTGGAACTCTTATGTTCAGAATTTACAGATGAGTTAAGTGGTCCTTGTGTACTTATCCCTATAGAACTAAAGGTCCTAAGATGACAGTAGTGATACTTCATCCCAAACACACCCACCTTATCTTCTAACACTTCCACCCCAAGCCCACCTGGCTGTGTACTCACCACACTGTCATGAGAGTCGGGGATATTGACGGACTTCACGAGCAGCTCCACCCCTGCATTCTGGGAATCATATACAATGTAGTCAAGTTACACATAGGCAAATCATCTAGAACTGTGTGGTTGGGCAGGCCGAAAACATTTCCAGGCCATATTCACTGTATTTATCCCCCACTCCAAATTCCAGACCAGTTTGTAAGTTTCTTTTGTTTGTTTGTTTGTTTGTTGTTTAACGCCACACACAGCAATATTCCAGCTAAATGACGGTGATCTGAAAATAATCTAGGGGAGGACCAGACAATCAAGTGATTGACACCACGAGCATCGATCCACGCAGTTAGGATATGATGACATGCATCAACCAAATCAGTGAGTCTGACTACCCAATCCCATTAGTCGCGTCTTACGACAAGCGTGGGTTGTTTAAGACAGTTTGTAATCCATATGATAATAACTATATAATTACATATTTCCTATTATCAAAAAAGTTTGTTTTATCAACATTTGAACTATGTCTGTTCACTACTGCTCAATCTCTGAAAATACATTAGTGCATTTGACGTAATAAGCACACAGGGTGCTCTCAAAAATAGAAATAGGGGGCTCTTATTAGAATATTATTTTGATGAAAAAAAACAGAGTTAAAAGATTGTAAATTTTGTGGTTTATGCTGACTGCCTAAAATGTTCATATATGACAGATATATTTTTCCAGAATTTAATTGCCCATAATCAAGGGTGCATATAACACACGAGAGGGTATTATACACGAATAAATAAGTGTACATTGATCAATCGGAAGGGGTGCTAATTGGGATTGTTCACTAGCCAATATAATCATATATATATAATATAATAGCAAATATCGCCGTGGGTGCTTATTAGAGCGGGGCGCTTATTACGTCAGGGACGGTAACTCTTTGTTTATCGGCTTAACAATTACAGAAAATACATATAAGAACAGTGTGGCTGGGATCACTCAGAACACTGTGTCCTAGCCTACTTACTAGCCAACCAGAATCACACTATGATGCTGACATAATGCACTCAACCTCTCGACCCATGTTAAAGATTCCTTACATTTGTATTTTGCCTAGATGATATCATTATTAGGTCGTACAATACAAAGTCCAAATAAAGGAAAACCAAGTTTGTATTTCATTTATTGAGCTAACAGATGAATTAAGAAGTAATACGTTATCATTACAAACGAAAATGATTACAACATACCATGGAATAATTTTTTGGAAAGCTGGATCCATCACTGTGAAACACTTGGCAAATGCTGCTCTTGCCAACCCCAGACTCCCCTGAAGTGACAAGAATGAGTGACTGTTGTTATATGATGCAGTAGGACAGCCTGCAGCTACATCAAGTGGCCTTCAAGTAATTGAGTCCAAGCAAACCAGTGACTGGATGCATGAGCTATGCACATCGGGCACTTAATGACACGACAGCCTGCTGCTTCCAACCAAACAAACATTTCCAATTTTGGATCAGAATATGATGTTGATGGGGAAGTTTGTTGTGTTTGTGGGAAATTCAATACAGATGAGCTTGTTGGTTGCAGTCTGTTGTTTTCACTTTGTGCGCAGTGCACTCATCCTTCATGTGCTCACTTAAAATACTGCACTCTGACATGCACCGTGAATTTCGCCCTTGAAATCGGTGACGCTTTGCTGAGGTGACGTTTTCGCTTGCACCCATATGGAGAATCACTCATCCCATAGTTGGTTTTCAGTTAGTTTGTGAAATCAACATTTCATTTTTCGCTAGTTCTATTAATTGATACAAAAAAACACATTCGTTTTATTGATATCATAACATAGGAATAAATGGTAAAACGGCACCTAAAATGTCTCTAGGTGCAGACTTGTTGACAAAAACCATGATCAGTACAAACTGCTATTCCTGGTGGATGTGTGACAGCAAGATGCGTCGCCTTTGCCAACTATACTCAGTCTCAAGATCTATTACTGGTACTAGCTTAAACTTCAACTTCGACAGCTTTGTAAACAGCTAGGCTAGAGCCTTGGACTTCACGGTCAATGTTATGTATACATATATTCAATCCTGAGTAAGATGTCAAAAGTTCGAATTCCAAATCTTACCGACAACAATACACTTGGCTCGCAAAATAGTCGGCATAACGATCTGCTTTTAGAAACCCTTCGCCTGTAACCAACGTAAACTTTTACCTTGCCGCACTTGTCAAACTATGCAAGTCTCGCAAGAAGAAAATACATGCTCCTGATTGGTTGAAATTTATCAATAATATTTTCCCAACAACTCTGTATTAAATCAGCAGACGACCGAATGAGAAAGAAACCTAGCTAACATTGACAATGATACTTGACACATCAGATTAGTAAATAAAATTTGAAACACCATGGGACTTCATTCGCTCAAATTTATTTTCTAAATTGCTTTCATAATGAGCGAGAGCACTTTCAAGACCCTTCAAATGGCATTTAATGTCATACGTAAATATATAATATTGTTGAATCTGAAAGGGAAAGGAAAAATAGTCTTGAAGTATATTACACTGAACAAGTTGTAGCCCAGAACATATGTTACATATCATCATAAGTGTCATCACTATTGTTGTAGTTAGTTAGTTAGTAAGTTAGTATGTCCTAGAGTTTAATTTGGCGGTCCTCCCACAATGAATGTAAACCATTAGTTCTATTTTGGGGACTGACTGTGGTCGAGTGGATAACGCGTCTGCCCGTGGAGCGGAAGGCCCGTGGTTCGATCCTCTGACCGCGTCGTCCCGAAAGATGGTTCTTGTAGTTCGGCATTCTTGGGATAAAACCATATGATTGGTCGGCTCAGAGTCAGTATAATGTGTCTGACTGGGATATGCATGCACGTCTCATGTAGATAAGCGCAGTAAGTGCCTGACCCCCTCTGACCTGGCATGAAGTAACGAGATGAAATGTATATCTCAGGGGCGTAGCAAACTCTAAATACGAAGGCACCAAAGTGAGTACCATAAATTTGAGGCTGCCAAACTGCTCGAGTTAACAAGGGGGTTTAGGGTACGTCCCAACCCAATCACTGCATCGCCATAAAAGCTGTTTCTGTATCTGTTTCATTCGTGATAATTCAGATGTTTTAAAATTAGGAATAACTTTCATTCATTATCATACCCTTGATCATTCGTGATAATTCAGATGTTTTAAAATTAGGAATAACTTTCATTCATTATCATACCCTTGGTAAGTTTGGTGCCCCTTCATTTGGCTTGATGGAAGATATGATGGGAAAGAGTCATTGAAGAGATTCCTGCTTAGGAAAGTCACCTCTAGTCTTAAGATCATATCATGATATGAAAATACTCCATTAATTGTCTATCGTCATCTCAATTGAAGTCAAGGCACTTCTTTTAAACCAATAATCCCTTCCATGACTATAAATGCACAAAGGAATTTCTCTGTGCACATATAGGGGAGATCAAAGTGGGAGACTAGTACAAAGGTGCGCAGCCCAAAAAAACTTCTTAAAAATACATATAGATAGTTTTTATTTTGTTTAGAAAATATAAGTGAAGGCACGTGCATATTGTGCCGATATGCAGGTATATAGACGCCTGGCAGTATATGGCAGACCTCAGGCTTCTGCAAATGATAATGCCTGAAAAATAGCGTTAACCTTATACTACAGGCCCAAGCGCATTACGCTCTCTAAGTCGTCGAATGGCATTTTGTTAATTTATAGTGTGTTTTTTATATGTTTTGATTCAGTGATCATTCGACAACAATTACCAGTAGGTTGTTGTAAAAGTTTTGTGGAAAATAGTAGGCACGGTGACGTTCTTTATACTTCCGGGGCTAATATCAACATTTGACAGCTCGAATGTAGCTGAGATATCGTAGATGGAAAATTGTTCGTGGCTGCACCAGATTGAATGTTATTGTAACGAATTTGTCTGCATCTGTCAGAAAAACTGGCAACAGAGGGTATTATTCACGTTTGAATGGATAGACAGAAGTCAAGAAAGTGAAGACTGGACGTGAAGGATGGAAGGATGACCCTGTGCTGTGACTGTCGGCTGGGATACACATGACATCGGCAAGCTGTTAGTTGTCCGGGGTTATCTGTCGACAGAAGAACAATAACAGCAGCAAGCAAACGTTTCAAACTGTGTTTACATGATGCTTTTCCACAAATAATGAATGTGGGACAATGAAAATGACACCATTGAAACTGTAGAGAGGAGTTGGCAAAAGGTAAATCAAAGTCTGTCCAACAAGAATCTGTTAGGCCCTATTGTGACCCTTCTATACATGTATTCTACCACAATGTCACAAATCGCAGCCATAGTTGCAAAGGCAACCATTGTAGCAAAAGCTGCAGTGCACAAAGAGGTACAGTGCAAATCACCAAACAGCACACAAACAACATTTGAGACTTCCAACCGTTATGTCCAGTCTTACTTGTCATATGATTTGTTTTCTGCAATTGAAGAAGGATGTTTAACATCTGTTCGCAACTTGCTTTTGTCTTATCCGGATTTGGATCTGAACTATCATATCAAAGATATTACTCCACTATCTTTGACTCTCTACAAGAGACATTTTGACATATTTCATTTATTTATGAGACATCATGAGAAGACAAAAAATATTGACTTGAACATGAGCAGCAAAGACCATTTAGGTCGTGTTGAACCTCCTGTTGTGACGTCCTGTCGGATGCACTTCCTCGAGGGTGTCGTCACCCTGGTGTCACAAGGTGCAGATATTGATGCTGCAGACAACATGGGCCATACTGCATTGTGGGTGGCATCACGACAGCAGATGCCTGATCTTGTACAGTATCTTATTGCGAATGGTGCTAGTGTCAACAAGATGGATAAGTATAACTGTACACCCCTTCTTGCCGCTTTTATGTACAGAGTGAGTTCAATAATACTCAAGACCCTGATCGTGCATGGCAGCAGTCTGGGTGGCGTGGGACCCTACTGTCCAGCGGAGCAGTCTCCTTTGTTCTGGGCTGCCAAGCATGGGAATGTGGAAATAATCAAACTTGTGTTAATGGCTGGGGTATCACCTCCACAGATCCGTTCAGTGCGTATGGCGCTCCAAAACAGTGACATTGATGAAGATATTGTTGAACTCTTGGACATGGAATCCAAAACACCCCACTCCCTCCGTCATCAATGCAAGTGTGTTCTCCGATCTCACATTATTAAACAGTCTGATGGCAAGAACTATTTGCAGAGTGTTGACAGTCTCCCACTGCCATCAAGTCTCAAACACTACCTGCTCCTCAACAGATGATGCCCTGATAGCTGGAGATCCACCTGTGCTACTTGCTGTTGCATACCTGGAGATCCACCTGTGCCATATGCTGTTGCATACCTGGATATTCACGTGTGCCACATGCTGTTGCATACCTGGAGATCCACCTGTGCCAAATGCTGTTGCATACCTGGATATTCACCTGTGCCACATGCTGTTGTATACCTGGAGATCCACCTGTGCCAAATGCTGTTGCATACCTGGATATTCACCTGTGCGGCATGCTGTTGCATACCTGGATATTCACCTGTGCGGCATGCTGTTGCATACCTGGAGATCCACCTGTGCCACATGCTGTTGCATACCTGGAGATCTACCTGTGCTGCATGCTGTTGCATACCTGGATATTCACCTGTGCCACATGCTTTTGCATACCTGGATATTCACCTGTGCCACATGCTGTTGCATACCTGGAGATCTACCTGTGCCACATGCTGTTGCATACCTGGAAATCCACCTGTGCCACATTCTAAGGTCACACAGTGCATAACTCCAACATAAATGTCAAGAAATGGAAAACTATTTTGTATAATCATCAGATCATTATCATTCTTTCATAATGTTTGTTAGCAAAGTTTGCTTAAGTGCTATAATGGCTGTGAGTGTAAACATTTCTCTAAGCTAAACATTTTGTGCTAGTGCAGTACTGGCCTTGGTATATTGGCAGAACACATACCCCTGTACATCATAACCATCCATCAATGTCCATCATTACCATTGTATCTGTTTTCATGATTACAAGCCGGATATTTTTAGATGTTTTTCTTTCTTCATTTATTTAACATGCTCAACCACATGATTACAAGAATGCCTCTTTCACAGACATTTTATGGAATTGATTTTATGTGAATTATTGGCTTTGAAATGTTATGTGAAACTCATTTGAAATGGTCAAGATTGTTTTGTATATTTTGTTGGTTACTGGTTATGCTTGCAATATATTACATGGGCTTCATGTGTAGTGTAGAATTCAGACTGATACCTTTAGTCATAGGGGAAGTTAACTTCATCGTTTGAGCAAATGGTTATATAATGCTGTTTTGTGATCTGGGATATTTGTTAGTGTATGGGAAAGTGAGGGCATGGAAAAGTGTTTGAGTGTCTGTGACAGTTTATATGCATGTTGTGTTCAGTTGCTCCCATGTCAACAGTCTCTTCATATCTTCTTGTCAGCACAAGTCAAATACTTCTGTGTTGAGTCACACTTATTATGTTCAGATTATCTGTAAGAGACATATTTCCTCCATTAGGAAGACAGGCTTCTTCCAGTTTACTTTTCCATTGGCCCCAGCCCTTATTCTACCACTTTACTGTTAGATCGTTCAAGCCCTTATTCTACCAGTTTACTGTTAGATCAGCCCATGCCCTTATTCTACCACTTTGCTGTTAGATCGTCCAAGCCCTTATTCTACCAGTTTACTGTTAGATCAGCCCATGCCCTTATTCTACCACTTTACTGTTAGATTGTCCAAGCCCTTATTCTACCAGTTTACTGTTAGATCGGCCCATGCCCTTATTCTGCCAGTTTACTGTTTGATCGTTCAAGCCCTTATTCTACCAGTTTACTGTTTGATCGTTCAAGCCCTTATTCTACCAGTTTACTGTTAGATCGGCCCATGCCCTTATTCTGCCAGTTTACTGTTTGGTCGTTCAAGCCCTTATTCTACCAGTTTACTGTTAGATCGTTCAAGCCCTTATTCTACCTGTTTACTGTTAGATCGGCCCATGCCCTTATTCTACCAGTTTACTGTTAGATCGTTCAAGCCCTTATTCTACCAGTTTACTGTTTGATCGTTCAAGCCCTTATTCTACCAGTTTACTGTTAGATCGGCCCATGCCCTTATTCTGCCAGTTTACTGTTTGATCGTTCAAGCCCTCATTCTGCCAGTTTACTGTTAGATCGTTCAAGCCCTTATTCTACCAGTTTACTGTTAGATCGGCCCATGCCCCGATTCCTTTCCAGTGTTCAAAGTTAAAGGGGATCCCGTGCCCTGGAAATCTTCTCCCTTGGTTTTTGAATGTAGGGACCCCCTCAATGTTTAACTTTTAGGGTTGTTATACCCCCTTGAATTTCAGCCTTGATTTCAAACACTGCTTCTTATCTGTTTTGAGGCAATACAACACATACACAGGTATATGGTGGTCAAAAGTAATGAAGACAAGTCATTAGCTTCTGGTGATCCAGTCTGGGGTAATAATAGGCACTGCGATGAATGAAAACTTGTTTATTTATGTCGTACATGCAGGAGCTTTAACTTACACTATTGGCCCTGATCAACTACATCAACTGCTAGGATGCTAGTCCAAGACATTTTCTGTGGCTTTCAACCCTGTTTCTTTGATTTTTATAATGATGGTTATTTAGAGTTCTAGCCAAACTTTGTAAGAGTGGCTGAATTATGTCTGTCTGTGTCTGGCAGTCTGTGTCTGGCAGATGACCGTCTGTGTCTGGCAGATGACCGTCTGTGTCTGGCAGATGACCGTCTGTGTCTGCCAGTCTGTGTCTGACAGATGACCGTCTGTGTCAGGCAGATGACCGTCTGTGTCTGACAGATGACCGTCTGTGTCAGGCAGATGACTGTCTGTGTCTGCCAGTCTGTGTCTGGCAGATGACCGTCTGTGTCTGCCAGTCTGTGTCTGGCAGATGACTGTCTGTGTCTGGCAGTCTGTGTCTGGCAGATGACCGTCTGTGTCTGGCTGTCTGTGTCTGGCAGTCTGTGTCAGGCAGATGACCGTCTGTGTCTGCCAGTCTGTGTCTGGCAGATGACCGTCTGTGTCTGCCAGTCTGTGTCTGGCAGATGACCGTCTGTGTCTGGCAGATGACCGTCTGTGTCTGGCTGTCTGTGTCTGTCAGTCTGTGTCAGGCAGATGACCGTCTGTGTCTGCCAGTCTGTGTCTGGCAGATGACCGTCTGTGTCTGCCAGTCTGTGTCTGGCAGATGACCGTCTGTGTCAGGCAGATGACGGTCTGTGTCTGACAGATGACCGTCTGTGTCAGGCAGATGACTGTCTGTGTCTGCCAGTCTGTGTCTGGCAGATGACCGTCTGTGTCTGCCAGTCTGTGTCTGGCAGATGACCGTCTGTGTCTGCCAGTCTGTGTCTGGCAGATGACCGTCTGTGTCTGGCTGGCTGTGTCTGGCAGTCTGTGTCAGGCAGATGACCGTCTGTGTCTGGCTGTCTGTGTCTGCCAGTCTGTGTCTGGCAGATGACCGTCTGTGTCTGCCAGTCTGTGTCTGGCAGATGACCGTCTGTGTCAGGCAGATGACCGTCTGTGTCTGGCAGATGACCGTCTGTGTCTGGCAGATGACCGTCTGTGTCTGGCAGTCTGTGTCTGGCAGATGACCATCTGTGTCTGGCAGATGACCGTCTGTGTCTGGCAGATGACCATTGTGTTGGACTGCTTCCTTGTAATTCTCTTCATGTGTGGTTACTGTCGGTATGATACTGCTGTAACCTAATATTGATTTAAACATCCAGCAGCGCTTCAGGTTGATTTGATTACTCTGAGGTCAAGTCCCTCATTAGTTGGGGAAATGGCAGGCTTATTAAATATGTTGCCAGGGGACATGTATTGCTCATTAATGGAGGTTTGGGATATTTTAAGGGTCAATGAAACAGGCCCTCTTTCAATCTGAAGCACTGCTAACTGGTCTATCTTTTGTCCTGTTGCTCCTGACTACGTAGCATCAGTGATGTGGCTTCCATGAAAATCTGACTTTGCATCTGTGATGATGATGTGTGAGTTGTCAGTGATGTCCCCAGTTCTGTAGACTCTGTTGACCAGGGAATGTTTTCGAGCTTGATGCTGGTAGAATTGTATGGGCAATGCTTGCCTGCATGCTGAAGCCATCTGGTGTGTTCATCATTGTTTAAATGTGATTTCCTCTGACTGTGTGTGAACATTGGCAGCTGATTAGCAGTAAGAACTTGATCTTACAGAAGCTCTGAACATCACTGAGAATCTATAACCTGCTACTGCCCTGACAAACTCTCATTGTGCAGGAGCATCTTGGCTGAAAACAAACAGCGGAATTGGTCCTGATTTCAGCATCATCCATCATCTCATCAACAGATTCACCCACATTTTGTGATCAACTCAAGTTCCACGTATCTGGGTTGTAGACTATCAGGATTTGCCACAGTATCAGTTGCTTGAGTGAATCTTGACCTTGCCAGAAGGTCAATGCTTTTCTTACCCTCAATTGGAAACATTGTACATGGCTTTTGTTACAGAGTACGACCTTGTTCATCAGTGGACCAAATATTCACAAAATGTTGAGTGCTATGTGTGGAAATGGTTCCCTTGTTTAGCCATTCAAAATGTAACAAAGTTGTACAAGACTTGCTTCCCAATGACAGCCCTGAGGCTGGTTGCTGCCAGATGTAGACTGGTGTACTATGTGTATTGATGTGTGTATTGGTGTGTACTGATGTGTGTGTGCTGGTTCCTGCCGTGCTCCGGATGTGCAAGGTCATCTCCCATTGTCCAGGGGGAAGGTCAAGGTCAGCAGGTGTCATTGTTAATGAATAACGATGTAATTGCTACATTTGTCGTTTTTCTACATTGATTTCAACAGAAGGATATTAGTTTGTATATCTGTATCTCATCTGAAAATATTAACAATACTATATACTACCCTGGTACTCAACATTTGAGAGGAGTACTACATACTGTTACATGGCTAGAGGACAGAAACTTGTGCACTTGCTTTTATTAACTTTACATGAAGCTGAACATGCTCAAGATGCATGGCAATATGGGATACTGTTCGTAGGAAACCATCTCCAAGCAGCCAGTCACACATTCAGGTCCCACACTAAGCATAGCCCTATCACACGTTGAGTAGTATGACCAACTTCATAGAAAACCAACCCTTGGGTAACCATGGTTAATCAGTTTGTTTAGACGGAAAATTATAGACACAAACCCCTGGGGATGGCACATGGATAAGCAGCATCAAGCGAGTCGCTGCTTCTGAATTACATGATCGGGTGTCGACCTGTCACAGGGTGTGTGAAGGGGACACTAAACTCACGGGGTCGTTAGTCAGTAACTCAGTTTCTTCTCACGCCGCTGACCGAGACCCTCACTTCTCCATGTTTTTCTTGCCACAAGGGCCAAAGTATTGAAATCTCATCTTCTACTTTTTGCAATATTTCTAAAAAAAAGATTATTTCTATTTTTTAGATTTATCTTTGAATATTTGTTACTATGTTTTACTGAAAGTTGTGAATCTCTGTGTGTACTTGTCAATGTGAGAAAGAATCATGTTCCCATTCTACTTCCTTAGTGTTGCTACATGGCGTAGATATTGCCAGTCTACTTCCCTAGTGTTGCTACATGGCGTAGATATTGCCAGTCTACTTCCCTAGTGTTGCTACATGGCGTAGATATTGCCAGTGTCATGCTTAATATAATATATTTAACTTATTCCTCCGTGTGTTCTCAAAGATGAAATGACAGTGATGAGAATAGATTGGCAATTCATAATGTACTACATGTACTAGCTTAAGATGCGCTTTCCTTCAAACTATTTGTACAATAGTTTATGGTTTTGTTGTCTAGGAAATCAAGGCCTCTTAAATCCACTAGAAAGTTTATTTATGTTTAAATGTTTGACAATCATATTACAAACAGGTTGTGTTGTTAATTGAAATCCTTTGTTGTTGCATTATTCTCTATGATGTTTTTATTTTCTTGGGACAGCTTGGTGTTACAGGTAGCATGAGTGCTTCTCTCTAACAGACACCAGAGCTATTATATGGCTGTTATTAAAACCTACTTCTCAGTTGTCACATTCTAAGGTACTCAATGGATTCAACTGTTTGGTTCCATGTAACCATGGCAACGTAGTGTCCCAATGGTTGATGTGTAACCAGTCTATCCTATGGCTCGTGTAAGAGACATCTCCTTTGCCTCCATCTCAATCTCATTAAAATCAGATCTTAGTTCTCGCTACCGCTAAACAAAGATCTGAGGACATCCCATTACAGGTCACGTCAGACCGACCTTGCGCAAACTTTAACCGACCAGTGGAATGACTAATCAGAAGGCAGCTTTCTTGTGCTTTACGGCACTAATTTCAAATTGGCGACTACGCTTCAAAACATATTTTGACAAATTCTCGATTACAAATTTGAAACCTGAACAAAAGAACATTCTGGAATGGCTAATAGATGGTCTAGATTGTATGGATTCAGTCGTTAAACCCGTAACTATCGTTCGGAATATCCCGTGTTAATGTTTTTGAGGATGTATGATTAGAAATCACATTCCGACTTTCATGATCTGGTAAGTGACGCTCTGATTGGTCGGATGAAAGGTCATTCTGACGTGACCCCTAATGGGATGTCTTCAGATCTTTGTTTAGCGGTAGCGAGAACTAAGGTCTGATTTTAATGAGATTGCCTCCATCTAGACAGGGGGTTGTGAGGCAGCCTATGTGTGGTTTTATGATTGACACTGAACCTCGAACTCTAAACCCCTTTTCTCAATCTTTGATATACCATTCTGGTGTTCTGTATACACATCATCAAAGTAATGGTGTTGACCATCACAATTGATAAACAAGTCATGTCATTTAAAAGAAGGCTTTTATTGATACACATTTACAATCTCATTAAAATCAGATGTTAGTTCTCGCTATCGCTAAACAAAGACCTGAGGACATCCCATTACGGGTCACGTCAGTGTGTCTTTTCATCCAACCAATCAAAGTGTCGCTAACCCTATCATGAAAGTGACAGTCAGAATGTGTTTTCTAATCATGCAACCTCGAACACGTTAACACGGTGTATTCCAAACGACAGTTACAGCCCGTACGACTGATTCCGTCAAAATTATTGTCTATCTCTCGCTTCCGTGGGATAAACATTTGAACGGAAGAGGTGTTGCACAGTACATGGGAACCACTGCCATACAATCGCAACAATATATTAGACATTCTGGAAAGTTTGTTTGTTCAGTTTTCAAAATTTTAATCAAGAACTGTGGCAACATATTTTTCAAGCGTAGTCTGAAATGGAAGTCGCAAGGTTGAAACGAGTGCCATAAAGCTAGAGTAAGCTGCTTTTTAATTGGCTGATGTCGACTTCTTGTTAGTGGTTTCAGTGGTCGGTCAAAGTTCGCGAAAGTTCATTCTGACGTTATCAAAAATGGGATGTCCTCAGATCTTTGTTTGGTGGCAGCGAGAATTTAGATCTGATTTTAATGCGATTGGACACATTTATTGCAAATAACTGTATTTTAAAGAAAAGATTAAAAAAACAAAAAGAAATATTACCTACTTGCTCTTTTTTTGCCTGTCTGAAATAGGAAAGATATATTTATTTTTTGACTAACATTAAGTCGGGAGGGAACAATGGACATGCCAGACTTCAACTCAAACTTGCAGGAAATGAACTGGAATCTGTTGGGAAAGTCTCCAAAAGAAGAACATGTACACATGCATTTTTTAAAGGTGCGACATCAATCGGCAAGTCACCTTTATCTGGTCTCTAGTTTCAAACTAGTAGATGGTAGATATGTCACATAATGAGGTGGACTTAAGACTATACCCCGCAGAAAGTAGAGACTATATTTTTACTACTATACCAATGTATCTTCAGAGGTGTACCTTGTCATGGTAGCTGTATCCTTTTCAACACGGTCACATCAGATAGCCATTCTAGTTGTACGAACTTTGCTCAAGATATTTTTACATCCATTTGGAGGCTGTTGGGTAGACTCCCCTTGATTGTATCACACAGGTTCACTGAGATTATTCCGCCACCTGTATAATCCCTTGGGCATGAGTGGGGTAATTACATTGCATGAATTCACTGTAAACTATGTAATGCGGATCCCACTGCATACTGCTCGTATAACAGGACGGCTGTTGTTGAAGACATGCTATTATGTTCCTCACAGAAACTAGGTGTACACTTTGATTTGAAGACAAAAGCAAATGGAAACAATTTGGGCAGCGTAATGTTCACAACTGCCCCAGGTTGTGTGCTGTGACAGTCCTGGCATGAACAAGTTACAGTAGGGAGTCCTGCCAGTGCTGGCTGAGGTTGTATTGGACTGCCAGGTGTTGATTGTATGTCTGCGATTGTGTGGCATGTGTGTGACCTGTGTTTCTCCGTTTGACTTGTACTACAGTTACCCTTGTATGGGCTGACAGGTAACATGCTTCACTTGTTGACAATTATTTCCTAAATAAATTTGCTTATATTTAATGAAGTCGGTCTTTGTGTCTTGGTGTGATAGCTCTACAGCACCTCCTGACTTCCACGTCCAGCAGCTCACCTAAAACACACTACAAAAGATTACGTCGTTGCAGCTGTGTTCTTGTCCTTCAGACTTGTGAAGATCCCTGGTAGAATAGGTCTTCAGCAAGCCAAGCTTGCCGTAACAGGCGACTATGCTTGTCATAAGAGGCAACTAACCGGATCGGGTAGTCAGACATGCTGACTTGGTTGATGCATGTCATCTTATACCAATTGCGTGGATCGATGCTCATGATGTCAATCACTGAATATTTGAGTCTACATTTGCACAAGGCAAAATTTCAGTCATGATGGTAAAGAAATGAAGCCAAATTGTTTTACAAAACTGACATCTTATTGGCTAAAAAACCAAGCATCCTACAATTAGATTCACTTGACATGTCCTCAGATCTTGAACGCAGAGAGGTATAATGTATTAGAGTTACCGATCTGATTTCAGTGAGGTCATAATGATATTAATACGTTCCTTTGTGGCATCATGGGATCGCCTCTCAACTTTGTCCCAAGACTATATAAAGATCTTACTTGAGACAAAAAGACTTCACATACATGTATGCAACATTCACTCTGAATGTACCTGGTACCTGTTTTAAGAGCCAGGTCATGCTTTACTCAATCAGTAAGAAAAACGAACATAGTTACAAATCATTTTATTCAAAGATCCATCATGATACATACATACAGTCCTTTTGACTATAAATAAATATTTACAACACATCACAAGAATCATAAGAATAGGCAAGAATTTAATATTTATAAATATTAATAAATATATTAGTCATTTTAGATCCTTAAAGCTACAATTTACGTGAACTGATCATAGAAGTTTGGTTTCCTTGAACTCACTGTATCAGAAAGAATACCAGTTTCTGACCCAAGACAGACAGGTCGGTCAGAGACATCCCATGTTACCATGGTTACAACAGAACTAGAAACTAAACATATGGCCATAAAAAACAGTTGGCAATAAAAATATAAAATCATACATGACAAAACACATTTCCCCTTGTCTGCAGTCATGTTGGACATGACTGCAAGCTTCACGTCTCCGAGAGACACCACGTAATACAACAATCTTGAACTCCTTACCACTACACATGGCCCCATGTTTCAAATACATAATTTTGATAGATGTTTGAATAGATGAAACAGTTCAGGTGCAACTACTCACACATAAAAGACATGTTATTGGGACTTGGACGCTTACCATTTGGTACAACCCAAAAATACAGGTATGGTGCTGACAAACCGAGCAACAATCGGGGAGATTCTTGGATTCAAACCCACGTCCATTATACAGTCTTCTGTCACTCATAAGTGAAGATGACTGAGCCACTCGTCACACAAAAGTTGATACTTTACTTGTGACTGCATCAATTCAGCTTTAATGAGATAAATGTGTCATTTAACAAGATTAGCCAAATATCCTCTATTGGGCTTAAAAATAAAAGAATTGGTTCTCAGGCAAAGGTTTTTGTAAATATAGTGCGGGTGAGCGGTGGGGGGGGGGGGGGGAGATCTTCAAACTAGTATGTAACCAAATAAACAGTTGTGTATCCAGATAAACAATTGTGTACAATCAACCTTGGAAATGGCCTCCCAACATAAATGTATTCCTTGATGAGTAAAGTACTGGTATACAGTATTTTAACTACCGTTAGACTTGGAATAGTTAAGGACTTCTTTTTTTTCAAATTGGAAATAAAAACGAAACGTGCGGCGAACTTAATGATGATGCCGGCTGTGCCTGAGAACCAAGACTATTATTTGTTTTAGCCTTGAGGTACTGGAATATGTTTCTGAACGTTCATATTGTTGGAGGTAGAATGCTCCCGCTGCACTGAATGTTTTAAGTACATTTGTTGGACAAAATGTGAGCAGTGGTTCCCATTAGATGCCTGGAGCATCGACTGGAATGACAAATTGTCAAGTAAAGAGAGGTACACCAAACTTAACCATGGGATCTTTAGTAACATCAACGAATAAAATCTACATCAGTAATAAAATAACAGTGGAATGCTTTGTGTTACAATGATGCTGAGATTGTACCACAGAATCACACACAGAGAGGGTTCGACATAAGTCATAACACCTAGTTTGCAGCCCTCTAAGTCTGTTGTTTTGTTAGGGAGCCAAGCAGCTCCTAACAGGAATATTTTAGGAGCTAATCCTACGTTTTTAGGAGCCAACAGAATTGTCGCCAGTTATGTTTATTTCTTGATGTGGCGAGCAATAGATAAATTTAAGTCACCAATCATAGATTTAAATCACATTTGGCCACCAGAATGGTCCCAACTAAGAGGGCGGGCTTGAGGGAAGTAACAGCTGGGTTATATCAGTAGCCATGTAAATTCAATGATAAACTTTCTTGCAAGAAGATTTGCAAAGATTTTACAGCTATTGAAAATCTTTTTCAGAAACCCAACACACAACACCCCAACATGACAACACTGAGTAGTCGTACAATATTGACGAGCATTGTTTGTCTTTGTGAATCCAATATGACATGTGAGCATTGTTTCATCAATGGAAGGTGTAGAATATTGATCCTTAACACAGGTGATGGCGTGAATACGATCCATAACATCACAGTTAAAGGTGTGTGAATATCATCAGCTGAAGGTGTGATAACGATCCAAAACTTCAGATACGTGTGTGATGAGGATCCAATTCACAGTTGAAGGTGTGTGAATATGATCCATAAAAATACAGTTGAAGGTGTGTGATACCAAGAATATTGCCTTATAAACCTTATTGCAACATAATCAACTTGTCATCTTGTTACATCAACTGATGACCGAGCTGGGTTGAACATGTGGTTTCCACAGCTGTCTGAATCAGAGGTATCTCACTGTAATTTGAAACCACCGATTGACCAATTAGATTTGAGCACTTTCCATACATAACTTCAAATCAAAATGAAGATACACATAAAACTTTCTAAAGGTAATTATTGAAATTTCAAAACTGTATTAGCTAAATATGTCACTGAAATATCTGATGATATAATACCTACAAAGAATTGCAGACATTCATAACCATTTGTAAACTATCAAAAGTTTTAAAAAAATATTAAAAATAAACTTGATAACAGATGCATTGCTCAGTACACAAGTCAAGATGATCAGCCCTCTATCATGGGCACTGTGATGCAGGCACCTGTTGGACATACTTCATCAACAAACACAAGCGTTAAGTGATATCCGTCAAGACAATATGTACAGTAGAAAGCCCAATGTCATGAACAATGATACGAAGTGATGCAAAGTTATATGCTGTACACCAGATCAACTCACACACACTATGTTTAATAACCTACTCATTCACACAGTGATTCACTGACGCAATAACTGAATGCTTCATTGATGAAGCCTGTATATTATATAAAAAAATAGACTGGGAATTACCCAGTGGTGGTATTCCCCAAACCTAAGCCTATCAGGTGTCTGTTTATTGGGAACCTCCTAACCTATTGTGGCTAAAACAGTTTGATATGCTGAATCTGCTCTTTGTTATTAATAAACAATTTTAGGCTTTATATAAAAAATATGAGGTCAATAACTGTAATATATGCACCCAAAAAAAGCAACATCGACCTCGCATGAAGTACATAAGGTTTAAAAAAATAAAAGAATTGGTTCTCAGGCAATGACTTTTGAAAACAAAGAGCGAGCGGGCGGTGGTCTTTTTGCTTGTTCAAACTACATGTAGTATGTACCATCAACCTGGGAAGGTCCTCCTTTATAAACAAGCATTCAAACTCCTATTGCCACCATAACCATAACACAAGATGCACAGTAAAGCAGTGAGCATGTAAAGGGAAGTAACTGCATGCTATATTGGAGTGCATTGTTTTTATGTCCACATGTTAGGATTTTTTTATTTAAAAAAAATGGAAATAAAAACGAAACATGCGGCAAACATTCTGATGATGCGGGCGGCGCCTGAGAAACAAGACTATTATTTTTTAGCCTAATGTCCTACATCAGAACAGTCTTGACAGGTTTAATTCGTTATAGGAAGTCAAGGGTACAACATCCTTGTTCTCCCTGTTTGGAAGGAGGATAGGCATGTTCAAGTAATCATACACTTTATATTTACCTCGTCTTTGATTCTGCAATACGCATATTTAACAAAATAATTTTCCAACCATATGATACAAGACACATGATACGGTCAGTACTTCATTCATACCAAAAACAATGTAGAAACTATATGCAACTCAAAAAGGATATATCATACAAGAAATAATTCAGTCCTGTAATGCAACGAAATTTAAGCATGGGATTATAGTTACGTTCTCTTTTATCATGCATTTGTATTGCATCATCAGCTTGTTCGTTCTATAATTACAATCTAACAAAAACTAGAAAACAGTTGCACTATGGACATGGTGGAATATATGAGACAGTTGTTATGCTATATATCATGTCATGGCTCTGACGTACCCAAGGGACAATGTTTAACAATAGACAGAGACATGAGGCCCTGTAGCTCACCTGAGATAAATATTAAGAAATAAGGTTTAAAATCTAATCAGAATTCGGTGAACAAGAATCAGAGAACACACAATGCCGTTTAGAAAGTTGTCAAATGTAACAAATATTATCTATAGGATAAAACTTTCTAAGTAAAGTACAGGTTCTCATACTTTTGGGGGTTGAGTCCCATACGAGAACCTGTACTTTACTGAGAAAGTGTTATCCCCAAAATAACATTTGTTAGGATTTAGAGACACGATAGCTGGGATTGTTCATACCAAGTACCAGCTCCGTAGGTTTGGTAGCCTCAGAAGAGATGTTGAAAGTGCCGAATGGGGAGATACATTAAGGTTAAAGGTCATAGCGTGACATGCAAAAAAAATAAAAGCATTCCAAAGGTGGTATTATATATTATTTCGCATTCCACATTCTTACTGCATAACAAACGTCTTAATGACACAAGCTTAGATGGCTGAGTCATGGGACAAAATAACATTTCAATATGGCTGCCATTGTGGCCATGTTCACAATCAGGTCAGATTCTGAGCAAGTCTTCAAGACACCATAGCTGCAATCATTCTTACTCCATGGGCCTTGTAGTTGTAGAGATGTCGACCATGTTAAAGTTAACGACAAACAACAGGACAGAAGGACAACAGACCATGACAAAGTTCACTTGACTTTGTCACATGAGCTAAAAATTGGTGCACAGATTCCAGCAACCCTAACCATATGAAAAGTGGAAACAAATATTCCGAAAAGAATAATATTATTTCCATTCACTGAATGCAAACATACATGTTCACCACTCGTAAGATGACATACACAGGTTAGACAGGAAGATAATACAGGTGGCTTAATGATGAGATAAGTCAAGTAACATTGCATTTATCTGAAATGAATTTCTGTTTTACACACAACAGTACTAACAACTGTTACAAAGAGACTCTGCTCCACAGCTTGTCACGGTCGAGACACTGCAGCTGGAGGCCTACTGTGCCACTGAGGCATTATCTCTATGTAATTGGGTGATTAGTTGGGGTGAAGCGATACAGCAAGGTCACGATACGATACATATCATGATACATATGTCATGCTACAAAACGTATCAGGATATGGATGTATATATGTCAAATTATATGGAAACTTCTTGATTATAAATATTTCAGGCCAAGTTCAAAAGGTAAAGCCAGCTGTAGACACATATTCACAGCAGCTATTTTTAGGAATGAACTTGAAACCCTAATTACAACACATTTCGCGATATTTGACTGACAAATATGCTGGGTGTCATTAACAAGTTGTAAGTAATTTAGTAAGCGTATCGTCTTGTATCGATACAGAAAAAAACGTCTCATGTATCGATCATTGCATGAAATCTCATGATGCCCCAGTGCTCTGATGTATCATTTTACCCCTAGTAATCAGTAACAGATTGATATATATAATATTGACAATTTGACATGTTAACTTGAAATATAAAAAAATGTCAATTTACCCGAGCTTAACATTATGTGACTTGAGGAATATAGAAGGTTTGGCCTAACTTCCTATTCCAATTTAAACCATGATAAATATAAATGAAATATAAAAAAATGCCAATTTACCCGAGCTAAACATTATGTAACTTGAGGAATATAGAAGGTTTGGCCTAACTTCCTATTACAATTTAAACCATGATAAATATAAATGAAATATAAAAAAATGCCAATTTACCCGAGCTAAACATTATGTGACTTGAGGAATATAGAAGGTTTGGCCTAACTTCCTATTCCACTTTAAACCATGATAAATATAAATGAAATATAAAAAAATGCCAATTTACCTGAGCTAAACATTATGTAACTTGAGGAATATAGAAGGTTTGGCCTAACTTCCTATTCCAATTTAAACCATGATAAATATAAATGAAATATAAAAAAATGCCAATTTACCTGAGCTAAACATTATGTAACTTGAGGAATATAGAAGGTTTGGCCTAACTTCCTATTCCAATTTAAACCATGATCTACATATGGACAGTTTGACAGCAGCCACCGACAGCACAGACACACAGATAGTTTGTTCATCACAGCCAGAGTTCGTTACAGACCCGAGTCTGGATCCTACCATCCTGATGACGCTCGGCAACCAATATTTATCAGTATTATGAGATTCAATTTGTCCTCTGTCAGTGCGAGGTGACAATACTTCAATAAATAAACATCACATGAAAATATTTCAAATTTTACATCTCAAATACTATACTACTCAAAAGAACGGGTGTTCTTTCACTTTACTTGAATAGTATATAACCAAGCGACATTGAAGCACAGTGTGACGTGTGCCCACATAGAGGGGCGCCACAAGCTTGACTAGTTCACAGAAGGAAGGACACATACCAATAATGTTTCAGAACCACTGGCAGACTAAGAAAATTGAAACAATTTGTATTAAAACAACTGCCTGCAGCTCACACTGAAGAGGGAAAAGTCCTATGTTTGCAACCAAATACTGTATTTCGTGAAATTAATGCGTCTCCAAAAGAATGCGACCACTGGACCCTAGCCAAAAATGCGACTCAATATGAATGCGACATCCCCTCCTCTCAAGCATCAGTGGATTTCTATCTAAAGATGTCCTCAGTCAGGTTTAGAATCCTCACCTTAATCCAACCTTACATTAATCCAATCACACACAAAATAGCACCGCTGATTAGCGCTGAGTAAAGGACTTCCGCAAAATCAATAAATGCGCGCTGGCTTGTGTCGGGCTTTGACGCAGTCGCTAAGAACAAAGGGTGGCGTCTGTCTGCACTTGCAGGTGTGATCAGTGATGACATAAGTGAGTAGAACTATTGTCTTGACCCCAGCAGTGACAATTCACAGGATGTAATAAATGTTTGAATGACATTGTGTATATACTTTATATACAAGTGCTGCTCCATAAACAGTGGTGTGGAATACATCAGTGTATGTCTAAGTTGGTATATTTGCTATCCAAAATGTCTTATTGTTGATATAAATGCGATGTTTAAAAATGCGAGCAAAGACCACTCGCATTTTTCGCATTTAATTCACACTCACGTTAATTTCAAGATTTACAGTATATATTGTCACCACATTTCCTGAATGTATATTATGGATATGAGAACACTGTCTACATCAACTGATTATCAAGCATAATAAAACACTTGAAAACCTGAAGATTGAATCCAACATGTGTATCACATTCAATTTAGTTCATAATACAAGAAATTCAAGTATTTTCAGTTTTACAGTAAAATCACAGATTCGTTAAAACCTAAGCACTCCGATTGCTCCACATACTCAATGTCTTACAAAACACTCTGTAATTCCTGTCTATTTGAAGACATGAGAACATTAGCGACTTGTAGTGTAGCCACTGAGCTACAGTGAGTTTTTGTCATTAAACAATATATCCTGTAACTAACCACGAGTCTGGGTAGTACTGTGGGTACCAGGATCCTACTCAGGACCCACTCAACCCGAGTACCCCAGTTACCTGTCCCAGCCCTAATAATGAATATTTGGAACCTCATTCTACTTGCAGGAGTAGAACATGAGTAATAGTGGTGAACCAAAAACACAATGACTTTGAGAAGGTGCTCTATTGAGTCATTTCGAACAGAACTGATACTTCAGATACACATGCATCGTACCTTCTTAAAACCAAGACACTTGTAATCCCTCAGACATCAACACACAAAAAGTCAGCTCACAGTGTAAACAGAATTATATGATTCAAGATAGATGCGATGGATGTTTCCTATCAAAACTTGTAGACTGACTGATACAAGGCAGCAGAAGAACTGCTCTGGCTGAAAACTAAGCCTTCTCACATGATTGTAATGACATATATACAAGATTGGATGATATAAAAATACTCTCACATAATTGCACTTTGGTATGTGTGGTAAACGGTGTGGTATGATCAACTATGTCCGAAAGGAAGCTACTGAAGTCTGTGTGTCTGCAGGGCTGTCTGTCCGTGTGTCTGCGGGTCTGTCTGTCCGTGTGTCTGCGGGTCTGTCTGTCCGTGTGTCTGCGGGTCTGTCTGTCAGTGCGTCTGTGGGTCTGTCTGTCTGTATGTCTGCAGGATGGCAGGAATCTGACAGATAAAATGATGTAGCAGTGTCGTAGTACTGGTGGAAGATGCGTTCATCGCAGCAGCACTCTACAGCACTGTAGGCATGGAGCAGGAGCTTGGGGAAGCGGGATGTGAAGTAGTACACAAACTGGTCCGGCACACTGCCCAGCGACGCCTTCACATCCTCCGGCAGCTCTCGGTAATGGTGTTTCTGGAAGGAAGGTAGACATCCTGATCAATTCTAACCCAGGCCACAACTGATTGCTGAAAATAAGGTGAGATCATGGGTTGGCAGATAAAATATAAAATGGGTCAAGAAGCCCTGTTTGTTTGGTAAACATTGGTTATGAAGATGCTGTCTAAACATGGGTAACATTGTCTGCTGCCTGACACAAGGAATGGTTGCTGCCCAACATTCCTGCTGAACTTCATTTGTCTCAAGGCGGTCATTTCCAAGTTGATTAGTCGGAGTGAACCAACAAAATGTGAATCCAAAATGTGAAACCAGTATGTGAATACTGAATGTGAAACCAGTATGCATAAAACTGGTATGTGAATCTAGAATGTGAATCAAGCAGAGGATCTTACCTTGTTTCTCATGGCTCGAAGCAAATCTCTCACAGAATGACCTTTATATGATCGGAACTTTCTCAAATCTGAAATAAACATAGCTCAGTAAGGCAATATGTGCAGCCATGATCTACCACAGCAGGTAATTTCCTTACAAATGTGAGTCAGTGAATGTTTTCTTATGCTACAGTCAGCCAGGCAAAACTAATGACAAAGCATGAACAACAACCCCTGCCTTTGGGTCACAATGCCCTTCTACCAGGTCACAATGCCCTTCTACCAGGTCACAATGCCCTTCTACCAGGTCACAATGCCCTTCTACTGGGTCACAATGCCCTGCAATTGGCTCTCACAACAAACTGGAGGCCCCAAGGACCTGTTCTGACCTGGAATCCCCACAATACATGAAGTCAGATGTTAGCCCCAAATAATGCTACTAATGTTTGTTTTCTTTGTTCATTGCTGAACACCCACTTTGCAGTATTCCAACCACAGCATGTAGTTCAGTAAATAATCAAGTCTGGACCAGACAATCAAGTGATTGATATTGTGACCAATGATTGAACAAGCCACCGAGTCTGACCATCCGACCCATTAGTTCCCCTCATACAAAATCTGGGATGCTGGGGTTCAATTCAAACCCTGTTTCCCCATGGGAGTCAACATCTGCACCAACACTGGGAGCAAGTCCCCATTCACACACCAATCTCATGTTACAACAAGTCCTCACCGTTCTGAAGTTCCTGTGTGATGTTGCGCCGCCAGTCCCACCTGACGATGGCGTGTGCCTCCTTCTCCAACCTCCGCACGACCTCACTGTCCTCCTTCTCTTTCTCAATCCGGTCACTCACGTCCTGCCAGACAACAACCACAGCATCACCATGGGGGAACAATTGGGCATTTGACCACCTAACATATCTATACACAGGACATCATCAGTTTAATCACTGCAAAACAAGAACGTTTTTCTCAGTACCTAAAGCCTAAAATACTCGGTCCACTGGTGGAACCAGAGCATGCTGGCACACATTTACTCACCTGAAAGAACAGAAGCTGCTTCTCCTTGCTCCAGAAGAATGGATGTTTTAGCACAGCTTGAGCAGACGGACGTTGATCTGGGTTGTAGGCAACCATATTGGTAATGAGGCTGAGAGATATGTGGTCTGAAACAATCACATCATTTTTTTTATTGAGCCTGTTTTTGTGAAATTAACAACATTTTGAAAGCTTACCACGTGCAATTGCCTCACCATCAACATGAAGACTCTCACCATGTCTGTCCTGCTCTTACCTTCTGGATCCAGATGCTGAAGTGAGAACTCCCCACTGAGGATGTTGGCCTGTCGTTTCAGGGAATCGCCAAACGGGTGTTTGCCATGAGTGTAGACATAGTAGAACACGCATCCCGCAGAGAAGATGTCCACCGCACAGGTCTTCAAAAGAAGAGTATCAAGGGTGAGCGAGTGAGTTTGGTATCCATTTAATGCATGGCATGTTAGCTTAAGTGAGTGAGTGAGTTGGGTTTAACGCTGCTTTAAACAATATTCCAGTTATATCACGGTGTGTTAGCTTTTAATGTGGGAGGAAAGTCTGAAGTGATGCAGGTCTCAGACGTTTACCACTTTGGTGAAACCCACGAGCACGGGTATGGTGCTGACAAACCTAGAAACATAATCGGGGCGAACCGTAATTGGAACCCACAATCATAGGTTTCTGGTGTGCCCAAGGGACACAACTCTGCACAGCAAATTGCGGTGCCTTAGACGACTGGGCCACCCATGCCCCCTATCAGTTTAAGCTTTCAATATGGATGCCATGTCTGCTAGTAAAAGTATCCCATAAGGTTTGGGGCCAAAATGATTTGCAGAATTGAACAAGAAATATCAACAGAAACTAAGAGGATTGAGGTGAGGTGAAATGGGGTTTAACATTGCGTCCAAGATTATTGCACTTATATAGCAACGTGCATGCAAATGTGTGTGTGTGGCTGCTTGTACTAGTCCGGACTGATGCCGATTTATACTGCTAGCCCACTGAGATACCATGCCGCAGTTTAACATGAATACCCCACTCAGACACAGTATACTGACTCCCAGCCGACCAGTCCTTGTTTTAGCCCCTTATGCCGAGCGCCAGACAGGGTAACAACAAGTACCATCTTTTGACGTCTTTTGGTATGACACGGCTGGGGATCGAACCCCGAACCTTCAGCTCTCTGGGCTGACACTCTACCACTAGACCACGGAGGCTGTCTAAAACTAAGAGGGTCCGGTGTCCTTGACATTAAGTGCTATAGTATCTTGACCTTAGGACACCCCAAAAGATTAACTTGTTAATAATACAGAAATAACAAGGATCTTCAACTTTGATGCTGAATTCCAAACTTGTACCAAGACATCAATGACCCAAGTACAGCATGACCCAAGTATAGCATGACACAAGCTGACATACTTCCACACCCTAAAGGTCTGTTTTAACCTACCGTCCTCTGAAGTTCATCCAGCATCTCGGGGGCAATCCATCCCTCCGTGCCCGCAGCTCCGGATCGGCGGGAGAAGGACAGTCTGCCCACAGCCAGCTTCTTACACAGGCCAAAATCGGAGATCATGGCGCGCACCTCCCTCTTGGAGTTGGGCAGTGAGATGAGGACGTTGTGGGGCTTAATATCGCGGTGGACTGAAGACATGGGCAACAATTATTGGCACAGTCAACTTCATAAGAATATTTAAGAATTAAGGAAAAATGGCGATAACTAGTTGCTGGTCAGTAGACATATTGATAATGTAGTGACGTCAAGGGAGAATGGATGCCCTGTGAATTGTCATGTGATACTGATCAAGGTCGTATATGCCTCAGTCTGACCATAAATCTTTTGGGCCTACTACGTATAATTAGTACTCTACATGAAGCCTACATGGTTATACATGGCTACTACATCTTGTCCCTGCAGTCACTCTACCAAATTGAATTAGTCTAATATTATGATCAATGGCAGACTTAGCAAATCATCTCAGCACAAATACACACAAGTTGCAGCCTATATTATACGAAGGTGGGGTAATCAAACAATGAGTAATCCTGCCAATCTCGCAGAGTGAGTGAGGTGAAATGGGGTTTGGCGTCGCTTATATAGTGATGTGCATGTACGTGTGTGTATGTGCCTGTGTGCGTGGATGCTTGTACTAGTCCAGACATATGTCGATTTTATAGTGCTAGCACTAGTTTAACATGGATACCCTCTCAGACACAGTTAACTGACTCCGAGCCGATCGGTCCTTGTCTCATCCCCTTAATGTCAAACGCCAGGCAGGATAACAACAAGTAACATTTTGCGTATCATGGGGACAGATATTGAACCACTGACCTTCTACACTCAAAGCAGACACTATGTCAACTCAACTACGGGGCAGTCACTGACAAAACACCAACCTATATCGAGAGAGTGAAGATGGGAGATGCCTGCCATCGCCTGCTGAAGAACTGTCTTGGGGTCAAGGTCACAAATGTGTTTCCCTTCCACATACTCCTGCACCGTGGCGGCGCACAACTCCAGGGCGATGTAGCGAAACTGACTATCTGCCTCCTGCAACATCATCAAAACATACATCAGCCTCACATCACCAAACTCAAACTGGGACAAAAACCTGCACAGTGAAATGCACAAACCACAAGGTCATCCATGCAATAAAATATTCAAATAACTGTTCCAATCTCCCCAACAAAAACACCAAAGTCTATTCCCTCACCATGCAGAAATACCGGATAACATTCGGATGCTGGTCTGATTCACGTAGTAACTCTACTTCACGATCAGCAAAACTGAAGCATTCTGGGAGTAGCCTCTTCACTGCGACATCACGGCCATCAAATCGTCCCCTGTAACATAGCAACAAGGACTTCCTTCACCCGAATACAAGAAACACGGAGTCTGTGAGGCACTGAGCAGTGGCACACTGTTCCAATGGAATATGGTGAGCAGCAGTAACATGTATACCTTGTTTCAGACAGTTGTCTCCCCTGGTAGTGGCAGGATGTTATGATGGAATATGTCCTGTAGCAGCAGTCATCTCACCTGTTTACAAATGTTTCAAACATCTCACCCTTAGACAACTGTTTGAGTGTCTCAGTCAACTCACTTGTTGACAAATGTTTCAATTATCTTACATGTTGACAAATAATTCAGTCATCTCACCTGTAGACAAATGTTCCTTCACAACCGTGACCCAGGACATTCTTTGGGTTGAAAATAATCTTCCCCACCTTGTAGTGTCCCTGCGGTGGATCTGTAGAGAGAAGAGGCTTGGATAGAGCTCTACTGATACACTTCATTGTTGTAGCATCAATAACACAATGGTGGGAATATCTGAAGTAATGGCAGCTCTAACCTTACAACATGAAACTGTCCTGATCTCCCCATAGGTGGGGATAATCTATACAGTGATGGAATTGCTCTGATCTATACAGTGATGGAACGACCCTGATCTATACAGTGATGGAACGACCCTGATCTATACAGTGAAGGAACAGCCCTGATCTATACAGTGATGGAACGACCCTGATCTATACAGTGAAGGAACAGCCCTGATCTATACAGTGATGGAACGACCCTGATCTATACAGTGATGGAATTGCTCTGATCTATACAGTGATGGAACGACCCAGATCTATACAGTGATGGAATGACCCTGATCTATACAGTGATGGAATGACCCTGATCTATACAGTGATGGAATGACCCAGATCTATACAGTGATGGAATTGCTCTGATCTATACAGTGATGGAACGACCCTGATCTATACAGTGAAGGAACAGCCCTGATCTATACAGTGATGGAATGACCCTGATCTATACAGTGAAGGAACAGCCCTGATCTATACAGTGATGGAATGACCCTGATCTATACAGTGATGGAATTGCTCTGATCTATACAGTGATGGAACGACCCTGATCTATACAGTGATGGAATTGCTCTGATCTATACAGTGATGGAACGACCCAGATCTATACAGTGATGGAATGACCCTGATCTATACAGTGAAGGAACAGCCCTGATCTATACAGTGATGGAATGACCCTGATCTATACAGTGATGGAATTGCTCTGATCTATACAGTGATGGAACGACCCTGATCTATACAGTGATGGAATTGCTCTGATCTATACAGTGATGGAACGACCCAGATCTATACAGTGATGGAATGACCCTGATCTATACAGTGATGGAATGACCCTGATCTATACAGTGATGGAATGACCCAGATCTATACAGTGATGGAATTGCTCTGATCTATACAGTGATAGAATGACCCTGATCTATACAGTGAAGGAACAGCCCTACTGAGTGCTATTCATAGATGGAACTTACTGTTCTCCTCATCAAGTGAGCTGGTGCTTGGGGTTGGCGTCAGTGAAGTCTGTGCAGACCGCTGCTGCATCTGCAACTGCCGCTGTTCCTCCAACTGCTTCTGCAGCATCATCTTGATGGAGTGCTCGGCTTTCTACAACCACACAAACACAGGCCTGTAAACACACTGCAATGTTCCTTATTTGATGGTACCAAACTGCATGTTATTATAGATATTACTGACTTACCAAGATGTAGACAATACAATATAAATGAAGTTAAAATCCTATATCAACCAAAACAGGCTCCCACAGGTGATATCAATATCTACAATGTAGATATCGCTGAAATGAAATTGCATCACAATGCTTTGCAGACCATTGTGACACCATTAGTTACCATCACGTCACAATCAAATGACATCACTAATGGCTCTGCTACTGAAGCTGTTAGCAGTACTTTTTACACTTAAAACAATGCCTTGTACTGTCTACATACAGAAAAAGTTGGAAGAATGATGTTGGATGATAAATTAAATCCCACCCTTGTGTATTTTGATATATAAAATATCAACACTCATCAATAAAAGTTTAAAACTCCTCGGCAAGCCTCAGAGTTTAAACTTTTATTGACTCGTGTAGATATATTTGATATTAAAAGACACTTGGGTGAGATTCTCCATGTCTTCAATGTATGTGAAGGTGGGAAAAAATGTGAAATAACTTTCTGTACATCACTGGTACATGACACTTTCATTTTCATGGAATTGGGAACAAAGAATATTTATCAAAGTGTCACTTCAAAGATTTTAATTAACCTTTTTAAACTCATGGCCATACATTATTTCAAATCATTTTTAATTAACAGCATATTTAAGACTTTGAATTTGATGATGTAGTCACCTCGAAACAACAGATGGATGACAATAAGTAAATGAAAGTATACGTGTGAGGCCTCACCCGAGGGAAGTAGACAACAACGGCGATGATGGTGCCGAGAGACAACACGATGGTGGTGAGGAACTTGAGGTCGACGTAGGCAGCCAGCCCCGTGTCTCCCCCAGATGTGGTGTTGGTCGTCTTGTCAGGTGATGGGGGTAGGGGCTCAAGTGAGATAATCTTGTCACTGTTGCTGCTGTGGTCTGTGATCTGGAAAGCAGGCGAGATGCGGGCGTTGGTCCGGTCAGGCACTTCATGGTACCCTGTAGACAACACAAACACTTCAGTGCTTGGATATGTAGAGGTTTTATCACAACAGACATTTGTGATACATACATTACAAACTGAACAAGAGTCATCAGGGGACTTTTGGTTCGTTACCATTGGATACCTTCAGTTCAGAGAAGAGAAAGTAATGATGATATTTTTCTACATCCCAATGGACCCATGAAGAGGTCTTCAGCAACCCATGCTTTTCATAAAAGGCAACTATGCTTGTCGTAAGAGGCAACTAACAGGATCGGGTGGTCAGGCTCGCTGATTTGGTTGATGCATGCCCATGTATGCCAACTGCCTGGATCAATGCTCATGATGTCAATCACTGGATCGTCTGGTCCAGACTCGATTATTTACAGACCGCCGTCATATAGCTGGAATATTGCTGAGTGCGGGGATGACAAATCCCTTGTTCTCCACAAATTCAAAAGAACAAATCATCTGACTGTTACTATAAGTCCAACTTGATAAGAGAATTTCTATCTAATCTGTTTGTCCGTAAACAAGACTAGTTATTGAGCTATCGAAACTATACCATGGAATTGGAGTAAAAAATAAAACTTGTTGCCATGGAAACAGAAAAAACATAAATTCTAAAATCCCTAATAGCACAAGACGCACCAGGCACACAGCACACACACACCAGGCACACAGCCCACATGCAACATGCACAGCACAGACGCACAAGGCACACAGCCCACATGCAACATGCACAGCACACACACCAAGCACACAACAGGCACACAGCACACACACACACCAGGCACACAGCCCTAAAGCAACATGCACAGCACACACACCAAGCACACAACAGGCACACAGCACACACACACCAGGCACACAGCACACAGCACACACACACACCAGGCACACAGCCCTAAAGCAACATGCACAGCACACACACCAGGCACACAGCACACACACACACCAGGCACACAGCCCTAAAGCAACATGCACAGCACACACACCAAGCACACAACACGCACACAGCACACACACAACATGCACACAGCACACACACACCAAGCACACAGCTCACTTGCCCCCATCCACAATGAAGCAACATACCCAGCATGAGGACTCCGCCCCCTCTTCTGACGGTGGTGGCGCGGATGCTCTGAGTGTTAGAAGCCTTTTCCCCCTTCTGGGGGTTCTCCTTTGGATTCTCTTCCTGTCTTGGACCTTCCAGGAGAAGTGGACCCTTGTTCTTCGGCTGATCATAATGAGAATGTGAGATTTTAACACACAATTGGCATCAAAGGGAGGTAACTCTGCACAATACAGCTGTGGAAGTTGAGCACAGGATCACCTGTAGTCTCAGGTAGGAAGGTGTTGGCTTGTGTTTAGTTTTCGCAACAGTGCAGGCCTATCACCAGCACATCAGTGAAACATCCTAAGGACAGCGTTCGAAATACCTGCCTGCCCGACCGTCCGAGACGGGTTGATTTCAACTCAGGCTGCCAGATTTTCAAATCCCCCTGCCCGACGGTCGGGTTATATTTCATAGGTGAAAATATTCTAAATATTTCCCGATGATAAGCATTAATTCACATGTAAAGATGAATGATAAAATGTAACCAAAAAGAAACCGCGTTAGCTTTTAGACAACCTAACATTTAGCGATGCGCTTATGCTACAAGCAATCAGTTTCCATATTTTTGATTAAATTATCCTGAAAAACATATGATTATAGTGGGCAGGCAGGTTTTGGTCAGGGCTGGCAAGTATTTCAGCTAGCCAGTCCTGTGGTCTGGCTGAAATCTTTGGGAGTTTCATACCCTGCTAAGGAACCATCAAGTCAAAGTAGATCTATTCCAAGAGTGATAAAACCAACAAATTAAACACTTACTCATTTAAGTACTTAATCGATCAGAAAATCTCAAAGTATGCACAGCTTATTAATGAGTGTATTGACCTGTATTCAGTTATATCCCAGGATGTGATATGATGTAGTAGGAAAGCCTGATGTAACGTAGGCCTTCGATGTAATACCCATGAACAAAATGTTCAGTGCGAATCAGGGATTCAAACCCACAGCTTATTTACAAAGATGAAATGTATGCTCCCCATCCATAATGTGTATAAGAACGTGTGTGGCGAGAGAACTCACAGCGATGGTGACAGTAGTTTCGTCCACGAGGGAGGCAAGAGCGTAAGGTCCATGTTCATACTCTCCCACATACAGAGTCGGACTGAAAGTAAAACACACATTCTACCATCAATGAATCACTGAGCGTAAATCATGCTTCACATAATGTGTGTCACACCATCATCAATATTACAGGTGAAAATTTATAGCTGGAAAATGGACCAGTTAAGCAATGGCAGTCAACTATCAGTTACCTCTCTTTGATTTCAACCAAGTACATAGAAAGTTGCATGATTGAAAATATAAGTGCATATATTTGTATGAGAGTGTTTTGGGAAGCAAAATGTGTTGCAGTTTTGTAGAATTTTCCTATTCGGAATATTCTATAAGTAATACGTTATACCGAGGCTGTTGTCCCCCACAACTGCTCTTATAGCGAAATCTAAAGGTGGACGGAAGGCACAAAGTGCCGACGCCACACCCCGTTAGTAGCGAAAAAGGGCGCGAAAATTTAGGCGGGTAAATTTTCTAAGCGCCGTATAACTAACGCCCCGTAAATTACAGTTTACTTAGGACTAAGAAACAGTAATAAATATCACCAAGGATAGGCAGGAGGCGGAAACCGTAGAATGCAAGTAGAGCAGTAGATAACACGTCTTGCTAGGGCAAGCGAAGAGACAAGAGTGAAGGGTGTCACATGGCAGCTAGGTGGCTACGCACATGCTGCATGAGGTGATTGAGATCTCTGTGGAAGATTTCACTATAAGAGCAGTTGTGGGGGACAACAGCCTCGGTATAACAGTGGTAACGTATTACTTAATGTAATTTCATGGGACTAAGACTGCTGAACATTATGACGGGGTTGTTAGTGCGATATGTTATGAATCAGGAACATATTGGGGAAACACTACAAGACAGTCCATAGCTCTGTGCAGCAACAAGTCAACATCAATATCGTTTACAGGGAGCAGTACAGAGGTATGGTTACTCCACCTAGCTTAGGCACTGACGGCGGAAGTATTGCTGACAGAAGGAACTGCTCATTTAACAAAGAGAACAAGGAGTATTTAAACTGATATTGAGCAATTTCAGCCATATGGCATTCAATCTCATTATAATCATATCTTAGCTCTCTCTATTGCTAAACAAAGATCTGAGGACATCCCATTACGGGTCACACCAGAACGACCTTTCATCCGACCAATCAAAGCGTCACTTACCACATCATGAAAGTGACAGTTGGAATGGGTTTCTAATCATGCAACCTCGAACACTTAATCACGGGGTATTCCGAACGACTAGTTACGGCCCGTACGACTGATTCCGTCAAAATTATCGTCTATCTCTCGCTTCCGTGGGATAAACATTTGAACAGAAGAGGCGTTGCACAGTACGTGGGAAGCACTGTCATACAATCGCAACCATATATTAGACATTCCGGAATGTTTGTTTGTTCAGTTTTCAAAATTTTAATCGAGAACTGGGTCAACATATTTTTCAAGCGTAGTATTGTGAAGCCCGATAAAGCTGCTTTCTAATTGGCTGATGTCGACTTCTTGTTAGTAATTTCAGTGGTCAGTCAAGTTCGTGAAAGGTCGTACTGACATGACCCGTGATGGGATGTCCTCAGATCTTTGTTTAGCGGCAGCAAGAACTTAGATCTGATTTTAATGAGATTGTATTTTGCATTGAATACACGATTAAATTACGGAACTTTTTTTAAAGATGATAAGATGGCTGCAGGAGACACCTGAATATACCCTGTCACCAGTACTCACTAGAAGGACTTCTTCTGTCCGTGAGCAAGGAATCGGTCCCGCCAGACGTACTCTGCAAGTTGGCCTGTGAGGTGGTCGAGTGTCTCGGGGGCGAAGCTGGTGAAGGGAATTTTCTGTAGTCCCTCCTGGTGGAGGCGGTACATTGCCACAACCGGGGAGTCATACTTGCGCTGCCACAGAATATCGCCTGGACAGAGAAAAGGGAGGTCACTCTAAATGACAAAACAGTTCAAAATGAGTAACTTAGTCAGCATGCTCAGGTGCAGTGGGGTTTGTTGTCACCTTCCAAGATTATTTCACTTACACAGCGATGTGCATGCACATGTTTGCATGGCTGCTTGTACTAGTTTGGACTAGTTCCGTCAGATTTCCTCTGTTCTGTTTAGGCTTGTTCTTCCCCACACTGGCCAGACCGTCCCCTCATGAACTGTGTGGGGCCTTTTGGGTGACCCCACCACCCCCATGTCATGCATAATCATCTGTATGCTGCATTAGCAGTCTTACCAAAGTGTTAAGTAGGCACTAAATCAAAAATGTCTTCTTTTACATAGAATTTCTATGCAAACATTTTTATTCTGAACAGCTGCTTGCTTCCTCCAACCTACCTGATCTGCTATCGAGAGTCACTGAGAGGCCATTGGAACTTGCGGTGAGGTGCTGCATATCTGAACAGACATACACATTACTAGCACTGATACCACAGTAGTAAGACAATCAACAAATTCAATACATAATTAGCATTCCAGACCACATAACCATGTCAGAATGATGACGTCATGAATTTTATTTGTGGTAAAACCACAAGCTGTTCACAGTTACCATGGCTACCATAATCCTTAGAGTCAGGTGTCACATTGATACAAAAAATTACAGTTACCATGGCTACCATAATCCTTAGGGCCAAGTGCCACAATGATTCAAAACATTGACAGTTGCCAAGGCTACAATAATCCCCAGGGCCAGGTGCTACAGGGATACAAAATATGACAGTTACCATGGTTACTATAACCCTTAGAGTCAGGCACCACATGGATACAAAATATGACAGTTACCATAATCCTTTGGGTCTGGTGCCACATGGGATGAATAGTCCATAAAGGTTGCATTCCATCTGAAAGGTGAAAGGTTCATTCAGGTAAACATGGTAACAGTGTCGTTTATATACACGAGAAGGAAGATCATCATCAGATCCTTAGCAACACTTGCAAGGCAGAAGCACATCATGGCACCATTATCATATTGCCCAATCTCTGCTTTGTAAGTGTTGGTTCCTACATCTAATGACAAGGTCGTATGTATGATCAACATTTATCAGTATTAATAAGTGAAGGCTTTACCTGCAAGGCAATCCTATGGCCAGTCATTAGTAAAGGCGTTACCCGCTCGGCAACCTGACTACTCAAAATTAGTGAAGGCTTTACCTGCAAAGCTAACCCATTGCCAGTGATCAGTGATGGCTTCACCTGCTAAGCTAACCCATAGCCAGTGATTAGTGAAGGCTATACCTGCTAAGCTAACCCATGACCAGTGATTAGTGAAGGCTATACCTGTAAAGCTACCCGATGACCAGTGATTAGTGATGGCTTTAACTGCTTGGCTAACCCATGACCAGTGATCAGTGATTGCTTTACCTGCTTGGCTAACCCATGACCAGTGATTAGTGATGGCTTTACCTGCTTGGCTAACCCATGGCCAGTGATTAGTGATGACTTTACCTGCTTGGCTAACCCATGACCAGTGATCAGTGATTGCTTTACCTGCTTGGCTAACCCATGACCAGTGATTAGTGATGACTTTACCTGCTTGGCTAACCCATGACCAGTGATCAGTGATTGCTTAACCTGCTTGGCTAACCCATGGCCAGTGATTAGTGATGACTTTACCTGCTTGGCTAACCCATGACCAGTGATCAGCAAAGGCTTTCCCTGCTTGGCTAACCCATGACAAGTGATTAGTGAAGGCTTTCCTTGCTTGGCTAACCCATGAACAGTGATTAGTGAAGGCTATACCAGCTAAGCTAATCAGTAAAGGCTATACCTGCTAAGCTAACCCATGACCAGTGATTAGTGAAGGCTATACCTGCTAAGCTACCCCATAATCAGTGATTAGTGATGGCTTTACCTGCTTGGCTAACCCATGACAAGTGATTAGTGAAGGCTTTCCCTGCTTGGCTAACCCATGAACAGTGATTAGTGAAGGCTATACCAGCTAAGCTAATCAGTAAAGGCTATACCTGCTAAGCTAACCCATGACCAGTGATTAGTGAAGGCTATACCTGCTAAGCTACCCCATAACCAGTGATTAGTGATGGCTTTACCTAAGCTAAACCATAACCAGTGATTAGCGATGGCTTTACCTGCTTGGCTAACACATGACCAGTGATTAGTGAAGGCTTTCCCTGCTTGGCTAACCCATGAACAGTGATTAGTGAAGGCTATACCAGCTAAGCTAATCAGAAAAGGCTATACCTGCTAAGCTAACCCATGACCAGTGATTAGTGAAGGCTATACCTGCTAAGCTAACGCATGACCAGTGATTAGTGAGGGCTATACCTGCAAAGCTAACCCATGACCAGTGATTAGTGAAGGCTATACCTGCTAAGCTAACCCATGACCAGTGATTAGTGAAGGCTATACCTGCTAAGCTAACCCATGACCAGTGATTAGTGAAGGCTATACCTGCTAAGCTACCCCATAACCAGTGATCAGTGATGGCTTTACCTTTCCTGCTAAGCTTACCCATGACCAGTGATTAGTGAAGGCTATACCTGCTAAGCTAAACCAAAGCCAATGATTAGTGATGGCTTTACCTGCTTGGCTAACCCATGACCAGTGATCAGTGATTGCTTAACCTGCTTGGCTATCACACTGCTAATAATTAGCCAAGTGTGTATACTTGCACTACAGTTGTGAACAGAACTACAAATCAAAGTAAAATATTCCCTACCTCTTAAGCCTGGTCTTGCTGTCAAACATCAAAATTGTATATTCTGAAAGAAATGTATGTTGATATTGAGAACAAATACACACATACAAAATCTACAATAAACAGTAATAGGTCATTTTAGCTGGACAGCTGACAGCATCTTACAGAATGGCGGACACTTAACTAAACCAGGCACACAAACCTCAATAGTCTGTCTCGATATACCTGAACCATATAAATTTCCGAACCGCTCAGCCCAAAGCTAGATTTTCCACAGGTTCAGACACTCCATCTAAATGGGACTATTTTTCAATGTAAATGTAGTTGCTTGTTTCTATCAAAATTATTCATTCGAGACAAAAACCCTGACTATGATGTCCACAGCTGCCCATCAACCCTGTAGGAATTCTGGAAAAGAACTGATGCCCAGGAAACTATGCTTAATGGTTGGGTTGGTCAGGTTCATTGACTTGGTTGATGGCATGCTATGGGCATGGATCGTTGCTCATAATATGAATCACTGGTTTGTCTGTTTCAGACTTGATTATTCAGACCAGGTTATAGGATATTGCATTGTGTCCTTAACAACCTCACGTTGTTTTGTTATCGGGATACTTTATTTGTTTTATTAGACTGGAATTGAAATTTATTAATTTTATTAGATTGGGACACAGTACACCCTCATATCCCCTTCATAATTTCAATGTGCACATTTGAAAATTGAAAACACCTCTGACCTCTGACACAATAGCACGGCCTACAATGAACTTCGTGACATGCTGACTAACTAACTGCCTTTCACAAAAAAACACAGTATGTCTTGAAGCAGTCACCCAAAATTCGGTCGATCCCTATCTGCTTATGAAATTAGTTTCAGTCCACCAGTTTGTCCCATTAAAGATTAACTGCCCATAATAAAACACTCTTGCAGGTTTTATGGTCCATACAAGGGCGGTTTTCTATGCATTCAGATGCTGCCTACCTGATCGGTATATAATTCCCTGATTAGTAAATAATTAGCTGATCGGTATATATTTCCTTCATTGGTATATATTTCCCTGATAGGTATGTAATTCCCTAATTGGTATATATTTCCCTGATCAGTATATAATTCCCTTATCGGTATATATATTTCCCTGATCGGTATATAATTCATAATCAGTATATATTTGCCTGATAGGTGCATAATTCCCATATTGGTATATCTTTCCCTGATCGGTATATATTTCCCTGATCGGTATATAATACCCTGATTGGTATAAATATCCCATATAGGTATATAATTCCCTGATTGGTATATATTTCACTGATCGGTATATAATTCCCTGATTGGTATATATTTCACTGATCTGTATATAATTCCCTGATCGGTATATAATGCCCTGATTGGTATATATTTCCCTGATAGGCATATAATTCCCTGATTGGTATATATTTCACTGATCGGTATATATTTCCCTCATTGATATATATTTCCCTGATCAGTATATGTTTCCCTGATTGGTATATATTTCCCTGATCAGTATATAATTCCCTGTTTGGTATATATTTCCCTGATAGGTATATAATTCCCTGATTGGTATATATTTCCCTGATCGGTATATAATTCCCTAAATGGTATACATTCCCCTGATCAGTATATAATTCCCTGATCGGTATATATTTCCCTGATCAGTATATAATTCCCTGATTGGTATATATTTCCCTGATAGGTATATAATTCCCTGATTGGTATATATTTCACTGATTGGTATATAATTCCCTCATTGATATATATTTCCCTGATCAGTATATGTTTCCCTGATTGGTATATAATTCATGATCAGTATATATTTCCCTTATCGGTAAATAATTCCCTGATTGGTATATATTTCCCTGATCAGTATATAATTCATGATCAGTATATATTTCCCTTATCAGTAAATAATTCCCTGATTGGTATATATTTCCCTAGTTTGTATATATTTCACTGATCGGTATATGATGCCCTGTTTGGTATATATTTCCCTGATCAGTATATAATTCCCTGATCGGTATATATTTTCCTGATTGGTATATAATTTATGATCAGTACATATTTCCCTTATCGTAAATAATTCCCTGATTGGTATATATTTCCCTGATAGGTATATAATTCCCTGATTTGTATATATTTCCCTGATCAGTACATATTTCCTTAAAGAGTATATAATTCCCTGATCGGTATATACTTCCTGATCAGTATATATTTCCTGATCAGTATACATATCCCTGATGACACTCATGACACAGCCTCCACTGATGACTCAGATGCAGCCTATGACACATAAGAGAGAGAGAGAGAATTTATGGATGTCAACTTCTTTATAATGAGGAACACGAATCTGATGACTCAGATGCAGCTTATGACACATAAGAGAGAGAGAGAGAATTTATGGATGTCAACTTCTTTATAATGAGGAACACGTAGTGATAACAGTTGAATGTTTATCAGCTGCTGATCACTTAACATGATCAAACGCTAAGTGAGGTGAAAGTCCTTCAGGCTATATAATGATATACAACCTGGGACACAAGCCAGCTTGGCATTCACCTCAGGCCTGGTGGACTGATGATATACCTCACTTAGCTGTGTGTTTCACAGGCACCCGAGGATATTCATCACCCTTCATTTCAACACTTCTTTAATAATTTAATGCTATTGTGCTATCTTTTGTAAAAAAAACTGGAACTGTTATCAGTGCAATACACATTAGACACAATAAATATATGTGTGTATTTTCATTTTCGGACCAACCCTACCTGGAGCCCCTCACCATACACCTTGTTAATATTGTTCTCGAGTTGCACATAGGTATTCTGCAGTGGAAACTAATATTTTTAGTCCACTAGTCCTTATAATGATACCGACATGGGTACAATGTGTGAAGCCCATTTCTGGTGTCCCCCGCCGTGATATTGCTGGAATATTGCTAAAAGCGGCGTAAAACCATACTCATCCATCCATCCATCCTTATAATGATAACATATAGCAAAACCCTTAACACTTGCAAATTTATTCTAATCCTTCAGATACCTTAACTATTGGGCAGTTTGGCAAGGACTACAGGACTGGGTCTGGGTATTATCAAAATCACAGTATTAACTAAATCCAGCTTTTAATGACATACTGCTTGAACCATTTTTTCAAAGTGACCAAAGACTTGACCTACACACCATATGTTTGAATGGGTTAGTACAGCAAACACATATTTGGAGAAGGGGGGACATACACAAACACAGACTACAATCAGAACCTGATGTGTTTAACTGACAACTAAATAGCAGCTGCACATACTTCTGTCTTTAGTGGGGAAAATATTGTCTCTGGCCTACCTGTGCGTCCGATGTACAAAAGATCGTCGGTTGATGATGGACATGTTTTCTGTGTGCCATCAGTGGACAGTGTCTGCATCTTAACCCCAGTGAGAGGGTCCACTGCAATCCACACATCCTTCTTGTTGCCTGTACATACAGAGAGAGAGAGAGTGAGCTCCTAGAACACTGCCTTAAACAGCATCTGGCTTACTTGCATATCACAGCATGTCAGCATAATGTGGAAAATAATTCTAAAGTAATGCAGATCAGATATGTTTATAGTGCTGAGAAAACAAGGCTCATCATCGGGGTGAAACTGGGATCCAAACCAAGACCAGCGGATCCTGGAAGCTAAGGGACACAACTCTGCACAGCATGTTGGCTACTGACCTGTATAGAGAATGCCTTCTGTACTTTTGCAAGGAGATGCTGTGACGAGCTCGGGAATGGTAAATGGCAGTTTCTTGATGCCCTCTCTACCAGAGCTGATGGCGTACAGACTCCCATCTTTAGGGTCTGGCAGGAAGCTTGGCCTATTGTAATACAACCGTAATATATCTAGTATTAAGACACAGTACTTGGATTACACATTTACTGTACATGCTGTAGACAAAACATACAATACAAATAGCTTGGACGATGGCTATTTCTGCAATTTTATCTACTTTGTAATCTGTAATCATGAATACTTACCCAGACGCAAAATCAAAAGGAACTTTTATCACTGGATCTGAAATGTATTAAGAGTGAGTGAGTGAGTGAGTGAGTGAGTGAGTGAGTATGGTTTTACGCCGCTTTTAGCAATATTCCAGCAATATCACGGCGGGGGACACCAGAAATGGGCTTCACACATTGTACCCATGTCGGGAATCGAACCCGGGTCTTCGGCATGACGTGCGAATGCTTTAACCACTAGGCTACCCGACCGCCCCGAAATGTATTAAGAATCTGGGCCCACTTGCACAGAACAATCTTAGTTACAATCGATCTTAGGCGGCTACAATCAACTTTACAATCACCCTACAATTGTCCTATTCCACTTGCACAAACCGATCTTAACGCGATTGTAAGACGGCTTGGATTTAAGATCGCGATCTTAACTAAGATTGAAATCTTCAATGGTGGAGGTACAAACATCTTAAACTAGACTCCTGTCTATGGTTGTCTGCAAACGCGCAAATCTTGCTGCGCATACAACGTGTAGAACCGGTTACGACATACAACAAGTACCTCCCTCCACGCACCTTGCACAGTTGAAAGGTCTCAACTATTTGAAGGAAACTATAATTAGAATGTTGGCATATAGATTTAGTGACATTCTTATTATGAAAGTAAAAAAAGAAAATAATAATAGATCTCTATGTCCAAATAACATAACAGGTAAATGTATGATCGTCATCTATTTGGGGGAGCTTTCCGTAAAATCCTAAATACATGTATATCCTTCATGTTTTAGTTTTGCCGCTATTACAAAGGATGTTATGACAACCTTTTCAAAACACAGTAAGACGGGAGATTTCAAGAATGCATGTACGGGAAATAAGAATAATGTTTCAAGAAAGAAGTTGTTTAATATACATTCATTTGGTATTAATTATATTTTTTAAAAAGTGTGAATTTTACTTTTGCTATTTATGGGATATTTTACACAAATTTCAAATGTCTCATCATGTGTATTTGCTTGTTTGATGAATATTTGTATTAGTTTCTTATAAATTCAGATATTACAACCGCTCGTGACTGTCCCACTCGATTTTGGATATAAACGTATGATTTTGCACTTCAACTTGTGTTTACTTGTAGATTATTTAATGATAAACTAAAGACAAAATAACTGACACGAATGTGACCCAAAAGATATACAAGGGGAGCTCGGCGGTTCTACAACATTAATACACTAACTGGGCAAGGAAGATTCTACGATACTTATACAAAGGGAAACCACTCCCATCTAGAATATAAACTATGATTAGCTGCCCTTGATTTATCTTAAAGGTCACGGACGTTACAAATCGCTTGCAGACGACTTAGGTTTTATCCTTCCCTTGATAAGGTATGTTGTTTTAGACTTCTTTCAGCATTGACACGGGTGGGAATAGTACTTTTAACTATCGACTCGATAGTTATGTGGTTCACTATCGCAATTAACGATATTTTTGACGTTAAATCTGTGGTGCGGTCTTCGTGTTGTTGAAGTGTCGATTCGAATCATAAAATCTAACAAAATAAATAGGCAGTGTTTGATCGTAAAGCAGATTATTAATGTGAAACTGGCCCTGTCTTGCACGCCATTTTGTCAGGGACTACAACGATCTTAGCTACTTAAGATTGGTCTGGACCAATTGTAAGTTTCGATTGTAGCTTACAATGATCTTAACCTACAATCGCTTTGTGCAAGTGGATGACAATTGTAGCGTAAGCCTAAGATCGCGATCTTAAGGATTTACAATAATTGTAGCGCTAAGATCGCTTTGTGCAAGTGGACCCAGGAGTTGGTTTTATACATAGATGTATACACATCATTAACAAAAGATAAAATTGATAAAACGCTGACACTGACAAAAAAAATAAAAATGATAAAACACTGATATTGATAAAACACTGACATGGATATAACACTGATCATCAATATCCAAGTTCTATCACAGCGGCCTGTAAATAACAAGAGTCTGGGCTTTGTCCCACAAAGCGATCTTAGCCTTACGATGATCGTAAGCCTATGTCAAAGTATGGCAGTGTGATCACCTTAGCACAAGGACCGCTTTGAGGAACGTGGCCCTGGTCCAGATAAACCAGTGGTTGGCGTTATGAGCAAATGAGCAATTTCCTACACCTTTTCGGTACAATCCAGATCACCCAATACAATTTAGTCGCAGCTCACAACAAGCAATAGATTGCTGTGTACCTATTCTAATACCCGTCCATACCGGAACAAATTCATGATGTTGATGAGCACACAAAATTGCCAAACAAACTTTATAAGCTAGAAATGTTAACATCCATTCAAATAAGTGTGTAATACAATCAATGCAATTTTTGCAGATCCTACATGGCTCCAGTATCCATAGTTCACTGTAAATATGTAAGTGTGATTCACTTCTTGTAAGGGTATTATGGCAGCACTATGGAGGCATCTCACCTTCTTGCAGTGACCACAGCGTGTTCCCAGTATTCTTACTAACAGCATAGAAGGTTCCACTCAGTGTAGACACAAAGATGATGGAATCTTGTACAGTCAGTGGGTTGGGCTGAAATATACCTCTAACATGTTAACTGTGCTAAATTGGGCAAGAATAATGTGCACCATCACATACACAGATACAGTTCAATCTCATTAAAATCAGATCTTTGTTCTCGCTATCGCTAAACAAAGATCTCAGGACATCCCATTACGGGTCACGTCAGAACGACCTTTCTTCCAACCAATCAGAGCGTCGCTTACAAGATCATGAAAGTGACAGTCGGAATGTGTTTTCTAACCATGCAACCACGAAATATTTAACAGATGGTATTCCGAACGACAGTTACGGGTTTTATGATTATACCCATACAATCTAAGCCATCTGTAAGCCATTCCAGAGTGTTCTTCTTATCAGTTTTAATTTTTTTAATCGAGAATACATCAAAATATGTTTCGAACCGTAGTCGCCAGTTTGAAACTAGTGTCGTAAAGCTCGAGAAAGCTGCCTTCTGATTGGCTAATGTCGATTTCTTGTCAGTCATTTCATTGATCGGTCAAAATTAATGAAAAGTCGTTCTGACGTGACCCGTAATGGGATGTCCTCAGATCTTTGTTTAGCGGTAGCGAAAACTAAGATCTGATTTTAATGAGATTGAGATACAGTTGTAATTCTGGCTTCACATAGGGAGCAGTGCATTCATAAGGGGATACGAGACCATCCAAGATTTTTACACACCGGAAATGATTAACCAGTACCTAAACAACCGTCCCAAGCCACACAGAAGTTGGAACATTCATACTATATTTGGATGACTCAAACACAAACCTAGATAAGATGAGCCATATACAAATTTGGAGGACCCGTACACATATATTTTCATATTTGTTGCATTTGTAACAAGTTGGAAATAAAGATGTCCAAAACCTGATTGCGTTACCCAGTATAGACCGTCAAACGACAAAAAAATATATTTACATAATCATTTATTCACAGCACTAAATTTACATATCCTAGCAAACATTTTTGGCACTTTTAATTTAATACACTTTCATAGACACTTTCATAGTTATCATTAGCAATGTATTCTGACTGCCAGACAATTAAACAGTCATTCCCTCTCTATTATACTAATGACAGATGAAACGAATTATAATAATATATGTTGACTCAATTGGCCATGGCCAGTAGTGGTATATTGTTGTTATAGTATTATGAAACAAATCTGTTGGTGAAACAAGAAGTGTACACAGTCAATGATTGGACTACTCATGTGTTGTTATATGAAACTCAAAACAATGTCTTAATTGAAAACCTGTTTAATCAATGTTACTTTTCAGCTGATACTTTTCAGAAGCAATTAGAAGTACCTTTCAAATCTACCAGAATTTAATCTATTGTTTTAAGCTAACATCCAGGCTACCACATTATATCTAAAGTGCCAAATATCATTTCTAGGTCAATACTACAGATAACCATGATAACAATTGAAGCGAATAATGTCTAAAATCGTGAAGGTTATCATAGCGTACGAATAAACTTTTTTGTGTGTGTGTCATCCAGCTGATTAGGTACGGATGGGTAAGGGTTAACAAACACTTGTGTGTGAGTCCAACAAAGTATAAGAAGGTAGAGAAATCGCTTGGTATGGATTGTCCAATTACCTTTTAAGGCGCAGAATTTTTGGCATATACAATAAGGACCACACATTAACCCACAAGTGAAAAAAAATCACCTTAAAATACCAACATACCAATGGGCTCAGATAGTAAACATTTCAAAGATGGACAACATTGAAATAAACACTAATGTACCACTAACCCTAAGGGCTAAGACAGCAACGGTAAGTGAAATCAGCAAATCACAAGTCAATTAGCAAAAAATGGCAGCATGGTTTGAAATTGAATGGTTATCTCCCAAAACACCTACAGCCCAGTACCCCTACACTTGGTTAAAACAACAAAGGGATTTCACCTACTTATAATGGAACAGTCCCAAAGACTAATTAATCCATGAGAGTAAAGGATAAACCAAGTAAAGATAAGCTGGATTAACATTTGGAAGGATTGACTGAAACTGATTAAAAGATTATATTAATTAATTTAAGACTGGTTTGTTTAAACTTACTATATTTCTAAAAGAAATTGAATTGGTGAACAAGCAGGTTTGCCTATTTGAACACTGTTTCGGGAAATACAGAATTTGTTTAAAAGCAAGTCAAGGTTGAAGCATGAATGTACCTAAAGTATATAAATAAACCAATTTCAACCAATTTTATTAAGACTACGTTTGCTGTGGTATGTAAGCGTCACAAAATGACTGCATATCAACAAGGCCGGTTTCCAGAATGTCGACTTTAATTTTTCAGAGAAAGGAAGTGCACAAGTTTTGTTTAATGTGTATCGTCACACCAAGAATGTAGAGAGACAGACTTGTATTCACTGGAAGCGTGTCAAAACCACCTGTAAAGGGAAAGTGACCACAGTTGGTAATATCCTTAGGAATTCTACAGAACACAACCATCCGTACAAAGAAGACCTTGAAGTGTGCAAGGGGATAAGAAGAGCTGCTGGACTGCCTCCGTTCCACAAGCAGTTACTCAAGACACCTGGATCGAAGCCATGGATGACACTCCCATCGGTCCAAGAGCTGTTGAATTCAATGACTATGTGGTTTACGATGTATGTAGCATGATTCCCGCTGCCATTGTGGAACCATCACTCAACGATAGGTCCGAGAAAAAACAAAAATCTGGAAGGATTCCACAGCAGACTGAACCGTGGACTACCTTATCGACATCTTTTGAAACTTGGCTTGTGACTTATTGTGATTATCATCTGACAGATTAGTTCCAAACTAATTTGATTATTGTGATTATCATCTGACTGATTAGTAAAATAAAATGTATGTAAATATTCTTGGGGTTATTCCATTCAAAAGACAAAGGTAACAGGCTGGGGATTAGGTGTGCATTCAACTGTGAACTTTGTTATTATAAGCTGTAGGTGTTTTGCCATGAAGGCGTTTTTTGCATTCAACTGTGAACTTTGTTGTTATAAGCTGTAAGTGTTTTGGCATGTAGGCGTTTTGGGGGGACACCAAATGAATGGTTCCTGCAAAGATATATAGGTCTCTGTCTATTTCTTTACTAAATTTTAATTGACAGTTATTAGTCATACTAAATATGTCATAATACAATATGCTTGACCACTAATTTCATGCTGGCATCACAGTATTGATAAATAATTTAAAGTCTAACATTCTTCTCAACTAAAAGACATGTGTTTGAAATAATTACTTTCAGTGTTCTCAGCATGAGAATTTAATTGTAACATCACTTTACTTCATTTCAGGTCTGGAAACGTTTTGGTTTTGAATGATAGATATTTATCACGTGTATACGGACATTTGAATATGCAACAGGACACCCCGACTGATGATGTCTTTACAGTGTCTACAATCATATTGTGAACAACTTCCTAATCACTAATGCAACTTCCTAATCACTAATGCAGGGTTAGAAACTAACAGTTTTTGTCCACTAGTCCTTATAATGATAACATATAGCCAAACCCTTAAAATGGGCCAATTTCTACTAGTCCTTAGGATACCTTAACTATAGGGCAGTTTGGTAAGGACTATTAGGACTAGTGCCAATTTCTAACGCTGTAATAGTTAGTCTTTTTAACAATCTAGGGGTTTACTGCCTTACTGTCTGTACACTCTTAGGGTTAGGGATTTGTGGAGCTTGGGATTGCATTCGGCAGACTTTCGGACACGATATAAATAATCGACTTTTCTTCTTTCCCCATACATGAATCTACATATCCCATATTATCTGAATATCTACACCATCACGCCATTAGTTACTCACCTGACTGACATTTCCACCAGCCCCAACACAAAAAAGGGTAAGGAAAAACAAAGTCCTAACATTTGCAAGCATGTTAATTCAATTGTCATCGTTCAAAAACAACATATATGACTCTGTTTTTTGTTTTCACTCAACGTATTGATCCCTATTCCACAGCATGAAGAGCCTCCATATTTGTTTGCATAGCTCCGAACTAATTACCTTGGGGTCAGACGATTGGTTAAAAATAATTTGGAAGTTATTGTATTTACCAAAAAACTCAGGACAGGTGCATGTGGTTTATATGTACAGACTTTATTCCATCTGAAATGTTCGATAACAAAATCCATCCTGTAACACAGTTAGGTAACATTTGTAATTCCTACGTAAAAGCATTTGATTGGTTGTGACAATTCAGTGCGTAAAGGAATAAACAGGAAGTGAAGAGGAGTGATCCATCTAAAATCTGTCAATGAAATGCACCCATTTAGAAATAAGTCATTGCGTGATGATGGCTGACAACAGCTAGGTAATTATATAATATGATCTGTAAAAATGAATTATACTGCGTCAATTATCTGAACACCAAATATTATTTGTTTGTTTTAAATTGATGCGCAGCAGTGGCAGACGATGTATTTCTAATCTCATTTATAGGCCTACATCATGCTGATTGGATTGTACTAGACACGGATTTGGTTGTTATTATCATGCATAGCGATATTTTTCATATTCCACCAAACGTATCCTAAGGGACCACCTGCGAAGGGTAGTTTGAAAGCAGAGTATTTCATTGTGCTTTTCGTTTGATGTGTGTGATATTGGATTCTAGTTCTTTTTCCCAAAAATAATTATCTGAATTATTTGATTTTTATTGGAGTTTTGGGCGTAAACAACGATTAAATGGTAAATAATTTTAGATAACATCAGACATTTATGAGAAATCAGTGGCCTCAATCATGCCTCCTTGTGCTATGGGTTTTCGAGCCCCTATGAAGTATTTCTGGTTACATGTCTAATAACAATTAAGTCTTACCTTTGAGAACATTTATTTCTGTTAACACTTGGATGATCAAATGACCGTCATGCCTTGTTAATTTTATAGTGATAATGCCTCACTGAGTGAGACGAGTCAATCAGGTGCCACCTTGTTACTGTCACAAGATTTCGAGCCCCTCCATTACAGTCAAATTAGAAATAGATGCACAACATGATCAGTCACATGTATGACATTACAGACCAGAAGTCTTCTACATGCAGCCAATACATCCTTAGTGCATATGATTGTTCTGATGCAAATTATCAACAGATCAAGTTTGATTAAAATATGCATTAGTGAAAAAGGTTTAAGGTATGTTTTCATTACTTATTGAATATCCCTACCCCGTGTAGATTAATTCATAACATAACTTCAGCAACAAGAGACGAATACTTTGCTGTCTTCACTGGGCTTTGAAGCATCAACCTTGATTTCGTCATTTAGTGCCTGGTCACATATTGTTTAAGGGCCCCAAAAAGAGTGAGGCTTGATTTTACTAAATTCAGATGTTCAAATTTTAAAATAGCTTTAAAAACTGGCAGATATAGTAAAACAGACCGTTCACTCAGATTCTGTAACTATTGTAGTAGTAAGGGAGTTAATGTCATTGAGGATGAATTCCATGTACTCTTTAATTGTGTCCCGCCGCGCGAAAGCGCGGAGCTGGGGACATAGTATTCACGACCGTCCTTATGTACATCCGTACGTCCGTCCGTACGTCCGTCCGTACGTCCCACCTGTTTGTTGCCGCGATATCTCAAGAACTAAACACTGGATTGTCTTCATATTTGGAACTATGGTGTATATACAGACTCCACAGACACCAGTCGGTTTTGGTGACCTTGACTCCATTTTCAAGGTCACAGCAGGCAAATCTGCTTTTGGAGTTGGAAAACGTTGTTGCCCCGATATCTCAAGAACTAAACACCGGATTGTCTTCATATTTGGAACTATGGTGTATATACAGACACTGCAGAAACCAGTCGGTTTTGGTGACCTTGACCCCATTTTCAAGGTCACAGCAGGCAAATCTGCTTTTGGATTTGGAAATATCCGAAATATCTCAAGAACTAATCGCTGGATTGTCTTCATATTTGGTACTATGGTGTCCACAGACACCAGTCGGTTTTGGTGACCTTAACTTAATTTTCAAGGTAACAGCAGGGAAATCTGTTATTTGATTTGCAGGAATTTGGGTAATTATTTCTAATGGTACGACAAATAGTTCCATGGAGGTATCTAACACAGAAAATAATATTATTCAAAAGGAATAAAATATTTGGAAAAAAAACACATATCGCATAAGGCGGCGGGGGACATTTCGTCACTTTGTGACAAATACTTGTTGTAATCTATATTATGCCCTAAGACAAAAATACCTTGTTAATCTTCCTATGCCTACTCATTACAGTAATTCTCATGTAATAAATATTCTTAGTAATTATAATGAGCAAACATTATTTCTAGTTTGTAAATTCTTATATTATGCTCACAAAATAATTAATGATAAATTCTGTGCCCTGTAAATGTCATGCTCACATGTCTGTATTTTGGGCCATTGGCCTTTTACTGAATAAACATGTCTGTCTGTCTGTCTAAGTATTTCAGGCGCCTTTTTTGTCACCTAGCTAAAATAACAGGGGGTCTTGAATTAAATGCTTCCGTAAGCAAATGTAATGTTTGATTACCATGGTAGATATATAATACAACATGTTCGCTGAAATGTGTCACTGATGAGGTCGTCGCACACCATTATGGAACTTCTATTTTCAAGTACTTTTTCAATGTTGATGTCTAATTTTCAACGTTTATGCATCACTTATATTCAATTTCAAGGTTTAATCATATTAAGCCATACAAATGCAAGTGGGGTCATTTTCCTGCTTATTTTGAGGCTTCATCGCCCTATTTTTCAAATAGTGATGCCGTTACATGCAGCTTTATTAGTAGCATCAAACAAACTTGTCGGATAGGTGTCTGGTATGATGCATGTGTAACATTTTCTAAAAACCTCCCGCGTTTCCCAAAAATTGACGAGCTGCAATCAGAACTGTATGCTGAATGCGAGTGATGGGGGCATGGAAACATCAGTGATGACATTGGAGTTGAAAGGAAATACAGCCAATAAGATGCGTTGTGGAGTTGATGACTTTTCATTTAAAAAAAATTAATGTCCAACGGTTAGAGAAGGTGGCAGTGTTGCTTTTCTTAGCCCCCTGAATAATTTTGAGAGATACGTGGGATTTGTGGTCATCATGGAGGAAAAGAGGTTTGGTTGAAAATTTAGTAAAATATTCCTTATTGATGGAAGATATCCGTGTTAGACCAACTGGTCTCAGACACTTTGCCAACAGCTCCCAACTACACCAATTCATCCCACATTGTGTACAGGAATAATCAGATATTGAGGAAGAAAATTCCCTTTAGCACTGATGGCTCCAAACATGGTTACTGGATGGTTTTGGATGTAATGATAGTAACAGCCTGGGGCTTGTAAGTAGAAGACGATATGAGCCTCAGAAGTCTGAAACCCATATTAAGTCAGTTTTTATCAATGTTATCGGAAATTATCAACTTCTTCCTGAGTAACAGTTCCAGCACATATATTCTAACTTCCTAGGTTTCTGTTCTTTAAGTACTCTAACATCAGCAATTTAACAATTAATTATAAAAATGTCTAACATAATTTCTAGTGGTCAGCCATGTTGGGCAAGGATTTACATGTGAAATGTTCAATGACTATGTCAACTGTAGAATTTGGAATAAAAATTCAGATATGATGTATATCATACCTGATCTATTGCCTATTATTGGTACCGGTAATTGAAATTTTGCACATAATCATTGACTGCTCAAGGGGAGGAAACCACTCTGTTTGACTTGGTTTTTTTGCAATTGATAGAAAGATTCATCTGCACAATGCACTTAGTCTAAAAGATCATTCAAATTGTCCAAGTTGTTTAATGTCCAGAGAAACATGTTCGAATCCCAGTTCATCCCAGTTACGTTTCTAGGTTTGTCAGCACCATACCCATGCTCATGGGTTTTACCAAAGTGGTAATCATGGTAATCATCTGAGAATGTCATCACTTTGGGCTTTCCTCCCACATTAAACTGATACACTGTGATAAAACTGGGATACCGTTGAAAGCAGTGTTAATCCCAACTCACTCACTTAAGTTAGTATTCCAGTTGGTGAGTTAGTCACATATTGTATTAAAGCCTGCTGCACAGGCAAGTGTAACATCACCATGATTATCATAATCCATATAATTCTTATCCTGCGTAGCCTGATTCTGCTTTTGAAAATGGCAATACTGATAGAGCTTAATGCTTCATGGACAAACACAGAACTTGAGCTGCGTGAGAAAAAGACCTACAGCCAAAGAATTTGAGTTATTTTTGTGAACTTCAAGGAGCTGATGTTATTGATTGAAAATCCATTCACTGTCATTTAAACATGGTGACTGGAGACCTGGAAGAATATTCAATTTGTTCATACGGACATGGCGGAATATGGCTTACATTGCTGTTGAGATGTTGTAGGGACAGTATCAGCTGGACAACTATTTGTTTTTCATACACATGGGCACACTGTGTTGAACTGGGTTCAACATATCTCATCATGCATATAAACTATATATGCCTTTTCAATCCATGTTAGTTGTTCAATTCATGTCAGATGCCATGGTCATTCATCTCACTATTTTTTCTGAGCCATTTTTCAGAATATGTGAGTTGACCTGAAGTGAATGAATTCTGTGTAACAAGTTAGTGTTTAGCATGTAGTGGTTTCTAGTTCAAGATGCCCTTTTGTAGAAGGCATGCATTTACCCCAAACAGGAAGTGACATCAAGTGACAGGTCGTTCAAGGTAGCTTGGGGCTGGGATTTCCTGTTTTGAAGTAAGCATGTGCCTTTCCAAACCAGAAGTGATGTCATTAGACCTGAAGTGCATATTACTTCCTTATTATGTGAACTAGATGAATGAGGGTATGTTGTAAGTTTGTGTGCGCTGTTGAAAAGGCAGCTAGATGACAAGTTCGAGGTGTCATTTTGACGGACCTGCATAGTCGGCTACAACATCAATGGTGCCAAGGCTGCAAAGTATGGTCACAGCTGTGATGGAGACAAGTTTGGTTTAGTGACGAGTCATGTTTTATGCTTCATAGTGTGGATGGTAGACACCGTGTGTACAGGCTTTGCAGGAAACGCTACGCATGAAACTGCATGCAGGAATAGGACAGATTTGGTGGTGGTAGTGTGATGATGTGGGCGGTCATCTCCTACACTGGTAGAACAAGTTCTGGGGAATTTAACAGCACAACGTAACACGGTTGAGATTCTTCGGCCACACATTCTTCCCATTATGCATTAAGCAAACGTAATTTTCCAACAAGGCAACGCCTGATCTCACACGGCAAGACTGACAACAGCCTTTTTCAGGAACCACAACATGCAGGTCCTGTCATGGCCCTTCAGGTTCCCAGATTTAAACCCAATAGAACGTTTATGAGATGAACTGAATCAACGACTGTGAGCACATCAGCAACAACCACAGAACCTCCAACAGTTGGCACAAGCACTGCAGGCAGAGTGGGTGAACATTCCCCAGGCCACAATTTAGGATCTAATTACTTTCTTGGCACGACGATGCCAGCCATTTTTCGACTCTAATGGTGGCCACACAAGATATTGAGAACAGATGATCTTCACCTTAAATATCTACTGTTCCATGTGTGCCATATGGAACCTGGGTCAATGACAATGATGTGTGCCAATCGATTGAACAATCAATTACATCTGATGATTATTTATATGATGTATAAAAAATACATCTAAAATCACTTTTGCGTTTCTTTCTTTGCAGAGTATATATCTCACAAATATCTCCTGCCAAATCTCTTTTTTCAGGGTAACAGTGATGAAAGATTACACCTGTCACTAATTAAGAGGCTCCTTGTAATAAATACATATGATCCCTGTGCAACATAGTTGCTATTATTAATCAAGCTACAAGCCACAGCTCAGTTCCAGCAGAGACCATAATATTTTATGGTCCTTGGTTCCATCAAGAAGGAAACCAGCAAGTGCCCAGACCAATGATCAGTCATCTACACATTGTTTCAGTATCAGGCAGGGTCCTGTTGGCTCAGAGTAGGGCTAACTTGTTGTACATGGTCTCTTGTGAAGCCCATTTCTGGTGTCCCAAGCTGTGATATTGCTGGAATATTACTCAAAGTGGTGTCACTCACTCACTCACTCACTCACTCACTCACTCACTCACTCACTCTCTCACTCACTCACTCACTCACTCACTCACTCACTCACTCACTCACTCACTCACTCACTCACTCACTCACTCACTCACTCACTCACTCACTCACTCACTCACTCATTCACATCTCAGATCAAATCTTTTCCCAGGACATTTACTAAGGTTATAATGACATGAACTTCTAGCCCATTATCAATATCTACTTTGTACTGAATGCAGTGACATTCTGATAAGCCACACCTTTACTGGGTGGACCATTGTGAAATAGGGCACTTGGCAGGATGCATAATTTGTCTGTTTTTAAAACATGTCAAACTGAGGATATGGTCCATGATGGACCATGAACATGCATTTTATCCCACAAATAATGTCTAATGACTCTTGCTTATATGTGTTATTTTGTTGTTCAATTCCACACTCAGTGATATTCCTACTATGTGACAGTGGTCTTTAAATAATTGAGTCTGGACTAGACAATGCTAGACAGTCTGGTGATAAACATCATCAGCATCAATCCACGCAATTGGGATCGATGACATGCATCAACCAAGTCAGCGAGCCTGACCACCCAATCCCATTAGCCACCTCTTATGACAAGCACAGTTGCCTCTTACGACAAGCATGGGTTGCTGAAGACCTATTCAAACTGAATCTTCACGTGTCTACATATGTTACAAATAGAGGAAGTAAACACAGTCCGAATTATTCTTCAAAATAGTTCTGCTTTTCAGTTTTTGACTTAACTTCAGAAGATTTGCACTCAGAGTATATTAGGGAACCGGGGGATATGTCATCTACCGATGACTTGTTTGAGACAAGTTAATTTACAGTTCTGAGTTCTGAGTAGACTGTATGTTCTTTGGAGGTTAATTGAAGGTGATAGTTTGAACCATAGCTCGTAGTTGCAACAAATGAGAAATTTTTAAATTGCAGCTTCTTTAGCAGGAAAACAAAATGAAATCTTGGACTGCATCTTCAGCATGTTTATTGTATTTTTGTTCTTTCTTGTAAATTACAGGAAGGTATCTTTTCCTATACTAAATTGTTGTAGAAACGCAACTGTAACTCTTTGGAATTTTTTGTCTGCTCAGTAGTGTCACTCTGTCATCTTCATTGACTGATTTCAGAGCAGAACGGAAGGGATACTGTTTCTCAACACAACAGAAAAATGATAAATATAGGTGAACTATGAATAGTCTTTCAAACACTAGAAATTTCTACTCCGCCCATACCCGAAACATGAGGGCATTGTTTGGGGCAGGTGCCAAATATTTCGACATCTTGTGACGAGGATGTTTTGCTATCACACAGCTAGACTTCCCACTTGAACTTTGAACTGCTCTTCACATGTAATATTACACCAGACTGTGGGGAGGGCAATCCTGTGCTAATCCAGTAAGGTGAAAAAGCGAACTGTTTCAGTTCCTATGTTACCATATGTATGATATGAATAGGTGGTCTAAGAAATAGAACTAAGAAACAAGTTTCATTACCATTCATATTCCGTTGTTAAACAGGTACTATTGACAATAATTCTAATGTACATGTTTCAGGGAGATGAGTTATAAACGTGAGGGACACAAGCCCCCTCGCCCTCCTCCCCCGAAGGTGAGCTTGGGCTCCAAGATGAGTTCAGGGGCAATAGGCATCAGCTTCAAGGCACTGGAGGAGGAGGATGATGAGGATCTCACCATCTTCACGGGCAAGTTTGATAAGGTTGTTGAGGAGGCCCACAAGTCCAATCGCTCCGGCCATGAAAGAAGGGGGTCATCAGGGGAACCGAAGCTCATCAAGGCAGGATCAACCTCCATACAAGATTCAAAACTCACTAAACTTCACCCAAATTCAAAATCCTTAGATGATGGTAACTCATCTCCCACTAAGAAGAGCTTTTTTGAATATAAAGATATCATTTCAGATATCAGACATAAGATAACTGACACAAAAGAAAAGATAACTGATTCAATAAGCAAAAGAATAGAAGAATTTTCGGGAGATTCCAGCTCCAACCCCAGCCCTGAAAATGAGCAGCCTTTTGATGATGACATGTTGGTTACTGAGAGAGTGAACATTTTGACTGAGGTTAGGCCAGAAAGGGCACCTGTTGTTCAAGATGCTGTACCAGGTGCTGTGAAAGATGACTTGGTTGACCAGTTCCAGGAATGTGAGGAAGACACAAGTGCTGTCGGAAAGGATGATGAAGAAGAAGATGATGATATAGCTGTTATTGATGAATACTTTAGTATGAACTCAATGGAGGATTTTAGTTCCAGCCCTGGACTGAATGTGTCTGTCAGGCAGAGATCAAAACTAAACCGTTTAGTCAAGAAAAACTCTAAACCTGTAACATCAGCAACTATCTCTATGTCAACTCTGATGGACACCAGTCCAGCGGAGGAAGAACCGCAGTTTAATCTGGAAGTACAAGATGAACATAATGAGCCTGTTATGGAGTCAACAGAGCCAGGACCAAAACCAGACCTGGAGATTTTGATAAATCAGGACAAAAAAACACCAACCACATTCAATGTAGTGAAGCCAGCAGAGAAGACCGTCCCCATACAAAAGCTGGCAGCAATAGCTGTGTGTGTGTTTGCATATCTTATCATGCCCCTTCCCTCCTATGTGTCAGGGCTGTTGATGGGGGCCATGGTAACGTCGGCTGGATGGGCCCTGTATCTCTGGTACAAACAACCACCAAAACAACACGATGATTTCAAACTCACCCCGCTTGAAGATTTACCTCCCATGCTTCTTCCAGAGATGAAGGATCCTGTCAAAGATGATGGTATTTATAAGGTAAGTTGATACAAGCTTGTGTCCCTTTTTTCTTTGGAGGGGTGACGGGATAGTCTAGTGGTTAAAGCGTAATCCAATCAGTGATGACCCTGAATGCCTGGCTTTGATTCCCCAAATGGGTACAATGTGTGAAGCCCATTTCTGATATTGCTAAAAGCAGCGTAAAACCATGCTCACTCCCTCACTCTCTGCCCTTTGGTAAGATAGTCAATTGTTATGTTTGTTGGTTAACGCCACACTCAGCAATATTCCAGCTATATGACGGTGGTCTGTACAAAATTGTATCTGGACCAGACAGTCCAGTGATTGACATCATGAGCATCGATCCACGCAATTGGGATATGATGCCATGCATCAACCAAGTCAGCGAGCCTCACTACCTGATCCCATTAGTCGCCTCTTACGACAAGCATGGGTTGCTGAAGACCTGCCCCAGATCTTCACAGGTCTAATTGTTATGAATGACACTGCAAGTAGAAATGTTACAGGTGATGAGTTCTTTTGTTCATTTTCTTTCTTATGTGTAAAATAAACAGTGTTCAAAATTAAGCATGAGAGTTAAGGGGTTCTTGTCACAACTTTATGGTTTAATGTCCATAGATTAATATAGTATAGGAGTATATCTTAAGGACCCCAGGACCCGCTTCGAACACTGTATAAATGTATACAATCAATCAGCCCTTAACTCATCCAGACAGGCTAAAACAGATTCACACATTTGCACATTGAGTGAGTGAGTGAGTATGGTTTTACGCCGCTTTTAGCAATATTCCAGCAATATCACAGCGGGGGACACCAAAAATGGGCTTCACACATTGTACCCATGTTGGGAATCGAACCCGGGTCTTTGGCATGACGAGCGAACGCTTTAACCACTAGGCTACCTGACCGCCCGAAGTTTACTGGGAAGTCATTATAAGCATATTTTGTATATTGATACACTTCAATATATTTGAGTCACAATAAGATACATGTTACAATACTTAATTTGCTCTCTTAGTGGGTGTAATTCTGCATGTTTGATGTGGCCCTGCTAACATGAGGTTTTGCAATCATATTTAGCATATTTGTTTTTAGCTCTTTACTGTGGCTTCAAATTTGTGATTGAAAGTGTAGACTATGTCCAGCAAACAGATACAGTCTGTCTGATCATCAAATTTTATCAATTAGTGTCCACAAAAAGTTGTCATAATAATCAACTGAATCTGTAGAATGTCTTGTCTATTTAATCCAGGGCTGGATGAATGAGCTGTTGGAATACAGCTCCGATGACTACCATATCAACCAGACACACTCTGTCTACATCAGTCTCGAAGGTGCACATCTTAGACTGCAACGACCAAAGATAGGGGTGCCAAAACGTGCCATGTGGGATGAAGCATTCACACCGTCATCATTCATACACCAGCGGCATTTTGACCTACAGGGTAGCCGTGTGTTCCTGCTCCCCTCTGGTTTAGTGAAAAAGAGGATATGGAGCAAGAAGTACCCTATCTGCGTGGCCCTGGCTCAGGCTGGGACCAAGTCAACCAGTGCACCCACTGCAGTGTCCGGATCTCCCAAACGCACCACCACACCCAACAGTGATGGAGAGTCCGGATTTGAAATCATTGATGAAGAGAAATGTGACAGTAGTATCCTCTATCTCTTCGCTCGAACAGGAAGAGAAAAGGAAGACTGGTATAAACGTTTCGTGTGTGCATCTATGGGTAAGCCTTTAGGCAACCACTTGCTAGATCTCAAGAAGGCAATTTCAAGTCAATCCAAACATAAACGGAGCAATTCAGACACTTCTTTGAGACACAAACGACAAGGTTCTACAGATTCTATTTCGTCCACATCATCACAAACTGAGTCACCAGTACCACCACCCCCAAAAGAAACTCAATCTGCGTTAGATGTGGACCTCCTGGCGTTTGCACAGTACATGGGGCGCCTCATGCCATCCACCACGGGTGTGTCCAGCCCTGGGAAGGAGAACAGTACATGGAGCACCATCAGTGGTTCCCTCATCTGTGATAAACAACTATTTTGGGTCAATGCCATGGTTGGTCGCATATTCTGGGATTTTCTTCGAGACAAATGGTGGTCTGAGAAGGTGACCGAGAAGTTACAGAGGAAACTGAGTAAAATACATGTAAGTCAGAATCTGATTGGTCATATGTGGGCACAAAGAAGGGACATAAAACTAGTGGGGCTATAATCAAGTCTAGAAATTCCAACCTAGTTCGGCAAGGGTGGAAACTGGACTTTCACAGTCAGTTAACGCCCTTGCCTGGGGAAGATGCAGTAAGTGGTGTCTGCTAAAGGATGGTTGGACCTCAGTAAGATACATGTAAGTGGTGTCTGCCCATGGGAAAGTAGGACCTCAGTAAGATACATGTAAGTGGTGTCTGTTGAAGGATGGTAGGACCTCAGTAAGATACATGTAAGTGGTGTCTGTTGAAGGATGGTAGGACCTCAGTAAGATACATGTAAGTGGTGTCTGCCCATGGGAAAGTAGGACCTCAGTAAGATACATGTAAGTGGTATCTGTTGAAGGATGGTAGAACCTCAGTAAGATACATGTAAGTGGTATCTGTTGAAGGATGGTAGAACCTCAGTTAGATACATGTAAGTGGTATCTGTTGAAGGATGGTAGAACCTCAGTAAGATACATGTAAGTGGTATCTGTTGAAGGATGGTAGAACCTCAGTAAGATACATGTAAGTGGTATCTGTTGAAGGATGGTAGGACCTCAGTAAGATACATGTAAGTGGTATCTGTTGAAGGATGGTAGGACCTCAGTAAGATACATGTAAGTGGTATCTGTTGAAGGATGGTAGGACCTCAGTAAGATTCATGTAAGTGGTGTCTGTTGAAGGATGGTAGAACCTCAGTAAGATTCATGTAAGTGGTGTCTGTTGAAGGATGGTAGGACCTCAGTAAGATACATGTAAGTGGTGTCTGTTGAAGGATGGTAGGACCTCAGTAAGATTCATGTAAGTGGTGTCTGTTAAAGGATGGTAGAACCTCAGTAAGATTCATGTAAGTGGTGTCTGTTGAAGGATGGTAGAACCTCAGTAAGATTCATGTAAGTGGTGTCTGTTGAAGGATGGTAGAACCTCAGTAAGATTCATGTAAGTGGTGTCTGTTGAAGGATGGTAGGACCTCAGTAAGATACATGTAAGTTGTATCTGTTAAAGGATGGTAGAACCTCAGTAAGATTCATGTAAGTTGTATCTGTTGAAGGATGGTAGGACCTCAGTAAGATACATGTAAGTTGTATCTGTTCAAGGATGGTAGGACCTCAGTTAGATACATGTAAGTGGTGTCTGTTGAAGGATGGTAGGACCTCAGTAAGATACATGTAAGTTGTATCTGTTCAAGGATGGTAGAACCTCAGTTAGATACATGTAAGTGGTGTCTGTTGAAGGATGGTAGGACCTCAGTTAGATACATGTAAGTGGTGTCTGCCCATGGGAAAGTAGGACCTCAGTAAGATACAAGTAAGTGGTATCTGTTGAAGGATGGTAGGACCTCAGTAAGATACATGTAAGTGGTATCTGTTGAAGGATGGTAGAACCTCAGTAAGATACATGTAAGTGGTATCTGTTGAAGGATGGTAGGACCTCAGTAAGATACATGTAAGTTGTATCTGTTCAAGGATGGTAGAACCTCAGTAAGATTCATGTAAGTGGTGTCTGCCCATGGGAAAGTAGGACCTCAGTAAGATACAAGTAAGTGGTATCTGTTGAAGGATGGTAGGACCTCAGTAAGATGCATGTAAGTGGTATCTGTTGAAGGATGGTAGGACCTCAGTAAGATACAAGTAAGTGGTATCTGTTGAAGGATGGTAGGACCTCAGTAAGATACATGTAAGTGGTATCTGTTAAAGGATGGTAGGACCTCAGTAAGATACATGTAAGTTGTATCTGTTCAAGGATGGTAGAACCTCAGTAAGATTCATGTAAGTGGTGTCTGCCCATGGGAAAGTAGGACCTCAGTAAGATACAAGTAAGTGGTATCTGTTGAAGGATGGTAGGACCTCAGTAAGATACATGTAAGTGGTATCTGTTGAAGGATGGTAGAACCTCAGTAAGATACATGTAAGTGGTGTCTGCCCATGGGAAAGTAGGACCTCAGTAAGATACAAGTAAGTGGTATCTGTTGAAGGATGGTAGGACCTCAGTAAGATACATGTAAGTGGTATCTGTTGAAGGATGGTAGAACCTCAGTAAGATACATGTAAGTGGTGTCTGCCCATGGGAAAGTAGGACCTCAGTAAGATACATGTAAGTGGTGTCTGTTGAAGGATGGTAGAACCTCAGTAAGATACATGTAAGTGGTGTCTGCCCATGGGAAAGTAGGACCTCAGTAAGATACATGTAAGTGGTATCTGTTGAAGGATGGTAGGACCTCAGTAAGATACATGTAAGTGGTATCTGTTGAAGGATGGTAGAACCTCAGTAAGATACATGTAAGTGGTATCTGTTGAAGGATGGTAGGACCTCAGTAAGATACATGTAAGTGGTATCTGTTGAAGGATGGTAGAACCTCAGTAAGATACATGTAAGTGGTGTCTGCCCATGGGAAAGTAGGACCTCAGTAAGATACAAGTAAGTGGTATCTGTTGAAGGATGGTAGGACCTCAGTAAGATACATGTAAGTGGTATCTGTTGAAGGATGGTAGCTAGGACCTCAGTAAGATACATGTAAGTGGTATCTGTTGAAGGATGGTAGGACCTCAGTTAGATACATGTAAGTGGTATCTGTTAAAGGATGGTAGAACCTCAGTAAGATTTATGTAAGTGGTATCTGTTGAAGGATGGTAGGACCTCAGTTAGATACATGTAAGTGGTATCTGTTAAAGGATTGTAGAACCTCAGTAAGATTCATGTAAGTGGTGTCTGTTGAAGGATGGTAGAACCTCAGTAAGATTCATGTAAGTGGTGTCTGCCCATGGGAAAGTAGGACCTCAGTAAGATACATGTAAGTGGTATCTGTTGAAGGATGGTAGGACCTCAGTAAGATACATGTAAGTGGTATCTGTTGAAGGATGGTAGAACCTCAGTAAGATACATGTAAGTGGTATCTGTTGAAGGATGGTAGGACCTCAGTAAGATACATGTAAGTGGTATCTGTTGAAGGATGGTAGAACCTCAGTAAGATACATGTAAGTGGTGTCTGCCCATGGGAAAGTAGGACCTCAGTAAGATACAAGTAAGTGGTATCTGTTGAAGGATGGTAGGACCTCAGTAAGATACATGTAAGTGGTATCTGTTGAAGGATGGTAGAACCTCAGTAAGATTCATGCAAGTGGTGTCTGTTGAAGGATGGTAGCTAGGACCTCAGTAAGATACATGTAAGTGGTGTCTGTTGAAGGATGGTAGGACCTCAGTAAGATACATGTAAGTGGTATCTGTTGAAGGATGGTAGGACCTCAGTAAGATACATGTAAGTGGTATCTGTTAAAGGATGGTAGAACCTCAGTAAGATACATGTAAGTGGTATCTGTTGAAGGATGGTAGGACCTCAGTAAGATACATGTAAGTGGTGTCTGCCCATGGGAAAGTAGGACCTCAGTAAGATACAAGTAAGTGGTATCTGTTGAAGGATGGTAGGACCTCAGTAAGATACATGTAAGTGGTATCTGTTGAAGGATGGTAGAACCTCAGTAAGATACATGTAAGTGGTGTCTGCCCATGGGAAAGTAGGACCTCAGTAAGATACATGTAAGTGGTATCTGTTGAAGGATGGTAGGACCTCAGTAAGATACATGTAAGTGGTATCTGTTGAAGGATGGTAGAACCTCAGTAAGATACATGTAAGTGGTGTCTGCCCATGGGAAAGTAGGACCTCAGTAAGATACAAGTAAGTGGTATCTGTTGAAGGATGGTAGGACCTCAGTAAGATACATGTAAGTGGTATCTGTTGAAGGATGGTAGAACCTCAGTAAGATTCATGTAAGTGGTGTCTGTTGAAGGATGGTAGCTAGGACCTCAGTAAGATACATGTAAGTGGTGTCTGTTGAAGGATGGTAGGACCTCAGTAAGATACATGTAAGTGGTATCTGTTGAAGGATGGTAGCTAGGACCTCAGTAAGATACAAGTAAGTGGTATCTGTTGAAGGATGGTAGGACCTCAGTAAGATACAAGTAAGTGGTATCTGTTGAAGGATGGTAGGACCTCAGTAAGATACATGTAAGTGGTATCTGTTGAAGGATGGTAGAACCTCAGTAAGATACATGTAAGTGGTGTCTGCCCATGGGAAAGTAGGACCTCAGTAAGATACATGTAAGTGGTATCTGTTAAAGGATGGTAGAACCTCAGTAAGATACATGTAAGTGGTATCTGTTGAAGGATGGTAGAACCTCAGTAAGATACATGTAAGTGGTGTCTGCCCATGGGAAAGTAGGACCTCAGTAAGATACAAGTAAGTGGTATCTGTTGAAGGATGGTAGGACCTCAGTAAGATACATGTAAGTGGTATCTGTTGAAGGATGGTAGAACCTCAGTAAGATTCATGTAAGTGGTGTCTGTTGAAGGATGGTAGCTAGGACCTCAGTAAGATACAAGTAAGTGGTATCTGTTGAAGGATGGTAGGACCTCAGTAAGATACATGTAAGTGGTATCTGTTGAAGGATGGTAGAACCTCAGTAAGATTCATGTAAGTGGTGTCTGTTGAAGGATGGTAGCTAGGACCTCAGTAAGATACATGTAAGTGGTGTCTGTTGAAGGATGGTAGGACCTCAGTAAGATACAAGTAAGTGGTGTCTGTTGAAGGATGGTAGGACCTCAGTAAGATTCATGTAAGTGGTGTCTGTTGAAGGATGGTAGAACCTCAGTTAGATACATGTAAGTGGTGTCTGTTGAAGGATGGTAGGACCTCAGTTAGATACATGTAAGTGGTGTCTGTTGAAGGATGGTAGGACCTCAGTAAGATACATGTAAGTGGTGTCTGCCCATGGGAAAGTAGGACCTCAGTAAGATTCATGTAAGTGGTGTCTGTTGAAGGATGGTAGAACCTCAGTTAGATACATGTAAGTGGTGTCTGTTGAAGGATGGTAGGACCTCAGTAAGATACATGTAAGTGGTGTCTGCCCATGGGAAAGTAGGACCTCAGTAAGATTCATGTAAGTGGTGTCTGTTGAAGGATGGTAGAACCTCAGTAAGATTCATGTAAGTGGTGTCTGTTGAAGGATGGTAGAACCTCAGTAAGATTCATGTAAGTGGTGTCTGTTGAAGGATGGTAGAACTTCAGTAAGATTCATGTAAGTGGTATCTGTTGAAGGATGGTAGAACCTCAGTAAGATTCATGTAAGTGGTGTCTGTTGAAGGATGGTAGCTAGGACCTCAGTAAGATACATGTAAGTGGTATCTGTTGAAGGATGGTAGGACCTCAGTTAGATACATGTAAGTGGTATCTGTTAAAGGATGGTAGAACCTCAGTAAGATACATGTAAGTGGTATCTGTTAAAGGATGGTAGAACCTCAGTAAGATACATGTAAGTGGTATCTGTTAAAGGATGGTAGAACCTCAGTAAGATACATGTAAGTGGTGTCTGTTAAAGGATGGTAGAACCTCAGTAAGATTCCTGTAAGTGGTGTCTGTTGAAGGATGGTAGGACCTCAGTAAGATACATGTAAGTGGTGTCTGTTGAAGGATGGTAGAACCTCAGTAAGATTCCTGTAAGTGGTATCTGTTAAAGGATGGTAGGACCTCAGTTAGATACATGTAAGTGGTATCTGTTAAAGGATGGTAGAACCTCAGTAAGATACATGTAAGTGGTGTCTGTTAAAGGATGGTAGAACCTCAGTAAGATTCCTGTAAGTGGTGTCTGTTGAAGGATGGTAGGACCTCAGTAAGATACATGTAAGTGGTGTCTGTTAAAGGATGGTAGAACCTCAGTAAGATTCCTGTAAGTGGTGTCTGTTAAAGGATGGTAGAACCTCAGTAAGATTCCTGTAAGTGGTGTCTGTTGAAGGATGGTAGGACCTCAGTAAGATACATGGGTGGGTGTGTGTGTGTGTTGGGGGGGTCTGTTTGACTGTACTTTTGTCTACAATTCTATCATAACAAAGTATTACACCAGTGATTAAAGGAGAGATGAGCTGACTCCTTCGGAAGCATAGTGACCAGCCCATGTAGGAAAAGATCAAGAAGAATAAGAGAGAGTAGAATATATTTACTATGCACAATGACCAAATATAACATATCATATTGTATAGTCAACAAGCAATATTCCTCAACACCCTTAACACTTCTGTACTGCAGACTTTGGGACTTTGAAGACAATACCAATCTCTGGTTTATCTGGTCCAGCCTCGATTATGTTTTATTTACAGGTTGCCATCAACCAGCTATACTATATATGAGGGAGGCATTAAACAGCAAACACAATCTGAATTTCAATTGCAGGTGCCATATTTCATAGAGGAACTGCAAGTGATGGATATTGACATGGGCTCCGAGATCCCTGCCATCCGGCGTGCAGGCAAACCGTACCTGGACGAGAAGGGTTTCTGGGTGGACCTGGACATTGCTTACAATGGGGGCTTCAAGATGACAATCGCAACCAAGGTGAACTTGATGAAGCTGAAGAAAACTACACATCATAACGTCTCACAGCGGCCACTTGATAAGAGGTAAGCGTACTCACAACACCCTGTGTATAAGGTCAGCACTGCATGTACAGATGAGAGTGTCTGTGTGTGAATGTGTGTTCTGAAAACTCCAATGTCATGTATTTCATATCTCAATCTTCATTCCAAGGAGGTTCAGGCTTTCCAGGATAGAAGACAGGAGGTTGGGTAGTCTAGTGGTTAAGGTGTTCGCTCATCACACTGATGACCTGGGTTTGATCCCCACATGGGTAGAAATCGTGAAGCCTGTTTTTGGTGTCCCCTGCTCTGATATTGCTGGAATATTGCTAAAAGGTGCATAAAATCCAACTCACTCACTCTTGGGCAGAAGCTCCTCTCTGTAAGAGGACAGAAATAGAAATTTAATTACCAAAAAAGCACACACAAAAACGCAAGTTCATATTTGTTTCTCAATTTTGGGGTAGTCTCATGTCAATGTGCATGTCTATCATACATACTGCTGTACATGACTGGAATTTTAAGATCACCACTTTATGTTTTTCCTTTATAATCAGGATAAACATTTGCTATTGATCATCTCAAACCACCTCTCACTACCCAACCCAAAAGATAAAGACTGTTATCAAGCGAAGTGTTTGGATAGGGGGAACTTTAGAGTATGTTTACTTGCAAGTCACTCTGACTACTGTATAAGTAATTTGTCCTGTAATTTCAGGTACCAGAATGCAGGGATAGAAATCCCTGAATCTATGGGACCACAAGCCTCATTTGTAAAAGTGTTTGAAATTGTGTGGATACCGTAAACATTTGTTAGGGGAAGGTAGAACGCTCCATACCAGATGCCATGGAAAAACATTAACCCCAACTCACATATTCCAACCCTGAATGTTGGCAGGTCGCCCATAACAGACTCTGATGAGGAGGACAGTGCGGAGTCCTCCACGGACGAAGAGGAGGAGACCCCAGCCACTGATGAGAGGTCAGTAGTGTAGTAGTAGTGGAGCTGTACACAGACCTCGTTATGGTGTGGAGTAGAAACATTCACTAGTCCTAACAGCGTTAGAAATTGGCACTAGTCCTATAGTCCTTGCCAAACTGCCCAATAATAAAGGTATCATAAAGAAATTTGCCATTTTTAGGGGCTTTGCTATATGTTATCATTTTAAGGACTAGTGGACTGAAACTGTTCTACCACTGCCTAAGTGAGCCACTGAAATCTTGCCAATCATTCAGTTGGAGTGCATCAGCAGTTGGATGAAGGGATGCTGACGCTGACCTCATGCTTTATTTACAGTGCAGCATCAGGTGGCACCACCAGTAAGAAGTTCCTGAGATACCTGGACAAGATCACACAAAGTAAATACTTCCAGCAGGCCACAGAGTATAAGTATATCAAGCGTGCCATGGAGGGGGTATCCAACACGCCCCTCATTCTCACGGTGGAGGTCAAGACCCTGGTGGGGACCATGGCCCTCAACATCCCGCCCCCACCGACAGACAGGTTCTGGTAGGTACACAACACTACCTGTGAAGATCCAGGTTAGAATTAGACTGCTTGTCGTAAGAGGTGATTCACAGGATCAGCTGGTCAGACTCGCTGACTTGGTTGATGCAGGTCATCGTATCCCATCGTATAACATTTGTTACATTTGACCACTTCCTAAATGGCATTGTGTGTTCATAGCTTTTGGCCATGGGAGCCGTGCCAATTTACACTTGTCAGGGGGTACACAAAGTATGTGATCTAGACTACCATTTGGCGGACTTTCATTTTGTGGAAGCCTTGGTGGCTGAGTGGTACCAGAATGCAGGGATAGAAATTCCTGAGTCTATGGGACTCCACAAGCCTCATTTGGGACTCAACCTAAAAGATACGAGAATATGTACTTAACTCACAAAGTGTCATCCCAAATATAACACTTGTTACAATTAGAAAGTCCCTGGATTCAAATACTTTAATAAAGGATAAACCCTTTGGGGCATTTTTTTAGAGACTGTCAGATGTGTTCATATGATAGAGAACCAGTCTTTATTCATTTCAACACTTACATGTTTTACATTTACAACAACACCTAGTGTGGTAAGGTCAAACTGTGTAAAAATTCTGACTTTAGAGGTTTTAAGGAAGTGTTTTTGTTGTATTTCAGTATTGGCAAGTTTTTGTCTCATGCTAGATAAATACAGTACAAACATATACTAAAACTTTCCTCTTGTTGGTTGCAGTTACTAAAATTGATCTCTCATGTTTAAGGTATGGTTTCCGTGGCAACCCTAGATTATGGCTGTCAGCTAAGCCGAAAGTTGGTGAGCGTGAGGTAACATTCAACTATATCACAGAATGGATAGAGAAGAAGCTGTCAGTGGAGTTCCAGGTAAGACAATGCAGTAGTGATACTTACTTGCTGACTGATCTATGAGAGCTCTCTTTCTTGGAACAATTCTTTGATTAAGAGAGAATGTGTATTGATTGGGTTGGGAGGTACTTGTTATGTTTACACACCTGTTGGTGAGTAACCCATTTGATAGAACTGGTATCAAACATATGGGAGATCAAATATTGAGTTTGTGATTAGCTACTCCATGGTTATGATCTAAGTTCAGATAATGACGGAACGACTGATTGTAATTCGTGGATACATTTCTCGTGCTTCAGTCGAATTCAACAATGTCTGTGTTGAAACTTTATGGTTTTAGTGTTTAATAACAGGGATGTGAAATCTCCCCGCGGAAAATCACGTTTTTTAAAACAGCAGTCCTCGGAAAAAATCATCTTCCGCGTAAAAATATAATCAAAGATTTAAAAAAAACACTCCGAAAAATATGATCGAAAACCGGACAACCGTCCCGGATTATCCTGTTTTCGATCAGAGCTTTCAGCAGCATAGGTTTTCAGACATCATACGTTTTCTATCACGAATACTTGCACTATAACGTGGGTGTGGTGTCACACAGAATTTGTAAATACTCAGAGTCAGATGATGGCTTGTTTTTAAGATAAAGTTGTCTTTTAGCCTGTAAGTGAATGAGATGTTTTACAGTTGACATTGCACGCTTGTGACAGTTGTCGTTGTGTCTGTGGGATTGGGGTTGAAGTTTATGGCAGTATTGCTCCCAGACCTGGCGGGTAGCCAGGTGCGCGAAAGATATGCCCGATGTTTTTAAAGTACTGATTTAACTTGAAAATTTTTTTTTTACTGCATCTGCCATCTTGTATATTTGACTTATTGACTTTTGCCATTGACTTATTACATTTCTTGGTGTGAATGTTGTCCAAACTGCACGAAATTGCTCAAAATGCAATCAAATGTTTCAAAGGTTTCTTGGAGGGCATGCCCCCAGACCCCCCTAGACTTTTCCTCTTTTTTCGGGGAAAACCTGCTCACATCCCTGTAATAAAGTGTTCAACATATGTTGATCTTATCTAGTTTGTATTATCATCATCACCTTGATGATCCACAGATATGTCTGAGACTGTTTTATGGAGAATCACCCTCAGTATGAGTAGTAAGCAGTATGTCGGTCACTAATGATTGTTGTGTTATATATTAATGCACCACTGCGATCATCAGAATAGACATTATGCATCAATTGAATGCTACAATGGTGCAATATCTGGTATGTAAGAAACAGATTACTGCATTCCTGCCTGTCAGAGACCATTTATCTTGTAGCTCGTTTCAGAATGTATCTAACTCGCTTCCGTGTGTTAGATAGGTTTTGAAATAACCTGTAAGATAAATGGTATCTCACAGACACTTGTGTATTAATTTCTATGTCCCCCATGTGCTGTTTGTACTGATAACAGTGTTAAAGTGGAAACAACAAGGTAATACATCATAGTGATTTTATGTACACATCTGTTGAGGAGGAGTTCATAAGTTGATATTGTGAAATTTGTTTGGATTGATGCTTGTACCATGGTATAAAACTAACCAGATCAACTGTGTATGTTTCAGCGTGTGTTTGTTATGCCCAACATGGATGACCTGGCTATCCCGATCCTTCTCCCTGGCATCCTCCCTGAAGCCATCCCTGTTGCCACGCCGTCCACCACCTCCTCGGTCTGACTCTGACAACACTGCACTTGGCAGCAGGATACCCTGATCTCCATACAGACAGCACCGCACTCTGCAGCAGGGCACCCTGATCTGCCCACAGCAAAAACTGCACTCAGCAGCAGGGCACCTTGATCTGCCCACAGCAAACATAGCACTCCGCAGCAGGGCACCCTGATCTGCCCACAGCAAAAATAGCACTCAGCAGCAGGGCACCTTGATCTGCCCAAAGCAAACATAGCACTCAGCAGCAGGGCACCCTGATCAGTCCACAGCAAACATAGCACTCTGCAGCAGGGCACCCTGATCTGCCACAGCCAAAATAGCACTCAGTATGTCAACACCCTGCTTTGCCCACAAGCAAAACAGAGCCCAGCAGCAGGGTAGCCTATCCTCACACTGCTTGACACTCAGTTCTCCAATAGATGCCAGAATATCCTGCTCTGCACTTGAACGTCCTCCTCACAGGTTGTGCACCTCTCTGTGTGCAAATGTGTACTGACACAAAGCTGTCCAGGCCTCTCAGGCCTATCATGCAGAGTGCACAACAATCTCTCTAGTGCCCCACAGAACCACAGAGGAACCAGTCATCAGAGTCTTCTCCCCCGGCATATCCCCACTTGCATAATTAGAGAAAGTCTTTGTTTATGATGCCTTTGTCTTGTTAGTGTGTATTAGCTTCAGTGGTGTACCTAGATATTGGTAGTTGTGTTAAAGGCACACTTCAGTGACATGTGACAATCAGGCTGTATGACTCTGTAGACCGTAATAGTAACGACACGCTACGTGATGAACAGGCTATGGAACGCTGTAGACCGTAATAGTAACAAGCTACAGGAAGTGTTTATGTGACGATCAGGCTGTAAGATGCTGTAGACAGTAATAGTAACAAGCTACAGGAAGTGTTTATGTGACGATCAGGCTGTAAGACGCTGTAGACTGTAATAGTAACAAGCTACAGGGAGTGTTTATGTGACGATCAGGCTGTAAGATGCTGTAGACCGTAATAGTAACAAGCTACAGGAAGTGTTTATGTGACGATCAGGCTGTAAGACGCTGTAGACCGTAATAGTAACAAGCTACAGGAAGTGTTTATGTGACGATCAGGCTGTATGATGCTGTAGACCGTAATAGTAACAAGACATGCTACGTGATGAGCAGGCGATGGAATGCTGTAGACCGTAATAGTAACAAGCTACAGGGAGTGTTTATGTGACGATCAGGCTGTAAGACGCTGTAGACCGTAATAGTAACAAGACACACTACGTGACGAGTAGGCTATAGAACGCTGTAGACCGTAATAGTAACAAGCTATAGGGAGTGTTTATGTGACGATCAGGCTGTAAGACGCTGTAGACCGTAATAGTAACAATCTACAGGGAGTGTTTATGTGACGATCAGGCTGTATGATGCTGTAGACCGTAATAGTAACAAGACACGCTACGTGACGAGTAGGCTATAGAACGCTGTAGACCGTAATAGTAACAAGCTATAGGGAGTGTTTATGTGACGATCAGGCTGTAAGACGCTGTAGACAGTAATAGTAACAAGCTACAGGGAGTGTTTATGTGACGAGTAGGCTATAGAACACTGTAGACCGTAATAGTAACAAGCTATAGGGAGTGTTTATGTGACGATCAGGCTGTATGATGCTGTAGACCGTAATAGTAACAAGACATGCTACGTGACGAGTAGGCTATAGAACGCTGTAGACCGTAATAGTAACAAGCTACAGGAAGTGTTCATGTGACGATCAGGCTGTAAGATGCTGTAGACTGTCATAGTAACAAGCTACAGGAAGTGTTTATGTGACGATCAGGCTGTAAGACGCTGTAGACCGTAATAGTAACAAGCTACAGGAAGTGTTTATGTGACGATCAGGCTGTAAGACGCTGTAGACCGTAATAGTAACAAGCTACAGGAAGTGTTTATGTGACGATCAGGCTATAAGATGCTGTAGACCGTAATAGTAACAAGCTACAGGAAGTGTTTATGTGACGATCAGGCTGTATGATGCTGTAGACCGTAATAGTAACAAGACATGCTACGTGATGAGCAGGCGATGGAATGCTGTAGACCGTAATAGTAACAAGCTACAGGAAGTGTTTATGTGACGATCAGGCTGTAAGATGCTGTAGACCGTAATAGTAACAAGCTACAGGAAGTGTTTATGTGACGATCAGGCTGTAAGACGCTGTAGACAATGTTAGTGGTGTAAGAATTGCTGATGCCCAAGACTGTTGAAGCAGCAGCCAGTTTGTCCAGTTGTGTGGTCATCTCGTGGGAAGGCAGCTGGTTTGTTCAGTTGTGTGGTCATCTAGCGGGAAGGCAGCTGGTTTGTTCAGTTGTGTGGTCATCTCGTGGGAAGGCAGCTGGTTTGTTCAGTTGTGTGGTCATCTCGTGGGGAGGCAGCTGGTTTGTTCAGTTGTGTGGTCATCTAGCGGGAAGGCAGCTGGTTTGTTCAGTTGTGTGGTCATCTAGCTGGAAGGCAGCTGGTTTGTTCAGTTGTGTGGTCATCTCGTGGGAAGGCAGCTGGTTTGTTCAGTTGTGTGGTCATGTAGCGGGAAGGCAGCTGGTTTGTCCAGTTGTGTGGTCATCTAGCCGGGAAGGCAGCTGGTTTGTTCAGTTGTGTGGTCATGTAGCGGGAAGGCAGCTGGTTTGTTCAGTTGTGTGGTCATCTAGCGGGAAGGCAGCTGGTTTGTTCAGTTGTGTGGTCATCTAGCGGGAAGGCAGCTGGTTTGTCCAGTTGTGTGGTCATCTAGCCGGGAAGGCAGCTGGTTTGTTCAGTTGTGTGGTCATGTAGCCGGAAGGCATCTGGTTTGTTCAGTTGTGTGGTCATCTCGTGGGAAGACAGCTGGTTTGTCCAGTTGTGTGGTCATGTAGTGGGAAGGCAGAAGGAGTAGCTTACTCTGCTTGCAGGGATATTGTAAGTTGTTGCAGATTATTTATTTTGACAATGATTTATGTTGCGTATGTTTTGTATTATATAACATATGTATATTTTAGCTGTCTTTAGGGTGGCACGGAAGGTATTCTTTTGTTGATTGCAAAATAAGGTATATGATGCTTTACTTCAATATATCAGGAAAATTATGGTCATAGAGATTAAATAATCTACTGGATATTTTATGTTACGATGAGAATTATGTTTGCTAGTTATCAGCATGTGTGTGTGTAACTAGAATAACTACCGGTGTGTTGGTCAGCTTCTGGGTGCCAGAGCCTCATACTAGTACTACTCAGACTTTGGCATGGTTGACACAGTGAACATCTATTGTTAAGATAGGTCCGTGCCTGTTTCACTGAGACACAAGAAACACTGGCATGTACAAACTGAACACCTGTCTCTGTAGCATTCTGTAATATGTAAGTTCCACAGACTTATACCATCATATTTTGCCAAACATTTTATTTTTGTAATATCACAAGATATATGGTATTTTATACTGCTTTTGTGGAATATTTTTAATTGAAGCTTTTGAGTACAGTTAAGTACTTGATGTAACTGTTATGGCTGACATATAATGTTCAACGTTCGCTTTGGTTCCGTAATAGCTGTTCATCCCAAGTCATATGCGATGTCAACAAAAGAGTATAAACAAACCTTCCTCCCACATACCCCTCAAATGATGTAAGGGAGATAACTCTCATTCTGGAAGTACTTGTGTTGTCTATCATTAACATAGAGCCCAAATCTGGTTCATTTCAGACTGTTGGGGGGAAGTTACATGAAAACAGGTGACAATTCCTCGTGATCATAATACAGAGGTGGAATTCTGATGTCATAGAAATATTCATTATATTTGGGTTTTTTATTTATGACTTTTAAATCTGGAAAGACCTGAAATATATTTCCTCCAGGAATCTTGATCATAAAATCATTGATCCCAAGAGTGTCCCAAGACAGATTGGACTTGGACAGATTGGGAACCACCCTTGGGGACCACCCTTGGGGACCACCCTGTAAAGCCAGCTGTTGGCTGTGACCCTTGTACCCCAACAAAACAGATGCAAAGCTGATGCACAACCAGTTGAATGCCGCAAGCAGGCCACTGTGCAAATCCAGGCTGTCACATGAGCCACTAATTCACTCCGGTGTAGAACACCATTCACTCACCAACTGATCCTGTATCTGAAATACAATCAAAGTAGTTTAAATATGTGTTAGCTTTCAGAATGTCCCTTCCCATGTACAACCTTAGAATAGAAGGAAACGTTAGGCATCTTGTGGCAAGTAAGCATTGTGTCCAGGCAATGTGATCTGGAGTTTTATATGTCATATCACAACAACATGCACTGTTAATTTTGCACTAGCAGTCATGTAGTGTTATACAACTGTTATATATGGAGAGGAGCCATGGTGGTATTTTTGTATGATTGTCATTGAAAGTGTCACTTAATATAAAATCATCGCTTAACAGTGTCCTGCATACAGGAATGAACCAATGTTTCATGTACTTTAAAGTATTTATTTGTATGGCTTTTAAGTAAAGCTTGCACCTGGTAGTGTGCAGAGAAACTTGATAGTCAATGTACTGTGTATACTTAAGAAAGAGTTGTACTTGTAGCAGAGGTTTCACTGCTAGAAACAGTGACCAAAGTATTAGCTGTGTTTTGTATGGACTGAAATGCATGACTTTGTACCATTATATGTTTGAAGTATTTGCCTATTTAAAATCAAATGTTTTGATGCGATATGATGTGTAAAGATGTGATAACCCCTTCATAGGAGATCGCATCAGGTGACCTTTCTGATCAACCAGTCAGCTTTGGAGCTTCTAAATTTTCACTTCTAGCATTCAGACAAGCATATCAGATTTCTGTATCTCAAGTTGAATGGACAGTTCTGAATGTAACTAATGAAGGCCATGCTGATGCCGACTTTTTAGGAGGGTTATTAGGTCTTCATGCAGTCAACTATCTTATCGGAGTAAAACATTTTTGTGAGATTGTGTTTCCTAAGTTGTTCTCCCAGGTAGGATGTGTAAATCTTGTCATAATATTGTCGTCATGTATATGTGCCCATGCTTGTCTTCCTACGCTTTAATCAAACTGTGTAGTCCTGGCTGTAAGGCTCAGCATGCAGGACGTAATGCTAGCTTGAACAACAGAAATGCCAAATACTTGAATAGTATGGAAATATTTTTCTTGGTTTTAACAGTAGAAATCTTATTTTTTCATACCAGTATTGTCACCTTGTGCTTTCTCTATACACCTATAAGATATAAATAGTACTAAGAAATAGGGTGCTCTGATTGGCTGGTTTCACAGTTCAGAGTTATGTCCCTTAGTTATAACAAGGCCAAGGTTACCGGCACCATTGTATTGTTGACAGCTGTGTTGTTGTCACGCAGGTTCACCTTACTTTCTGACACAGTGTGGTGCATCCTTGATAGACGTGGACAGTGGTAACATGTATGTTTCTGCCACGTTTAGCTGAATTCAATTATATTGTTAGGGTTAATTGTTAAAAGTTGCTGTTGTATTCATTATTGAGTTTTGAAAAGGTTCTTGTGAATTCCGTTTGAATGAAGCCCAAAATATATTAACAAAAATATTTATTATTAAGTCATCATGCCTGTCCATAAGAACCATCAATGTTTCAGCAAATTAATGAGGAATTTCTTCAATCTTTTAGTCATTGTACAAGGATGTCAGTTGGACCATTTGTCTCGTGTCAGGTGAGCTACAGAGCTGCTTGCTTTGTGTTTCACTTGTAATGCTTCTGTTGTGTTCAGACGGTGACATTGTTATCTGTAGTTGCAACTTGCTCAGCTTTTCGATTAAACATCTGTATCAATTTATGAGGGTTTTGCTTGAAGACTGAGCATGTTCGCATAAGATGTCAGTTTTTAATGGGTACAGGGGGCCGTTCCACAAAGTGGATTTATCTCTAAGATTATAATCAAACATAGACTTGTGACAGTTGTAGCTCTGAGATGATCCCAACTAGCATACTTTAACATCGACTTGTGACAGTCATAGCTATGAGATGATCCCAGCTCCAATACTTTAACATAGACTTGTGACAGTCATAGCTATGAGATGATCCCAGCTCCAATACTTAAACATTGACTTGTGAGAGTCATAGCTCTGAGATGATCCCAACTCCAATACTTTAACATAGACTTGTGACAGTCATAGCTCTGAGATGATCCCAACTCCAATACTTTAACATAGACTTGTGACAGTCATAGCTCTAAGTTCACTTTGTTGAACGGGGCCCTGGTACCATTTTGAATTCAAGTCTTCTCCAGAACAAGAGCTGTAGGGTTTGATGCTGGTAATTTACAGCTTTAGTAAAAACTATCCTGCTTGTGTTGTATCAAGCATGTCTAGTTCTTACTGGGTCAGGTTCTTCCTATCTGAGTTAGACAGCTTTATAAAATTCCCACAGCTCAGTTCAGAAATCCTTGTCATTTTAGGTATTCCATCTGATGGTTATTTTATTCCTCTCATATATTTATTTTTTTGTAATTTTACTACTTGTATTGAGATGTATGTATTTTATTTGAAGATGGCTTGTTCAAGTGTTTATTTGTTGGTATGTATATATGTGTTGAAGATTGTTGAAGTTTATATTCCTGTATGTTGAAGCATGTATCTAGGAAGTATGTAGCACTTTGACGTGCAATGTGTCAACGATCTGTACGCAAGAACTGGCCAAATTACTTTTCTTTGTATAGCAGCTACCTTCTTTTCTGTGTATAGAGTTAACCTCCTTCTCAGCATCTAGCAAACACCCAAGGGCTTAGACTGATTAGCTATTAACTAAGTAACTCATGAAACCGACGAACCTGGTTTTAGAAATATTGGGAAATGTGGGAGGGTCATTTTATCTTCAGGGTTCTAAGGAGATGGCAGTGTTTCACGGAAAGATCATGGTGGTACGATTGTCGTAACTCCCATCCTTGTGATTGTTGCATGGATAGCTTTGTTGAACAGGTACCTGATTCTCCATCAGCCTATCCCAACAGACCATAAGGGGTAGACAGGTGCAGATAGTTTCCTAGTTTTAGGGTCCAGATGCAACAGAAGTGAGTTTAGGGCATGCTGCAGGAAGAGAATAGAAAATTAGAATACCGGTAGGCTACAGTGATGCAATTTAACATGAAACATTTACTAGCCTAATTAGTTATTGCAGGGGGCAATGGGATAGCCTAGTGGTAAAAGCGTTCGCTTGTCACGCCGAAGACCCAGGTTCGATTCCCCACATGGGTACAATGTGTGAAGCCCATTTCTGGTGTCCCCCTCTGTGGTATTGCTGGAATATTGCTTAAAGCAGCGTAAAACCATAATCACAATAGTGATAGGACACTCTGAAAAGCGTAAAATAGTTATATCCCGTGAGGTACATTTAACGTCAGACAAAATGACTTGGGTAAGCGGGCTAGAGGTAATGCAGGTGTTCAGTAGTGTTATCCAGCCAGTCTGTAAAAAGACTAAATGACCAAGAGAAGTAAGATATATAGAATGATACTATTATGATTATGGTGATATCTACATTGTTGATCAAAGATTGCTTGCCATATGTACTGACATTGAAACATGAATACATAAAGTATTTATAACAAACCAAGTGTCTGTAGTTTGAATACTGGTCATATGCCATATTTGTTAGACGATTAATTAGGGAAGTAGAAGCAGTACATTACAGTTTCGTTTCTTGTATTCCATGTATTCATGTCGCTATGATGTTGCCAAGAGGGACATCAGACCCTGCCAACTCACTGATTTCCTTAACATTTATTGAAGAAGACCCAGCACAGACGTTGGTATTACATGGTTTGATTGATCAAACTACCAGCATTGACAGCATTTCATTGACAAGTTAAAATATACAGTTGTGGCCATAGTCTTGATAGACAACTGTATAAAGTGAAAACTTTCCTGACCCCGTTTAACCTGAAGTCCTTCTTTAAAATAGGGCCATAACTACATATTTATGATTTGTTAATCCAGATGATTTTGTCTGGCATGTTATATTTGTGATTAACAGGGTTTCATTAAAGTCACCACCACCACCTTTAGTCGGAACATATTCATGTGTTCATAATGGTCAGACTTGCTGACTTGTTTGATGCATGTCAACATATCCCAAAGGCATAGGTTGATGCTCATTATATCAATCAATGGATTGTCTGGTCTGACTTGTTTATTTACAGACCGCCGTCATATACCTGGAATATTGTTGAGAGCGGTGTAAAGCAACAAGCAAACAAAATCACATATTCACCTCTTCAACAGACTATAATAAGAGTTTTCTATTCAAAATGTCCCACAAGTTCCCTTGCAATCTAATGAGCCCATGTCAGGTCTTCCCAGAATATCCAGAAGTTTGGAGGTAAAGATGCCCAGAATGCTATTGCAAGAGTAATGATACATCTATTGAAGGAGCAATAGTTAAAGGACCTCAGTACTTGGCCTGAAATGTATTTTTCTTTATACAGACTATGCTGGAGGAGCATGGTAGAGTTTGTTACAAGTTTGACCATTAGGATAGCCATGATGTGTGCTGTCTTTATCTACACTTACAATAGTCAAACACATCCTCACTCCAGTCAAACACATCCTCTCTCAAGTCAAACACATCCTCTCTCTAGTTAAACACATCATCTCTCTAGTTAAACACATCCTCTCTCTAGTCAAACACATCCCCTCTCTTGTCAAACACATCCTATCTCTAGTCAAACACATCATCTCTCTAGTCAAACACATCATCTCTCTAGTCAAACACATCCTCACTCCAGTCAAACACATCCTCTCTCAAGTCAAACACATCCTATCTCTTGTCAAACACATCCTATCTCTTGTTAAGGATACTCTCTCCAGTCAAACACATCCTCTCTCTAGTCAGACACATCATCTCTCTAGTTAAACACATCATCTCTCTTGTCAAACACATCCTCTCTCTAGTCAAACACATCCTCTCTCTAGTCAAACACATCTCTCTTGTCAAACACATCCTCTCTCTAGTCAAACACATCCTCTCTCTAGTCAAACACATCCTCTCTCTGGTCAAACACATCTTCTCTCTGGTCAAACACATCATCTCTCTAGTCAGACACATCATCTCTCTAGTTAAACACATCCTCTCTCAAGTCAAACACATCCTATCTCTTGTCAAACACATCCTATCTCTTGTTAAGGATACTCTCTCCAGTCAAACACATCCTCTCTCTAGTCAGACACATCATCTCTCTAGTTAAACACATCCTCTCTCTTGTCAAACACATCCTCTCTCTAGTCAAACACATCTCTTGTCAAACACATCCTCTCTCTAGTCAAACACATCCTCTCTCTAGTCAAACACGTCCTCTCTCTAGTCAAACACATCCTCTCTCTGGTCAAACACATCTTCTCTCTAGTCAGACACATCATCTCTCTAGTCAGACACATCATCTCTCTAGTTAAACACATCCTCTCTCTTGTCAAACACATCCTCTCTCTAGTCAAACACATCCTCTCTCTAGTCAAACACATCTTCTCTCCGGTCAAACACATCCTCTCTCTTGTCAAACACATCCTGTCTCTTGTTAAACACATACTCTCTCCAGTTAAACACATCCTCTCTCCAGTCATTGTCAGGGGCATGGGTGACCCAGTCGTCTAAGGCGCTGCAATTGGCTGTGAAGAGTTGCATCCCATGCACACACCAGAAACCTATATTTGTTGGTTCAAATCCTGGTTCGCTCCAATTATGTTTCTAGGTTTGTCAGCACCATACCCATGTTTCACCAAAGTGGTAAACGTCTAAGACCTGCATCCCTCCACATCAAGCTGACACGGAGTGATATAACTGGAATACTGTTAAAAGCAGCGTCAAACCCAACTCATTTACTCACACAACCCATTGTCATTAAGTAGCTGTGGGCAGCGTCAGACACTAGTCACCAGGGCTGGATGTCCCAGGACATTTTGGCTGCTCGATCTGGACTAAACATAAAGTAACCTCATATCAAGAGGCTTCATGGATGATATGCAAAGGATCCCAGTATATACCATGCACGATCGTCCTGAGGCAAGGGATTTCGCTGACTATAATCCAGTTTCCACCCTTGCCCGAACAGGCTGGAATTTCTGGCTTGAATCATACTACCACCAGTGGCTATCAGGAGTTATGTCCCTTCTATGTCCCTCCTATTGACCAATTATATTCCACCTCTCATATCACATGAATTTGCTTCAAACAAAATGGCGGCACCCAGTCAAGAAAATCTGATTGATAATCAAAATCAATATTGTGATAAAACGTCTCTTAATTCACGAAGTGCATCAAATTGGGTGAGCACCTTCATTAAAAACATGAAAATATTTGGGAAATATCTGTTGACGCTGAGTTGACGGTATACATGTTTTGCAATTCCTGCAATCGACTGAAATTAACAAGCTATTTAAGAACCCAACCATCGTTGTATTGGCAATAACCTTATAGCCTAGTAATCTCTGCTTTTGTAACCTTGGTTCTTTTTCTCACCATGAAGTTTACAGGAATTCCATAACATCTCGATCAACATTGACATTATAGGTTTATGTTTGTACTATAGGATGTCCATGGTTTCACCCAGAAATGGGGAATGTTGAGCTGAATATTGAATGAAACACTCATATGTACAGATATCTGTGGTTCAATGATGGAACAGCTTTATGTGTCTTAAGTTGATTTGTGTATTGATAAACCTAACATAAGCTGTCTTATCAAAATATCAAATTATTTCAATGTATCAGAAAGTTAGACTTTAAAATAATTTGTTTATAGTGAGCATTTGTCCATGGAGATCATGTCTACCAGACAAACATAACTTGCAGGAGTTGGTTCAACTTAAGAATGACACTGTCTCAGTATCAAGTCATAACTATGATCTAAACTTATTTACTAAAGATATTATTGTATTTACACAAACAGCCAAAATAATAGATATTGTTGCAATGGAAATATTTACAGTATATTACCAGGACAAATAAATGTGATTTGACCCTAACATAGACCTTTAGCTGGTGATATTGGCCAGCGTAGAATGTGGATCCAACTTTCACCAAATTGGACTTTTTTTTATAAATTAACGTCTCGGACCTGTGTCAATGCAGAAGTTCCTCACACAATTAACTAACACACTGTGATAAATAGTGCATTAAACAGTCTCTGACTATAGTTTGGTGTTTACAGAGAGTGTTTGTCCAGCCTAACATGGATGATGTCGTTGTTCCCATCTTTCCTGCTTTTGTTCCGGACTCTGGATGAAACGCTACATCCTTTGGGGACATGGAGTGAAGAGACACTTAAATCAAACTGATTATTTCCAAAAATCACACTTTGATTGCGTTTTATTAATTCATGATACTGCATATTATTTTCTGCAAGTGTTTTGCACTAGCTTATTTGTACAAGGCCGCTAAATTGGATCAGATGGGCAGGAGGAGTGGTGGATTGTGTGTCGCCATATCCCAAACACCCTCTCATTCTGTCAGTGTCTTGTTAGCCTGGCCCAACTCCATTTACATGCTGGAATATTGCTGACTGAGACTTGCGCTTATTCCTTGTAGTTATAGATAGTAAGTTTTAGACAGATCAGTTTGTTGGAAAGTTTTAGTTTCACAGAGTGTACCATTCTACAAGGACCCAAGTGTACATGTTCAAAATATGTAATGGCTAGCCTGTATTGAAAAAACTGTTGTGAAAATGTCAACTTTGAATGTTTGCTTTATGAGGACATTAAAACATGCTGTTGAATATGGCCGTGATGAAACCCAGGATGTTTGTATATTAAAGTTGTATGTGATATCCTCATGTTCTTAGGTGTGCCTGAGAAACAATCAGTGTTGGCCTTGTGCACAGTAGTTTCAGAATGAGCAATGATGAAAAATCTATTCTTATTCTATTCTTGAATTCTCTTCTCGAATTCTCCAGGCCAACCTTATAGTTTCAGTTCATTGTCAAGTCATCCATCATCTGTACTTGTGGACAATCTGTCCCAACCTACCATGAGCCATTTGTCAGTTGATGTTACGAGGTGAACAAGCTATGTCTATTGTGAGGTGAAGAATTATCTTGAATAAACCCGCTAAATAAACATGTTGTTTTAATTATTTATGAAATCTCCTGTGGGGATCGTGGGATAGACAACATGAGGCTCTAGTAATCTGACTGAGGAGGTGGTTTCAATGTGAGACAAGACAAAGCAAGCATAGCGCTATGACTGACGTGTGTTAAGTATAGCAGTTGTGATTGTTGTAGTGCTATGATTGCTTTGTGACATGGAGACCGCCTCTGTAGTCTAGTGGTGGAGCGTCCGCCTGGAGAGTGGAAGATCTGGGGTTCAATCCCCGACCATGTCATACCAAAAGACGTTAAGAGATAGAACTTCTTGTTACCCTGTCTGGCACTCGACATTAAGGGGCTAAAACAAGGGCTGGTCCGTTTGGAGTCAGTATGCTGTGTCTGAGTGGGGTATTCATGTTAAACTGCGGCATGGTATCTCAGCGGGCTAGCACTATTAAATCGGCATCAGTCCGAACTAGTACAAGCAGTCACAAACACATGTCGTTATATAAGTGCAATAATCTTGGACACAACATTAAACCCGTTTTCACATCACCTTATGACATGGAGCTCTTGCCGATTGTCATCAACACCCTCAATGGAGCACTGCTCATGTCACTGGGCACTTGTTTACCTGGAACCGACTGGAGTGTTTACAGGCCTCTGTGATGTAGCTGGACTATTGCTGCAAGCAGTGTAACATGCATTTACTGTTAAAAATATCAACCTCAATATTGTTGCTATGCTTGTAAGAGGCAACAGGTGGTGAGACTCGCTGACTCCGTTGATACATGTCATCGTATTCCAATTGCATAGATTGATTCTCATGATGTCATTCACTGGATTGGCAGAACATTGCAGAAAACCCAAAGAGACAGGTCTTGGGCATTGACCCCTTCAGTGAAATCCACGAGGATTGGTGGAAGATGGTGATACTTGCTGACTCTGTGTCCATTAGACAATTCACTGGCTTCCAATCAGCTTCCGTGGTTGTTTACCCTGTCCCATTAGTCATTCACTGGCTTCCAATATATTAATCAGCTCTCTGTCCATCAATCAATTTACTGTATAAACATTGAGGTTAATAAGTATATATACACCTATGTTGTTTAGCGCTATCCATCTCTTGCTTGATGAAGGTGTTAGGATCTACACTGAAACTTCGCACTAATTGTAATAAAGAAGTTGTTCATCCATAGAACTTGTCTTACTTCATCACACCAACTTCTAAATGCCACTTAAAGAAGTTATGGTGGAAGTTGCTGGTATGTGAAGCAAGGGTCATGTGCACGGCCAATTGGGATCCCATCAATGTAGGTCTATTAAAAAGACTAGCTCACAGGCATGTAATGAATCTTACTGACCCAAATTCATTTCCAGTGTAGAGAACTTCAGAGACATGCTAATGTTACACAGACCATTTGTGCTAAAAAAGATATACAACCCACTAATAGGCGAGGTGAAGTGAGATAGGGTTTGTCGTGTTGATAGTGACATGCATGAACATGTGTGGCTGCTTGTACTGGCCCGGACTAATGCTGAGTTTATAGTGCTAGCCCGCTGAGTGTCATGCTGAAGTTTAACATGAATACCCCACTCAGACACAGTATACAGACTCTTAGCCGACCAGGCCTCGTTTTAGCCCTTTAATGCCGAGCCCAAGGCAGGGTAACAAGTATCATCTTTTAACGTCTTTTGCTATGATGCTGTCAGGGATCAAACCCGACCTTCCAATGCTCCACCACTAGACTACAGAGGCGGTCCTGACCTACTAAGAGTGGCGATATCTGGATTTGTGTTGACCATCATTTATTTCTGTTTGCTAACCCAGCAATAATAAAGCTATGGAGATGTAAATAACTGTCTGGACAAGACAATAACAATAATAATCATCATCTATGCCATCAGGGTATGTCGACACGTAATCAACATGTCAGCAAGTCTGACTACCCAATCCATCAAGTCACCTCATACAACAGGTTGCTGGAACCTATTCTGCCCTGGACTCCCCATCTGGGAAGTAGGCCATGAACAGTGAAGGTAAATGCAGCAGGATTGGCAGCTTGTCCCTGTTGAACATTGTCTTTCCATTGTTTGTTGCAGGCTCCCTCTTGTTCACTAATCAACATTAATCATATGATGCTAATGCGAGTTTTTGTCCATTAATTGAATGTTGATTATGTCATCTTAACTGTTCCTAGGTACTTTGTCAAATTCTGTCGAAAACAATGCACTATTCATGCCTTAAGGGAACTACTTATTTTAACTGATGCATCAGAACAAAACAACATAAAATTGACTTGAATAAAGACTTTATTCAGAATACAATTCAAGCAAGCTACGAGCACAATATACATGTCATGTCAAAAATTCTCCTATCACTTGTACTGATAAAAGCTGCCCAATCCTAGGATACCTGTGCTTTGGCAGATTGTGATCTATATCTCTTCTTGGTCACAATAAAAATGCAGTAAGTACTGAGTTCGGAAAACACAAGAGGCATCATACATTAATAATAATTATAATAATAAAGAACCATACTGTCTGTAATAGCAGCACTTTGGAACACACGGTGCCCTGCCTGGAAGTAATCACAGTGTGCTTATATAGCATTTATATAGATACAGTAATTTTTTTTTGGTATTTTTTTTCTTTATATTGTTTTTTTTGTTTTGTTTCTTTTTTCTTCTTTTTTTGTTTTTTTTTGTTTGTTTTTTTTTCATTTTTTCTTTGTATTTCTTTTTTTCCATTTTTTTTCACTTAAGTATTTTTTTTTTGCACTGCATCCTGTGTCTACCTGCTGCCACGGCGTGCTGGACTCTCAAGCCCATAAATGCCAGATCACTGATAATATTAAGGACAAATAATTAAAAATCTTAAATTAAATTTGTGGATTTAGGATGCACATTTCTTTTCTATTTTTGGGAGGTATTTTTTTTTTTTGGTCTTTTTCTTTTGTCTTTTTTTATTTTTTTATTTTTATATTTTGTTTGTTTTTTTGTGTTTTTTTCCATAGTTTTTCTCTCTTTTTTTCATTTTTTTTTTCTCCAAGTATGGGCGGGAATAAGGACTATTACAGACAATACAGCAGTTCAGGTGGCATATTATATAAAATGGCTAACCCAATCAATCATCCAAGATGATTCGTTATGCCCAATATCATTTATTTCTTGGAAGAATTATCAACAGCACTAGAATGCACTTCTATCCTGATTCAATCACACAACTGGACAACAGACACACATATGAGACTTCAGTATCACAGGTTGTATTTTTCCTGCCAACTGACAGATTCCAATTCAAACAAGAAAAAAAAATATTACACCACCAATCAAGTGTAATTAAAGGAAAACATATTTGCACTCATTGTTGCTGCATTACAAGTAAGATTCGATTTGACATCAGTCATGAATGGCCTATACATAAACAGTATTTTCATACATTCACAAATAAAGACTTGAGGTTAACTTGTATAAAAGGCTTTGAACCCTCCCTTTCCCCCGCCCTCCCTCCAGCCCAATTATTAGTAGGCCCACTTGCTTGCTGAGGCTGTACACCCACATGACAAGACAATTTGGGAATTCTGAAAGACTTAATACTTCACTTGAAGTACAAAAAATAAACTCTGTGCTATACATGAAGCAGTGAGCACCACTAATTGCACGCTGTTTAGCACTAGGGAGGGTAGGCAGCAGGGTAGCAGCTCTCAGAGCACAAGTGATGGTCCATGGAACACATAGAAGCAGTAACTAACTTGCGTCGTTGGCGACGGCACCCACCTGCATTAGCTAGCTAACCCGCGTACAACAAGAGATCAATCACATGATGGGAAACTGGGAAACCATGTCAACAAACAAGCCAGAAACCTGCCCAACCCATATTTGATTGTCCTGGAAACACACTACTGGAATACTGACCATATCACGAGTCATCAACATTTAATCATTTAAACAGACTACCAACAACCAGTGAATTGACAAAAATCTTGGTAGAGGTCCCAGATTAGATTTGGTTACGGCAGGTTTCAGTGTAATAATATATCTCTATATATTAAAGATTTGTTTGATATTTACATGGATTCCCCTCCCAATATATTGCTAAGGAAAGGGTTGGAATTATGATCCTCTACTGCCCCTCCCCCCCACAAGCTTGAGCTCCACATGTTGCCGGGACCAGGCTGTCCCCCTCCCATGCCTCCACGACTTGGCATGGCACTCCACGGAGTTGTGGACTCGCTGCGGTAGTACCCAGGGTTAGCAGCGGAGGACGGCTGTGTGGAGCGTTGTACGGCAGGCTGGCCAGGGGGTGCTTGCTGCAATGGCTGGAAGTTGGACACCTGTTGGCCTTGTGACCACTGACTAGGGTTGTTGGATGAATTGCTATGCTGATCCAGGAAATGAGCACACTCTTGGTCAGACAAGAATTCAGCCAGAATGGTGGTGTTGCCAAGAACGCAAGTATTAAGTGCTTTTTGAGCTTTAATGGCTTCATCCTTGGAATTGTAGCAGACCACTGCCTGTCCTTGACTGAGATTAAGATGGAACAGACGCAGTGGGCCATGTTGTTGGCACAGTGTACGAAGTGTGGAACCATCAATCTGAAAAGGAACATTTATTTTAATTGTAAGGGACTAACCCCAAGCAAGACAAAATCAAAGACTTCATACGCCAACACTGTGGCAAAAAAGCATTTGGACTGATTACCAATTAAAGTATCATTAAATGTATGCATGAAAACAAAAATATAAAAAGAACTTCCAAATCCCAACTTAAAAGCTGATGAAGTGTGGATTAAGCAAGCTAAGATACTATGTGAAAGTTGACTAAGCCCACAACAGCCATCTCCAAATATTGCAGCTCAATTTCCTAATTAAAGTAACTAATGCACTATTTTAGCAGCCAATTAGAATAGAAAGCTGTATTTTACCTCTAGCAAGCACTAGGCAGCAAAATGTGAAGAAGTTGAGAATGGAGCATGCAATATGGACACAGCTGGTATTGTGGGATGGAACTATGGTTAAAAGATTGCAGTAACCAGGCTAGATGGACTTGGGACAGGTAACGAACGGACCAATGGCGTGATAGTTAATGATTCATATCCCAGCCTGGCATGCAAGTTGTGACCAAGTTAAAGACTACAAGACAACTACTACCTGTGGAGTGAGGTTCCTTAGGACCAGCCAAGTGGAGGTATTAGGGGTTCTCCCATCCCAACCTTGAGCGTTCACTGTAAGACAAGAGGTCAAAAGCTTCACAAGACAGCACCAATCACCTCTAACCCACAAAAAGATTTTGTCTCACAGCAATTTGCAAAGCTTTGCCAAATATACAGAGCAGCAGGCCCACCCGCCCCGATAGTCTCCACCATTACACTGGTTGGTCCACTAGGCATACCCCACTCTAGCTTGCACCGACCGACCGACAGCAAGTGTCAATGTCAGAGATGAGAAGGCAGAGGGGGACTATTGGGGTGGTACAAGCAGAAAAGGTAGTTAAAAGTGGTGGTAGTTATAATCAGGCATCACTGGTGGCAAATATCAGATCGCATAAATAGTCCACTAGGTGCATTTGTGGATAAAATTCACATACTTATGAAGCAAAAGAAAGTTATACCAAAGTCCAAAATGTTTTTCTTACCTTTAAAACAGCTCACATAGATGTTGAATGTTATAATTGAAAGATTAAGGTTTGAAAAGAGAACTATTAAATAGCCTTGCTAAAAAAGGGCTTAAACCTTGACGTGAACAAATACAAGTCACATGAAGGTTTGCAGTTAGTCCAGGAAGCAGAAGCTTGATACCCATCACCAAGTGAATAGAGGAATAAAGATTACCTGGAGTAAATGCTGAGTTGTCTGTCCTGCCAGCCCAGGAGTTCTGTCTGTTGACACCAGCAGGCCAGTGGTGGGACTTGTGCGCCATGAGGCCAGGGGGAGGGCGGTTCTTTGGAGGCATGCTCCATACATCAGACATGGAGGGCGTTGTTGATTCAGATGTGGACCAGGGTTTGGACGAACTTGTGGTGGAGATGTGGCTTCCTTTCATGCTCCAAGTGGTGGACGAGTCAGCAGCCACTATAGGGCTGGTCTTGATGCTTGTCGCCAAGTTATTCAGGTAGTCATCCTTCACAACATTGACACTTAGCGACCTGGAAATACTTCCTGGTGTGATATGGGGATCATCTTCAACACTCTTAGTGAGCCCCTGCCATGGTTTGCCAGGAACAAACTCAGGGATGATGTCTGTCATACTGATTGTCGGAGTGCTGGATGTGGTAATTGGTGGGTGAGATTCTTTGTTTTCAGAGCTCTCTTTTGTCTCGGCTTGTGATGTGGTTCCACCAGAACTAGTAGAAGGCCAATTCTGAGACGAGGTGGTTGCTTGTGTAGACCAAGTAGTATCACCACTGATATTTAGGCCACTGAGATCAGAGAATGGCCCCAGAGGCGGGCCATTTTGTGACTGCTGGAGAGGTTTGCTTCCAACAGCTTTATTGAGGTTTTCTCCAACTTCACCAGCGGTTTCTTTGTCTGGGGTTTGGCGCTTCCACTGGTTAAGGCGGGACGTTTGTTGCACTTGAGGTGGATTGATGGCAAGTTTCTCGAGCTCATTCTGAATGGGCATCATGTTATCAACTGAGTCATGAATATGTGGGCCTGCCGCTGGAGCTTGAGCCATGGGACCTCCGGCCCCTACAGCCCCACCGGGATTTTTGAGCAGGATCTGCTGTGCCTGAGAAAGCTGCTTCTGCAGCTGCAGTATCTGCTGTTTGATATTGTTGATCATGACTGCCAGCTGTTCCACCTGTTGCCGTTGTATCATGTTCATCATCTTGTTCTGCTGGAGGAACTGTTGCTTGTTAACAAGCTGCTGCAGGACATTCTGCAGCTGTAGCAGTTGTTGCAGGAGCACCAGGATGTTGTGTGGCAGTTGCTGGTTCAAGAGCTGAGGGCTGATGAGGCCAGACTGTACTGCCAGTCGCAGTTGTTGCAGAATCTGCTGCTGCGCCATCTGTTGCTGCATCACCTGTGTGTTCGGCAGCTGTCCTCGGGTCAGAGGACCTTGGGTGGGACTCATTGAATTCATAGACTGGTTCTGTTGCTGTTGTTGACGCTTATGCTGCATGAGTTTTTGTTGCAATGATTGTGGATTAATACTGGGGTTATTTGGATTCAGACTAGATGGGGGCAGACTAGGTCCCGATTTAGACCGGTCATATATGGTCACAAATGGCTGATTTGGTACTTGAGCATTTTGAAAGGGAGTATTTTGCATGTTAATGTTAGGCACATGTGGATTGCTCTCAGACTGAGTATCTGATATGTCATCGTTAACCATGGCATTGTCAGGCATCATGCCAGGCATTCGGGGTTTTGCACTATTTGACATGAACACATCCATGTCGGCATCTTTCTTGTTGGCCATTAGATCAGCTGAAACAAAAGTATTACCTTCTCAGATGTTGAAATGACTTTCCAAGCTGGAATGTACCATGGGGTATATGTGCAAGGATAACACCAAGAACTTCCTTCACTGTAATCATGGCGAACACATGCAATGCTATACAAAAGTATTTTTTTAGTTCATAGGGTTCTATGTTGCTCATAGCAATATTCCAGCCATATTACAACAGGGTCACCAGGGGTTGGCTTCCCACATCATACACCAGGGTTAGAACTTAACACTATCTTGCTAGACTGGGGCTAGTACAAATTCTAGTGGGCTGGTACAAATTTCCCCATTGTTTAAACATCACAAGGGCATTTTTTCTTTAAATCAAGCTCGTAAAGCTTTTGAGTTTAGTTCCAACCCTGATACCCATGTGGGGCATTGAACCGGGGCTTCAGCATGACAAATGAGACCTTTGCCAACAGGCCCAAAGAATTTTTAAAAACTACCCAATTATGAATTCAAATGTAAAGGTTTCCAAGACATAGCTACTTACCCAGGGCACTTTCAACATTCATGTTATTGCTAATCAAGGCATTCTGAGCTTCTTCCTTCTGTAAAAAAAATGATAGGTGGGTTGTTCGGTTAAAACAGAAGTACATCAAATTTCTGTACATCTTATGAATACCTAAACAAATGTCTTCTTGATATAACAGTAAGTAACAATAGATGAGGATTTCAAATACAATTTCCATACGAATAGAGTATTGGTAACTATACATAAAGTGAGCAAGTGAGTAAAGTTTTACACCATTTTCAGCATTCGTCCAACAATATCATGGTGGATAACACCAGCAATGGGCTTCACATATTGTAACAAAGTGGGGAATCTAACCCAGGCTTTTGGCATAAGCTTAAACCACTAGCCTTTCCCACCGCCATAAATCAATATACTAGTTACTTTTTTGTGACTAGATGTAAAATCAAAAGTCCAAAGATTATGTTGCTAAACTAGCTCAAACTTTGAAAATACATCCTGGTATCACAAGATTATTTTGTGTAATAAGACATTACCTGTCTCTAAAAGCTCTTTTCAATTCAAGAGCTCCCCCCTCCCCCCCTTAGTATGAACTGAGCTAATTAAGTTTGCCTTTACACAAAGATACTTGGTATGAAATTCCTTGTCAAACAATGGCACAACTATTCTCAAAGATGCCCTGACATAACATTACTAATAACCATTTGGTCAAACAACTTGATACCTATATCACTATGGCTAATCTTAGTGAATTTCATTAAGCACATGTCAGGAAGAGTACACCTACTTTGAAACCCATATCCATCAGCTGTTGTAGCAATTTGCTTCTCATCTGGGGATGATGATTGTTGCCGGTGGGGAATTTGTTAGGACCCTGTAAGAAAGCCCAGGACATAATTATTGTGAACTACTGAAAAACTGTTCCATGATTCAATCATTTCACAAAATAGAAATGCTTACAAAACAAAACACTTTATGAAAGTATGCTACAAAATAACTTAACAAATCAATAATCAATTGTTTTTCAACTGTAATTGAACATGTAACATCAATTTTCATTTCCGTAAAAGATGAAATGCATGAGCAATGTGCTGATAAAAAAACAATTATGACAAAGCATGAACAATAACTGTGGGTTAGAACGTGCAGACAGATAAATGTATCATGTTAGCATAATAGCAAGAGAGACACTGTACATTGTGCGATGTTGCAAGCTCCAATGTTATCCCTGGCACAGGAGGGCCACTTCAATCACTGTTGTCCCATACAACTGGGATGACAGGGAGGAACAAAATTAAACCAAACTTGAACACTGCAGTTAGTTAACATGTTCACCTCAACACAGCAACATTACCTTTACTAAACTTATGAATATGATTTTGGGAAATAGAAATGGTTGCCTCAGTGTCAAAAATGAAAAAAACATTAAAGATTAGAGAAAAATACAAAGCATTAACTATTCATTTCATTTGCAAACAAAGAACGGATGAGCATTAAGACCTTACAAAAGGCATGAAATGACTTCTGTAAGATTTGTACTACAAGCAATCTAGCATGTAACAAAATGATGGTAAAGGTGAGCCTTGTGACTAGTGTACTGGCAGTACAACTTGAGCTGCAGGCAGCTATGCTAGTGTGAGCTAGAACAAGGACGGTGTCGGAAGTGACGGGGTCTCATGGTGCCCACATTTTCCAGGGATAGTATACCTTCACCAGATTCTTTTTGGTTTTCCAGCCAGGGGCACTGCTCCATGTACTATTTTCTTGTGAAATGTCATTCCAATATCCCACCTCGGTTTCACCACCCCACACATTGCCTGAATTGCTTGCATTCTCATCTGGCCAGCCCGGCTGCAAGAATCACCATCAGCAACATACAAGTGTTGGCCGCAATCCAAGGGGGGTGGGGAGCAGCACAGGCAGGGAGGGCGGAGGAAGAGGAGGGACAGGGAAGAGAGAAAGAAGACAGACTGATGCTTCACTCAAGTGTCGAGTAACAGTTTACCAGATTTAACCATGTGCACAGTTGACCTAAATCTAGTATGAATAATACTAAGCCACAAATGTAAGGATGATTTAAGCCATAAACATAAGATGTCCAGAGTCATGAAAACGTCACATGAACCTGTATAGAGGGTGCTCAGAACAATGAACTGGGACAAGAGCAAACAAACTGAAGATGTCCACAATCTAGAACTAATTCCCTTGACACCAATGTTGAGATATTCAGGTATGTGATGCCTCATGAGGAGTTAGAGTATTAGCACTAATGCTACATTATGGAGAAAGAGTATTAGTTAATGCCTGGCAATGAATGAAGGATGCTCTTATCTCAACATTTTTCAGGCTAATATTTTTGTGACAAAACATCAAAGTAGACTGAAAGGTATATGGGTTATTATTAACTGGAAATTCAAACTGTAGGAACACTTTTAAACACAAGAATCCACAGTGGTCACAGTTTGTAACAAATGCATTGCTCATTTTCTGTACTGCTGCCTTGTGATTTGGTTAATAGGACATTCATTAAACTCTAAACCTTGACCCCCAATTTACATTTCTTTCATATAAACAGCTTATTGTATCATAAATGAGTGAACAATTCTTTAAGTCCAAAAGAACATTTAACAGCTGTTAACCCATGAATATACTATACAGGAAAACCTTCAGAAGTTTAGCCATTTCTTCTAGTCCTATGATATAGTCATTATGAAAAAACTTGGGACAATAAGATCAGTGCTGATTTCTAATGTTTATCTAGAAACCACATTAAAATCACAGTAAAAAAATAGCATGAATAACATGGATATACTTTATGAAATCATCCTGAAGGCAATCAGGGCAAAGTATTTCAAGCTTTGTATCTTTTTACCAAAACAATCTGTCAATGATTTTTTCTTTTCATTACTGTGAGCAAACAGTTATTTATGTGGATTTTTTGGAATATTGACTTAAGTTATGTTGTACATGTTAATTCGTTCAATTTCCTGGCAAACCTCTTCAAGAGAAAGAATATTGAGGAGACCATTTCAATGAGCAAATTAAGATGAAATGATTTTCACATGACTGACGACATCCCTCAGCATTAACCCATCTGAATGATCAGGTGGACTGATGATGTACATATGAACTAAATGATTAATATAAACATAACAAATGAATGATAATAGCATGCAAATGAAATGAATAATGAAATGATGAAAAGCCAACTGTGCACATGACCATTAGACTATTCATGACCATAATATATTTAACTCCAAAACAAAAATTGTTTCAAAAATTTCCAAAATATTTTCAAATATCCAATGAAGACTTGGTGGAACACGGGGACATGCAAGTAAGACGGGCTGTGCACGGTCTTCCCATGCTGTCTCCATGCTACACCTGCCCAGCTGTGAGGGAGGCCGAGTCGGACAACAATCAACTGAGAAGCAGCTACAACACCCGCCACAATGCACTCGTGTCTGCAAGCACAATGGGCATTAACCAATAGTGATAAGGGCTATACAGGAAACGTAGCAAACCTTTCTCAGGTTCCAGCTCTGGTCACCACCTCCACCGCCGTCTCCGCCCCAACTCGAGGTAGATAGGGATTTTGGCTTGGCACCAGGTGTGGGATTCCACTGACTCCCTGGGTCACCCCAACCTCCAGCTCGGGCCTGGAACACAAGGTAGGGTATATCATTATGTTGATAAGCTATTCAACAATCAAAGGTATTTTATTTTACACACAGCACTTGAAGATTGGATATTGTTTCTTCAACGGAACTACAAGTTGGTATCCTGAGGGAATAATACAAAGACAATAATTCCACGAAAAAAGATAATTACACTATGTAATGAAATGTCAACAAAGGTAAAATTTAGTGTTCCTCAGGGGTAATGCTGATAAAATTGCTCTCTTATACTTGTATTACCTAACAGTGATTTCGGCTAACAAAATGAACACTAACCTGCTGCTGGGCATTAGCTGCCCAAATACTGGTTCCATCATCAACCTTCATGTTGGAGTTTGAGAGGTCACCCCATCCAGAGGCCTTCGGTGGGTTGCCAACTCCAACATTTCCACCACCGCCGCCGCCCATTCCGCCGCCACCCATTCCGCCGCCGCCCATTCCGCCGCCGCCCATTCCGCCGCCGCCCATTCCGCCGCCGCCCATTCCGCCGCCACCCATTCCGCCGCCACCCATTCCACCTGTCGGTGCTGGTGGCGGAACTTGGACAGGTGCTCCTTTGTTCCAAGACTCAGGCTGTTCAGGCTTGGGCCGTGGGGTCAGGGGAGTTGCTGGGGTACTTGGTTGACTGTTCCAGCCTTGTGGGCGCTGAATCTGTGGCTCGCCCCAATAACCTGTACCATTATCAACACGCCGACGCTGCATTGCTGCATCTTCCCAGCCTCCTTGAGAATCTTGATTATCTCCCCACTGGGACCCAGATCCACGATCGCGATCCTGGCCTGAAGATCCCCAAGATCCTGTCTCGGTCTTGTTACCCCACATACTTGAGGTTTCAGAGCCTCCGCCCCAGGTACCAATGGTTTTGTCGGAACTTCCACCTCCATTGCCAGCACCATTTCCACCAACTCCAACATTACCAACTCCAACATTGCCAGCACTGTTTCCACCAAGGCCATTTCCACCAAGGCCACCATTTCCACCAAGGCCACCATTTCCTGCAACACCATTTCCACCAACGCCAACGCCAACACCAACGCCACTGCCAACACCGTTTCCTCCGCCGTTACCACCCCATTGGTTATCAGCTCCAGGCTTATTTGGTGGGCCATTCCAAGTATTGGAATCATTCTCGTTTTGCCACTGAGATCCACCTGATGCACCATTCCAGCCACCGCCGCCACCACCATTGCCACCATTTCCTCCATTACCTCCAGAGCTACTGTCACGACTAGCTTCCCAGATTGCCGTTCCATTATTATTGTTCCACACATTGGAAGCTCCACCACCACTGTCGGTAGAAAATTTGCGTTTGGTCTTTGGTGATTCTGAGACATCCCAGGCTGTATCCTGTTTGACAGGTTTCGCCCCCCACCCATCATGGTTCTCAATGGCCTGTCTGATGAAATCATCAGCAACTTGTCCTGATTGGGCGGCTGCATCAGCAGCAGAGGGTTGCCCGGTCCCTGAATTGCCGCTGCCTGGGGTTAAGCCCTTGCATGCAGCTTGAGCCCATGAGATGAACTCAGTTGTATTGCCTGATCCCTGACTATTGGCTGCACCATTGGGGTTGTCCCCCCATTGTGACTTAGAATTATTGTCCCACTGGGTTGCTGACTGTGGAGTGGGAGGTAGGGACTCTCCCCACCCACTACTTCCCAAAAAGCCAGACTTAGGGGCCGCGTCTGGTGTGCCCCACATGCTGGAGCCGTTGCCCGCACCATCCGGGCCACCATTATTGCCACTGTTATCTTTCCCACAATTGTTCATCACAGCACTTGTTGGATTATTCCAGCCAGACTCGTGGGGTTTGGAATACGTAGTCATGCCACCAAACATACCAGACCCACTACTACCCTGCCATGGAGTTTGATTATTTGAAGGCCCTGTCTGATTGCCACTCACTGGAGGTCCACTTTGTTGAGCACCGCTACTGCTAAGCATCAAACCATGCATATTGTTGCCATTTGAGGTTTGCATTTGCATGGAATTCTGTGGTCTTGGGCTACCCTGGCCTGGGGCACCCATCCCCCATCCTGAACGGGAAGTGGAGGAGTTTGAGTTCATAGAATTTGATAGAGTATCACTACCAGCCATGCTGGTACCAACTTGCATATTATGTCCTTGGTTGTTCATAGAAAGACTTGGATGCGGATTACTTGAACCCCAATTCATAGGATTCATATTGGCAGCAGAGGAATTGGGAGGATCCCTGATCCCCCAAGGATTTGATTCAAGTCCACCAAGTGTGGAATTGGCTCCCCATGGATTGGAAGCACTTTGACTCTGCATGGCACTTAACCCCTGATTGGTCTCCTGATTTTGACCATGGCTACTTGAGCTAGATATCACAGATCCGGACTTGACAGATGCAGCATCATCTCCTGCATCAGAGCCCGCAGTTTCAGAGTTCCCAATGGACGGCCAAGCTTCTTTATCTGAGGAATCCACAATGACACTATTAACACTTGAGCTTTGGCTCCACTCACAGTCCTTGGAAGGATTGTGCCAGGTTCCTATATTCTGACCTCTGTCGTTTGCAGCTGGACCTTACAGAGACAAAATAGGACTATATTTCCTTAAGGGATGATAGAATTAATTTACGTCAAGAGGGATTCTCACTCAAACACATTACTGTTTGAGGTAAGGGATGTTTTCATTCACTATTTTCAAAAGCCTTGCATCCACAAATGATTTGATCCAACTATGACCATTTCCTTGAACATCATTCATTATTATCTCAGAGGCAGAAGACTAATCACAAAACTAATATTAATGAAGCAATATTCAACACACTTTGAAGTAAGACTCAAAAATAAAAAGTTGGTTCTCAGGCAAATAAATTTCCAAAAATTTGTACTGGGTAGAAAAAACTTAAATGCTTTCAAGGGCAGTTTTTGTGGACATGCCTGACAACCAAGAAAATATTTTGGCCTTATTGTAGAACTCACTTGGATCTGTCCAACCACTACCCGTAGCAGGTGGTCCCTCACGCCATCCACCATCATCCTCTTCACACCAACCCAGTCCCCCTGCTGCTGACGCTGAAGACGCCCATTGATTACCAGTCTTTTTACCCCCTGTTGTCAACAATGAAACTGTTAATGTCGAAATAGGTTGCATGTACAGAACAGAGCCTAACTGGATGATTCAACACTTTCACGAGTAGTAATCAGTGCAGCAAATACCCTATAATACTTGAGTATCAATAATTTTACAAGTCACAATTTGATTATTCCACAAACCAAATCTTCATTAACCTTTAGGGATGTATTTAGACCTGCTCAGAGACTAATATTAAGCATCAAGTCTGGGGCAAATGTCCATCAAAATTAAAAATAGTTTTAATATATGGCTTTGTGTAGGCTACTTGTATTTCACTGATAACAGGATAAATAAACAGGCTGAGTCACTACTGTATTAAATGCAATGCTCACATGCCTCTACATATAAATAATGATATATGTTTTCCAATTTGCCTGCCAGGGGCACTTAATTTGAAATCCTACACAAATCTCTGACTTGATTGCTTAACAGTCTGGTGTATACAGAAGCAAGCAAACAAAATGGTAGTGAAAGATAGACATAAATGTTAATTGCAGTTACTTCTTAAACTGACTTACCAGCTTTAGAAATTGGCACTCGTCCTTGCTAAACTGCCCAATAGTAAAGGTATCATAAGGACTAGAAGACATTTGCCATTTTTAGGGGTTTTGATATTTGTTATCATAATAAGGAGTAGTGGACGGAAACTGTTAGTTTCTAACGCTGCTTACCTTCTTGCATGTCTTTGTGACCAGCTCAGGGGGGAATCGTGGCTTGGTGAGTACTTCGTTGATAAGGAGCAATGAGTAGTTTGTAGCAAGCGATGATTGATCTTGAGTTAATTGTAATTTGTTCAATCTGCAAACAAGATGACTGACATAAATACATCTCCATTTACCTTCCTATTATACAAAGGTAAGGCCACATGGTAAAGTTACTTTCAAAGTAGTCATGAATATTGCAATAACTTAATTGATGGAAGATTATTGAACAAAGACCATGATACTTGATATAGCTAACTTTCCAGTGTAAGCAATAACCCTGTATCTAAGTCTAAACAATGTAAAGCATGAACCATACCACAACGTACCAGCTATTGTGAAAACAAGTAGTAAGCTTCCCTCTTTGTTGGAAGGATTCAGTAACTCCCATTTCCTTAAAAAGAAAAGTTCTGTGTTGAACAAGCTTAGCACTTGGCTGGGACTTCTCTGGGTCATAATCAATGGACCTCAAATGAAATCAATTCCATTGCAAAGACTTATTGTATACAAGTCCAATTTGATCAGATCATGCATGAACGCTTTAAAACAAAGTAGATAAATAGTTCAGTATGTTTCTATAACTGATCAAAAAGTCTGAAATGCTAGTCATGAAATTTTATCTGAGGGTACCAGCATGTATGGTTATGTTTTCACAATACAGTCAGCAATATTACAGCTATATAATAATTTAATCCCAAACAAACCAGTGACTGATCTTTTGAGTATCATCCCACAAATCAGGGTACAATGACAATTAAGTCACGAAGTCCAACAATCCAATCTTATCGAGTCGCTTCTTGCTAAAAAAGCTGGGGACCCTTTCTAGCTGTGTCTCCACACAGGATTATCAGTATGGCTAGAGCGCTAATATCTACATAAAAAGTATGTAGTGAGGGCATCAGTAAGATTCTTACCCGAGAGCTAGGCACTTTGACTGATTTGTCTTAGCTAGAGAATGCTTCAATGTGCTTGCCCTCAATTTGGAATGCAATCTGATAAAAGAAAATCTTAGAATACATTTCATAGCATATCATTCACAATATCAACAACTAATGTAAATACAGACAAACACGCTACAAGTAAGAACACAAATGTTATATTTATTCCCTTGTTAAAACACTTGACTCTAAAGCTGGGTTTTAATGGCAAAACTATGATATCAATACCTTAATCCCTGGCATATATTTTCAAAAGTTCTAATTTATCCGAGAGAGCAATTTTTGTTAGTGTAATATATTAAAAACATGCCAATGGCACCTATAACAAAACATCATGTCATTTATGCACTGATAAAATATTTTTAGTTCTATCATAACTCACCTTTACAACACAACCTCAAAGCAAGGTTCAATTTGCATTGTTCTGAACTAGACAAAAATCTGGAAGGAAAAAAAGAATTTGTCAGACAATGTAAATCACAAAGCTATCATGATCGTTATCTAAATAGTAATGATTCAAGTTAACAGAAGCAGTAACTGTGAAATTGATGGAACTGATGATAGGAAACTGATGGTCATGCGAGTCATATTTATCAGAAATGGGGGCATTATGCCTTTCTCAGGGGTCAATGAATAAATGCTTGGAGAACATTAATGTTTCAAAACAACTTACAATGAAATGTTGAAAGAATATGGCATGGACCCACGAGATCTGAAAAAAAAAATAACAGTGTAATATAATGATGTCTTTAATCTTTAATTCTAAGCTAAAACCTTTGAAATCTTTACTATCTATTAGAATTTATTTAATTATAAATCCGGTAAAATAAATTATAGTATCCAATACTTGAAAACTATGGTTACTCGGCATCTACTAAGAATAACCCTCATGTCATTTGTTTAAAGAGACTTTCTTCACAGAACCCTTCCCTTGAAGAAGAATGCAAACATATGAAAGTAGTTCGACAATCATGCCAATCTACCAACTTTTGCACAATGAAATAACTGGCCTATGTGTTTTTCAAAACCCTCATCCATCCAATTCTGGTATGCGTTAAGGTGAAACTCACTAATTTTTTTCAAGCCAACCCATCTTGTGATAAAAGACAAATTCAAATTTATTGCTCTAATCTGATTCAATCTATGGCATACCTTGCAGGTCATATTGAGCTATTATCAATTCAAGGAACAGGAGATTCTGTAAATGACACTGAGGGTACCATGACACCATCAGCGTAAAGTCGCAAACTAGTTTGAAAGTTTACTATCACCATGAATTATTCAAAAACTCTTCAGAACAATATATAGAATATACTAAAATATCTACCTTTGCACAACAAAAAATACAATGGCGAGCAGATCAAGAAATCTGAAAAATAAAGAAAATGTGTACTGACATATTAAACCCATAAATAGGAAGTGAAATGAAAAGTAATAAATTTGTGAGGATAATTGTGTTTCTTTGCATGGAGGAAAGGGGTAAGGTGTTTCTTTGAATACCTGTTTGAAAAAAACCTCAGTAGATCTACTAGATGTTTTGGCTTCACAAAGTTTAATTAACCGAAAAAGGATTATACTCTTATTCTGTGGCAAAGCATCTATTGAGGTTGACATTTCATGATTAAAGTGATACTAATGGTACTAAATATCAAAGTCTCTGAGTAAATGAATTCTCAAATAACTTTATAGGGTTTTCATGGAAACCAAACTATACTTTTGGAAACAATTTGAAAAGACTTGCGGCTTTGAGAAGAAACATATCACACACTTGTAGGCATGACCAAAGCCCAAAGGTTGCCACTGGTTTCTACATCTATGTACAGACAGTGGTTTATCTAGGATCAGAAACTTAGTACATTTAGCAGAGAAACAACTCGAAAACAAATCATTGTTCAAAATTTCATATTTTTAAAGTTCCTATTTTCTTGAATAAGAGGTATTTTATTTTAATATTGCATTCAATGCAATAATGTAAAACTAAGCATCAAAACTTCTTCAGTTATCAGTGAAATACAAGTCACCTCAGTCTCTAAAAAGTCATAACATTAAAAAACAAAATCTGCGTAATTTCATATTGGCCACACTGCACATAAGCTACACACAATTTTGTCTTGTTTTCTTTTAATTAGCGTTCTCATGATAATCAAACTAAACTCTTGATGGAGACAATTTGAAATTGACCATTCATGATAGTTTGTCATACATCCCATGCAAATGTATATTGTTCAGTAAGTCTAGATTACTGCAGTATCAGGAATTGAAGAAAGTCTCTGGGCTCCTTTTTATTATATTTTATAACTATAATTTAACAACTTTTTTCTGTAAATATATGTTCATTTACGATGTTAGTCTACATTCATGATAATATACATTGGACCCAACTTGGAGCTGCAATCAAAATATTCATAAACAACTTCAGTTCAATGAGATTGAGAAGTTAAAAATGTCAAAAGTTAGTGGATGATAACCATCCACAAACAACTCAGATGTCTCTTTGGGACAGACTAGCATAACTATGATAACACAGCTATATCACAATAAATTAATCAATTTACTATGCCACAACAGATTACTTCAAACCTTAATATTTGAGGGACTTATTTTGCACAGAGTATTTTCATTCTTGCCCCTTTGGAAGTGTATTTAAGTAAATGTATTGTAAGTAATTATGTACATCTTAGAGGGTGCTTGGCTACATTTGATACATTGAACACAACCACCATCTCAGGAAATTCTCTCATTTGTCTGCAATAGATCTTGTGACTCCACTTATAAAAGTGTTTTGAAATTAAGGAAGTACTAGGATTCTTGAGGTCTTCTGTGGCATTTTCATTTAGGTGACATTAAAATCATTAACTTTTAACAAGGGTTATGAAAAGGACTCCAGGAGTGTCATGCTTAATTTCGAACACTGAATAACATACACCATAACAAAATAAACGATGGTTTTATCATACAATAATCCCTTGTACCTCAATACAATACAACCCTGTATTGCATTACAAAATTAGCATCATATGCTGTTCCTAGATGAAATATCTATCATTCACACTGCGTGCTGGTAACAGTTACAACACACTGGCCAACAAAGTCTACAAATGTCACTGTCCTATTTGGTGTTCACTTTCTTTAACGCAGCTTCAGACAGTATTTCAGTAATCATGTTAGCTTGATGTGGGAGAAAAGCCTAAAGTGATGCAGGTCTTGGATGTTTACCATATTCTTGAAACCCAACAGCATTGGTATGGTGCTGACAAAGGTTGAAACAATAATGAGAATCTGATATTTGAACCTACAATAATAGGTTTCTGTGCATTTAGTTGACTGGGCACCAGTGTCCCCTTTGCATGTGTTAGACGCAATAGGATAGGTTTTTTTAGGTTTGGTCCCTCATTACAAGCTCCTGAGTAAATATGTATTTGACATCTATGGCAAATTTCGGTTTTTATTTCATGATTTCTCAAATGTCATATTGTTTGGTCAAATCAAAAAATGTACTATATGGGCAGTTAATAACCCAATAATTGCCCACGCCTAGCACTGTCCCTGTATTACATTTAACTGTGAACAGTATACTGAAAAACACATGATACTCACCTCTTAATGACTGTTGATTATGGTTCTGCAAAACAAAAACAAAATCTGTAATTAGCCATGATAACACAAAAAGCCAAAGAACAATAGATCACTAATATCCACATAGTTCCAAATAGTGATTGCAAATAAGCAGTTGCTTTCAGTTAACTATAAATAAATAGTATGTATCATGCCAATAGGATTGCTCATAACTGGTAACAGCAATAGTCTGGTTGAGAATTTTACCCCAAGATGTTTGGTAAAATAAGATGCAGGGTACTCTCACAATCTGTGTTACACATTGTCTTTAATTTTACAGTCAGGTTACTCAAGCTGTGATAACTAGAAAGGCGCTATTATGAATACTCCAAGAGATATGACAAACAATGTCAATTTGGACTAGAACTTACCTTGAGATTAGATATGAAAGGCAGTGCTAATATCTTCCGATTTGGCAATGGAATTTAAACCCTGCAAATGATGAAAACATAATTAAAACTCAAAATCAACCCAAAATTTAAATAGAAATATCAAAATTACACCTTTAAGAAAAAACATCTGATTACTTTGTAAGTGGTCTCATTAAAGAATTTAACTAGTCTTCCCAGAAGTATTCCCACTAATCCTAATCTAGTTGGCAGATTTCCAAGATTTGGAAGTCTTGCCAAACCTTGTGTAATGATCATTAAAAATGTGTAACTTCTAGTTCATACCACTGCTGGTAACGGAATGGCTTTTTCTGACAGTCTCCAAACCCTAACATAATGAAGAATGTACCCCACAGCTAATATATTCATGAACATGTATTATAGAAATTAAAAAGAAAAGATAATCAAACATACATTTTCAACTACAGGAAGCTTATTCAAGAATCACCTTATAACAGGATCAGGTTGATTATACTGCAAGGCAAGATGAAAGATCTTTGGATAACAGCTGAAACAAAACAGAAAATCAAAAGCTGTGTAAATATAAGCTGATCAGGAATATAAAAAAAAATGTTAGGGTCTTTTTTAACCAATATACATATATTATTTGGAATATATTTCCAATAAAACTATCTTAAAACTAAACAAAGATCTACCTAACCTTTCCTGTTAGATTCTATGTCACATTAACCAAACTCGTACATGTCAGCCCCAAGAAAACATTATGTTTTCATTTTCATTGTTCTACATTTGAAAAAAAAAAGAAAACATTTTCAATTCTGAACTCGGCAACATATAAGAGATACGTCACCTAGTTATGATTACTTCATTTTCTAAGACATAGTATCAGAGGAAATTCTCTGAATCAAAAATTATGTCCGATTCTAATGATATTTTATGTTCGGCCATGTCAATGGTGGCCATGACATAACTAGAGTCTGGGTCATTTGAGGTTTTGGCAAAATGCCACTCGTGCTTCGAGGGATGAAATTTATATGATTTGTTGTTTTGGCGGCATATTTCCTACTAAAACATGTTAAATAGCAGTTAATTGTGCAAAAATGGTTATGCACATTGTTTAAGACGCCCGGGACCGTCTATGCATCGGCAGAAACGCCATCTTGAATTTTCAATGAAGTCAATCCACTCTACAACATGGCCGCCCATAACAAAAATGGCGACCTGTCTGATCCGATCCTCGAAGTGAATGTTGTTTGTATTGACATTACCCAAAATGCATCTAAGTAGGTTATGATGTTTACAGCAAGAATAAAGTTGATCACTACCTAAACAACATACTGCAAACACAGCTGAGGCCAATTTGCTGAGCTTTTGAGCTCGAAAATAGGGGGCACCTTCTCCTCACCGACACCTTACCCGCATTGCGAAATGCAGACAGATGTTTTTTTCACAACAACAGCCTTGTAAACACTCAAAACATAACAAATGCTATACCCCAAAAGCCTTTGGATATGATTAACAATATAAATGCACTATTTCACTTCAGTAAGATTGCATTCTCAGAAGTAAAAGCCCCCAACACGGCAGAGCAAGGCAACTCACCTTTCAGAAGGAATTCAAATGGCTGAGTTTCCTACCCTGGAAAGATTGCACGTATATCACAGAATCTGCTTGAGGAATACACACTCAAATTGTCTCAAAATAGAGTATCTACATAGCACCGGTGCCGAGACATCATTATTGCCGAAATCAACAGATTCTGTCAGTATTCAAAGCTATGTTGACAGGCCTGCCTGGAGGCCGATATCGGCATCAGGCCCATTACGTCCACTGGCTTCTGTTAAATGTCGCCTTTCATGCGCATGTCTCGCAAATCACGTGATAACGAAACTATTCTCGTAATAACATTTTATATAGAATGACTTCATGTAAAAGCATCATCAATGACTTTAAAAAATCTGGAACTTTTACTTATTAAATGAACTATAGAAAGGTTACAATTAGCACCAACACGTGATTGCTGTTGTGTATTAGTTTGTATAAATGCCAATTGGTTCAGAAATAACAAAGATCTTGATATAACAATAAAATAATATAAACTTTAAGGTGGAGTTATAATCTGATTTCCATGCTTATTTCCAATGTATTTGTAAACACTATAAGAAGCTTGATCTGAACAAGGGCGAATACATTGTCAAAACAAATCAATGTCCAAAAGATTACGCCATGATTATTCAAGAGTATTTAGAGACTGAGTTGTAATGACACATGCGCATGTCCCTTGTGTCAACAACCCATTAACTACGTGGTGTTGTAACAACAATGAAGCGAATCTGCACAGATATGTAATTCTTAGAACGAAACTCTTACTTTTATAAATTGCTTGTCTTTAAATGGCCGACTGTGATTGGGTGGCATCGGTCGTCTTTTTATATTTTATTCAGCATAAATATGCACATCGAAATATACCGCATTACTTATGCATAATTTGCAGGGCAAGCTTGCATTTAACTGAATCGTTTCAATGATGAGGGTGTCTATCCCCGCCATATTGACATCTGTCTACCCACATAGGATCTCTGGGTGGGTAAATATTCAAACCCTCTCGGCATTACTGAAATAGGAAGGATTGCACTGCCAGATTATCATAAAGGTTATTCATATGCATGGTTACTTTTCTCCAGTTTCAAAATGTCCTTTACCACACACACAGTAAAGAAAATACATATTGTTTGATTGACATAGGAATGAGCGAGGTAATAATGATGGCAACTTGTTTATACTCCCTCCTTGAAGGATAATCACCCGCTGTTTGAACACGCAGGGCAATAAACAGTTGATGCACCTGCTGTTTGGAACCTGTGCAATATACAGTTGATGCACCTGCTGTTTGGAACCTGTAGGGTAATATACAGTTAATGCACCTGCTGTTTGGAACCTGTAGGGTAATATACAGTAGATGCACCTGCACTTTGGAACCCGTAGGGCAATATACAGTTCATGCACCTGCTGTTTGGAACCTGTAGGGTAATATACAGTTGATGCACCTGCACTTTGGAACCTGTAGGGTAATATACAGTTAATGCACCTGCTGTTTGGAACCTGTAGGGTAATATACAGTTGATGCACCTGCACTTTGGAACCTGTAGGGTAATATACAGTTGATGCACCTGCACTTTGGAACCTGTAGGGCAATATACAGTTGATGCACCTGCTGTTTGGAACCTGTGCAATATACAGTTGATGCACCTGCTGTTTGGAACCTGTAGGGTAATATACAGTTAATGCACCTGCTGTTTGGAACCTGTAGGGTAATATACAGTAGATGCACCTGCACTTTGGAACCCGTAGGGCAATATACAGTTCATGCACCTGCTGTTTGGAACCTGTAGGGTAATATACAGTTGATGCACCTGCACTTTGGAACCTGTAGGGTAATATACAGATAATGCACCTGCACTTTGGAACCTGTAGGGTAATATACAGTTGATGCACCTGCTGTTTGGAACCTGTAGGGCAATATACAGTTAATGCACCTGCTGTTTGGAACCTGTAGGGCAATATACAGTTAATGCACCTGCTGTTTGGAACCTGTAGGGTAATATACAGTTGATGCACCTGCACTTTGGAACCCGTAGGGCAATATACAGTTGATGCACCTGCTGTTTGGAACCTGTAGGGTAATATACAGTTGATGCACCTGCACTTCGGAACCTGTAGGGTAATATACAGTTGATGCAACTGCACTTTGGAACCTGTAGGGTAATATACAGTTAATGCACCTGCACTTTGGAACCTGTAGGGCAATATACAGTTGATGCACCTGCTGTTTGGAACCTGTAGGGCAATATACAGTTAATGCACCTGCTGTTTGGAACCTGTAGGGTAATATACAGTTGATGCACCTGCACTTTGGAACCTGTAGGGTAATATACAGTTGATGCACCTGCACTTTGGAACCTGTAGGGTAATATACAGATAATGCACCTGCACTTTGGAACCTGTAGGGTAATATACAGTTGATGCACCTGCTGTTTGGAACCTGTAGGGCAATATACAGTTAATGCACCTGCTGTACGGAACCTGTAGGGCAATATACAGTTAATGCACCTGCTGTTTGGAACCTGTAGGGCAATATACAGTTAATGCACCTGCACTTTGGAACCTGTAGGGTAATATACAGTTGATGCACCTGCAGTTTGGAACCTGTAGGGTAATAAGCAGTTGATGCACCTCCAGTTTGGAACCTGTAGGGTAATATACAGTTGATGCACCTGCACTTTGGAACCTGTAGGGTAATATACAGTTGATGCACCTGCAGTTTGGAACCTGTAGGGCAATATACAGTTAATGCACCTGCTGTTTGGAACCTGTAGGGTAATATACAGTTGATGCACCTGCAGTTTGGATGTATGACATGTTCACTGTGGCTGGCCCTTGAAACGTTCTAATAACCCACACCTGTAAGCACAAATCGACTTCCTGCGGTTATCGCATACTCCCCCATTCCTTAAATAGTTAACTGACTAATGTTTTGCTAAAACATGTAAAATGTTTCCCGAAATATTGCCATTTAAGTGACCCGACTTTGCCGAAAAGCCGAACCCGCGCTTGGCGCCATGCCAGGTAATAATTGGTTTCTATTCAAAATGTATGTTATTCACATCTATATCGATCCATCTCTAACATTCTCTTATCTGTTTCCAACAAATATAGATCTGGTAGTAAACTACCTTTATTTACATGAAATCAAAATTCACAGCGCGTGGATTCCAGGACAGAGTAGGTCCCCAACAACCTGTGTTGGTCGCACACGATGACTAAATGGATGAGGTGCTTTTGTTATTTGCGTGTCATCGTACCCCGTCGACATGGTCGCTGCTCACAACATCAACCACTCGCCAGGGTAACCTTGTCTTGTCATTGGTGTTAAATCTGAAGTAAACATAAATATTTATGACCCTGCGAGTTCCCCACACCGGTGAATATACCGATATACAACATTTTACAAGCATGAACTTAATTAATATATTTACTTATTCCTTCTCTGAATAACCAACATAGTATTTCTTTTTAATTCTTAAATTGTTTCATCTGAGTGTACGTGTCCTCAGTAATATAAGGTATGTGGCCCTGGTATTTAATGTAATGTATATATATATATATATCTGATGTATACATGACATGAGTGGTCTCTTACATAAAACGGTCTCTAACATGTAACATGTCAGTATATAATTTCTGATAAATATGGCCTCTGACCTACATGTGGTCTCTGGTTACACGTAGTACACATTATGTCACGACAACCAGCAGCGGTATTGAAGAAAAATATTTATGGTAATTTGTGTCATTTCAGTACTTGTTATGGTTTCCGTAAATGTCACTCCGAGCCTACTGGTCCATTGAATGAGTTGTGTTGAAAGTAGGACTTACACCCCACGTGACGTTTCACGCAAGTGCCCGAACCGTCTGAGCAAGTGCCCTGCAAAACAAAACTTGTATTGTTTACACTCCGTGAAAGCAATGAACACAGACAGCATGCAGACATGCATCATGTCACTGATAATTTCCATGAAAAATCTATCAGGTAACTGCATTTTTCTTGACATGTTATTAATTCATTATAATTATTTTTTTTCTGCATCGTTAGATTGTGATCCATCGTGTTCCATTGTTTGGGTCCCGTGGCGATGCCGAAACTTGACAGATTGTATGCATAGATTGGCATCTACACGTTATCGTTTTTCTATTGTGAACAAATTAGACGTACTTTGTACAACAAAATGAGATAAGCAGTTTTATTTCCATATGAACAGTGGTCGTGACAGATGTCAAAATCGTGAGTGTTAAAACTTAGAGCCAAAGACTTGTGATTGTCAAACTTGTAGATCTATTTCGTTTAGAAATCCCTTGCTGACACTGTTGTCATTTACCATGTCTCAAATATTTGCACAATAATGTTCAACTTAAATAACATACATGCACATGCCAAATTGCGGAACACTTTGTTTCTGTTTTTTTGGATCCCAATTACCGTATTCGACGTATTTAGCGCCCAGGGCGCTCTCAAAATTAGGAATAGAGGGCTCTCATTAGAATATTATTTTGGTGAAAAAAACAGAGTTGAAAGATCTTAAATTTCATGTTTATGCTGAATGTTTGCATACGCCAGATATATTCTTCCAGAACTTAATTGCCCATAATTAAGGGTGCATAACACACGAGTGTGTATTATACACAAATAAATAAGTCTTGTGTACATTGATCTATCGGAAGGGGTGCTAATTAGGATTGTTCACAAGCCAATATGTTAGCACGAATCGCTGTGGGCGCTTATAAGAGCGGGGCGCTTATTACGTCGATTACGGTAAGCCAAATCAAGGTTAAACATAAATGTTAATTGATGAGTTTGGCAGTGGTCAGTTGCATAAGTTTGTGAAAAATGATTGCAGTAAATATTCTTAGTGTAAATGCAAATATGTGCCAGGATCTGATGATTGTAGGTTTGAATCCAATGGTTTCAATGAAAGTAGTTTACATCAAGGCTTTAAGCTGACACACCTTGTTATAATTGAATAAACCCAACACACTGATTCGTTCCTGCCAGGATCACTCCTTTGATCCATATATATGTCATTGTACTTCCAATAATGATCAGTTTTTCAAGAATTATTTTCAGAATAACTACAGCAACTTCAAGTCAGTGAGATTTTGCTGAAAGACTTATATCTTTCAAAATCAAAAGAATGTGAGGACTCAATTACTAAGTAACCACTTAAGTATTGTGATAAGTGTGGATGCAGTGACAACATGGGGACATTCATTATAATTATGGTAACAGCACTGAATATTATGCCTGGGCTTCCATATTGAAGATATCACTTGGCTTTCAAATGTAAAATATTTGTGACACCATCTTCTTGGGTGATGTTCAGTTTATGTTATTGTTTGTGTGATTTGGTATTTGTTGTTAACTTTGTATTTAGGTCTGACTGTTATGGTGATAAGACCTGTTAGGGAGAGGGTGTTGTCGGTAACTAGGCAGGGAGAGAGTGTTGTTGGTAACTAGGCAGGGAGAGAGTGTTGTTGGTGACTAAGCTGGGAGAGAGTGTTGTTGGTAACTAAGCTGGGAGAGAGTGTTGTTGGTAACTAAGCTGGGAGAGAGTGTTGTTGGTAACTAAGCAGGGAGAGAGTGTTGTTGGTACTTAAGCAGTGAGAGAGTGTTGTTGGTCATTAAGCAGTGAGAGAGCGTTGTCCGTACCTAGGCAGGGAGAGAGTGTTGTTGGTAACTGGGCAGGGAGAGAGTGTTGTTGGTAACTAAGCAGGGAGAGAGTGTTGTTGTCCGTAACTTGCCAGGGAGAGAGTGTTGTTGGTAATTAAGCAGTGAGAGAGTGTTGTTGGTAACTAAGCAGTGAGAGAGCGTTGTCCATACCTAGGCAGGGAGAGAGTGTTGTTGGTAACTGGGCAGGGAGAGAGTGTTGTTAGTAACTAAGCAGGGAGAGAGTGTTGTTGTCCGTAACTTGGCAGAGAGAGAGTGTTGTCCGTAACTGGGCAGGGAGAGAGTGATGTTGTCCGTTACTGGGCAGGGAGAGAGTGTTGTTGGTAACTAAGCAGGGAGAGAGTGTTGTTGTCCGTAACTTGGCAGGGAGAGAGTGTTGTTGACCGTAACTTGGCAGGGAGAGAGTGTTGTTGTCTGTAACTGGGCAGGGAGAGAGTGTTGTTGTCCGTAACTTGGCAGGGAGAGAGTGTTGTTGACCGTAACTTGGCAGGGAGAGAGTGTTGTTGTCTGTAACTTGGCAGGGAGAGAGTGTTGTCCGTAACTTGGCAGGGAGAGAGTGTTGTTGTCCGTAACTGGGCAGGGAGAGAGTGTTGTTAGTAACTAAGCAGGGAGAGAGTGTTGTTGTCCGTAACTTGGCAGGGAGAGAGTGTTGTTGACTGTAACTTTGCAGGGAGAGAGTGTTGTTGTCTGTAACTGGGCAGGGAGAGAGTGTTGTTGTCTGTAACTTGGCAGGGAGAGAGTGTTGTCCGTAACTGGGCAGGGAGAGAGTGTTGTTGTCCGTAACTGGGCAGGGAGAGAGTGTTGTTGTCCGTAACTTGGCAGGGAGAGAGTGTTGTTGACTGTAACTTGGCAGGGAGAGAGTGTTGTTGTCTGTAACTGGGCAGGGAGAGAGTGTTGTTGTCTGTAACTTGGCAGGGAGAGAGTGTTGTCCGTAACTGGGCAGGGAGAGAGTGTTGTTGTCCGTAACTGGGCAGGGAGAGAGTGTTGTTAGTAACTAAGCAGGGAGAGAGTGTTGTTGTCCGTAACTTGGCAGGGAGAGAGTGTTGTTGACTGTAACTTGGCAGGGAGAGAGTGTTGTTGTCTGTAACTGGGCAGGGAGAGAGTGTTGTTGTCCGTAACTTGGCAGGGAGAGAGTGTTGTTGACTGTAACTTGGCAGGGAGAGAGTGTTGTTGTCTGTAACTGGGCAGGGAGAGAGTGTTGTTGTCCGTAACTTGGCAGGGAGAGAGTGTTGTTGTCTGTAACTTGGCAGGGAGAGAGTGTTGTTGTCCGTAACTTGGCAGGGAGAGAGTGTTGTTGTCTGTAACTGGGCAGGGAGAGAGTGTTGTCCGTACCTAGGCAGGGAGAGAGTGTTGTTGTCCGTAACTGGGCAGGGAGAGAGTGTTGTTGTCCGTAACTGGGCAGGGAGAGAGTGTTGTTGTCCGTAACTGGGCAGGGAGAGAGTGTTGTCCGTAACTGGGCAGGGAGAGAGTGTTGTTGTCCGTAACTGGGCAGGGAGAGAGTGTTGTTGTCTGTAACTGGGCAGGGAGAGAGTGTTGTTGACCGTAACTGGGCAGGGAGAGAGTGTTGTCTGTAACTGGGCAGGGAGAGAGTGTTGTTGACCGTAACTTGGCAGGGAGAGAGTGTTGTTGTCTGTAACTTGGCAGGGAGAGAGTGTTGTTGTCCGTAACTGGGCAGGGAGAGAGACAGCCAGCAAGCAAGCATGTTGTTGGTTGCTATGTAATCAGTGTGTTGTCTCAGGTCACACTGTAACAGGAAGCTGCAACATTTAGCTGTCTGAGCCCAAGTGTTGTACAGGCCACATTCTACATGCTGCCTTAAGCTCTGTCCAAATGAACCTGCTTGTCTTGCAGTGTGGAACATACCTGTGGTATCCTCGTTAGCAGGTGGACCCATTGAAGTAGTACATTGCTGGACCTTGGAACTCAGAATTTATTTGTTTATCCATAGGTTATACTGAATGATGAAGTGCAGTAAATGTTTTTACAGTATTGAATAATGAGGATGTCTTCAGATATATGTATATTTGACAGATGTTAGAAACTTCATATCTGAAATATCTCCTATACTCTCATGAGGAATTGTTTCTGAGATGTGATTGGATGACCCTGAAGGTCACAATCTGATGAAAATCAGATCTTAGTTCTCGCTATCGCTAAACAAAGATCTGGGGACATCCCATTACGGGTCACGGCAGAACGACCTTTCATCCAACCAATCAGGGCGTCGCTTACCAGATCATGAAAGTGACAGTCGGAATGTGTTTTCTGATCATGCAACCACAAAATATTTAACACGGGGTATTCCGAACGACAGTTACGGGTTTTATGATTATATCCATTACAATCTAGGCCATCTTTTAGCCATTCCGGAATGTTCTTCTTGTCAGCTTTAATTTTTTTAATCGAGAATACGTCAAAATATGTTTCAAGGCGTAATCGCCTGTTTGAAACAAGTGTCGTAAAGCTCGAGAAAGCTGCCTTCTGATTGGCCAATGTCGATTTCTTGTCAGTCATTTCATAGGTCGGTCAAAGTTCGCGAAAGGTCGTTCTGACGTGACCTGTAATGGGATGTCCTCGGATCTTTGTTTAGCGATAGCGAGAACTAAGATCTGATTCTAATGAGATTGTGAAGGTCAAGGACACTAAGTATGAACTGTGTCAGAAAAGCTTGGGTTAATGACAACTTGAGAGTATTAATGAATGGAATTTGATGGAACTTAATACATCAGAGCTCCAGATAAGCTAATGGTGTTGTGGGTATTTTACCCATGCATTATAAAATCATTGGGGATTAGTAATTCTATCTGGGTATTTAAATTTCTGTTACCCACTAGTTTTTACACATGTGGGTATTTAAGTTAAATATTTAAAAACACTATTCATCTAGTTATTGCAAACTGGTGTCGTGTGGGTTAGAGAGCTTTATAGGACTAAAAAATAACACGATACTTCCACAAGAAAGTGTGATGGCAAATGATCATGATGTAACTGTCATCGTGGAGTTTGGCAAGGTTGACGGAATGCCCGTTTATAATTTCAAAATAAGTTGCTGATTTGCTAATCGAATACGCAGGGTTACTTCACAATATTTTGATGATACGCACAAGTTTTATTTTTGTAGCGTATCTGTAATGTTCGTTGCGTATTTGATACGTTTGAATTTTATTTTACTCCGTATATCTGCATTTCTTATGCGTATTTTACGCAGATACGCAGCTTATCTGGAGCTCTGATACATGAACTCTATGGCAGGGTCCCGATCATATCATCTTTTGGGTGACCTCTGTTAGGTCAAGGTAAGGGTCAAT